CGACTATTAATATAAATATTAATATTTCTTAAATTTTGTATCTAATACAATCAAAATTATAGTTTTAAAGAAAATATAATTTAATTATTTACTGTTTTTTTTTAATAAAAATAAAAATAAAAATTGGAAGCATAATAATTTAATTAAAATATTAATTATATTGGACGTGGGTGCAAGTAATAACTTAAGATTCGAAATGAAATGATAAAATTGGATTTGGTGAATCTCTTACCAACTCTTATCCACTAATTAAACCTATTCATGTGTGCATAATTTGGGATTTGTTTTTAAGGTTTTAATTTGAAAATATTTGAAATAAAATTGTGATACAGAGATGTTTGATATTATATTTTTAAGTTATATATTAAATAAAAAATATACTCCCTCCATTCCACAATTATAGTTTGGGTTGGGTTTGACACGGGATTTAAGGAATATTAATATTATATTGGTAGTGGGTAAAAAGTACGGATAAAAATTTTTTTTGTCCTTGTGGGTGTATTAATGTAAAAAGTAATGGCAATTGTATAATAATAATGAAAAAGTAAATGTAGTTTTATAGTTATACGATTATTTATGGAAATTGGACTATTGTTTTAGGACAGACAAAAATGGTAAATAGGACTATTGTATTTGGACGGAGGGAGTATATAATTTGATGATTGTGGGGAAAATTATTTATTAATAGTGCGAGATCAAGTCTAATAGTCCCTCCGTTCCATAACAAAGTATATATTTTTCATTTTAATCCGTTCCATAACAAAGTATCCATTTCATTTTTTAGTAACTGTACTATCTACCTAACATTACAAATACGCTTACAACTTACAATATATTACACAAATATCATTACATTTATATCACACATACTAATAATGTTATTTTAGTCATTTCTACTTTATTCTTACTACATCCAAATATAATACTCCCTCCGTCCCATAACAAAGTATTCATTTTTCCATTTTAGCTCGTCTCATAACAAAGTATTCATTTCAGTTTTTAGTAACTGTACTATCTACCTAACATTACAAATACCCTTACAACTTACAATATATTACACAAATGTCATTACTTTTATATCACACATACTAATAAGGTTATTTTAGTCATTTCTACTTTATTCCTATTATATCCCATTACTTCTAAAACTACGTGTAAAAAGCAAATGGATACTTCTTTATGGGACGGAGGGAGTACTAATATTTCTAAAATTATGTGAAAAAAATAAATAAATATTTAATTATGAGACGTTGGGAGTATATAAAAACTTATTGACTAAAATATTATTAAAAGTACTGTTGTGAATAAATTGTAATATAGGATAATTTTAAGTGAAATATAAAAGTGTTTGGTTATTTGTATAAGAAAAAGATTTATCAAATTAAAAAATTATTATATTTTCTTGCTAACAACTTAAAACTATAAAGATAAGATTGTACGGAGAATATTAATATGCAAGAGTAGGTTACTTATACATTAATTATTTGTATTTAAATTTTGTACAAGTATAAAATGTAGTATATAATTAAACTTATTAATCATATTTCTTCTGTGTCACGTTCAATTAAATTTTACACCCACATCAAAAGATTTCTTAAAATCTCTATATTTTCTACACTATTAAATATTTCATATATTTAAAAAAGAAATTTATTCTTTTTTTCATTATATATTGTTTGTACTGTGTGTAATTTTAATTAAGACACGGTTGATTTACATTTAGAATTACAAATATTTGTTGTGTATTTTTTATTTTTATTATATTGTGTGTGATTTTAATTAAGTCATCTTATAAATTTTTAATTATTTTATTTTTATTTTTTTAAAAAAATTATATGTGTTGGAGTTTATGATATGTGTCATAGCCAACAAATCCAACACAGCCCAATACATATAGCCCAATCTTACCTCTTGTTAATCCATAATTTGATAAATAAATTATATATTGAGGTTTGTTTATTTTGAATTTGATCAATCATTTGTTTTAACATATTTCTGTCAATTAATTGCGATTATAATTCATATTTTAGATAAAAATCTATTTATTTATAATCCAATTTTGATTGGTACAACTTTCGTGGTGGAGCCAAAGTCGTTTGTCGAGAGGACTAAATGTATAACTGAGGCCGAAAAATCAAATATTTTTATTATGTGTATTCTACCGGTATAAAAATATTAAATTATTAAATAAATAGAATTTGAAGAAACAAACGATTTATATAATCAACAATATTGTCGATGTGAAATAATGCACGGTCTATGTCAATTTTTTGAGTTAAAAAATTAGAAAAATGCTTGAATTAATTTTGTATATTAAAAGAAAATTATTAAAAATGAGAAATTACGAGGATCAAGGCATATGATCATACCTTGAGTTGAACGATTGAAGGAGACGATCAGAGAGAAAGAGTCATTGAAATATCACCGTCATCATAATTTTATCATTTTTGTTGAATTTAGATTCTGAATTCGAATTTATGAGATGTGGTTTTGATTTGAATTGAATTTTGTTAATAAATTGAAATTTGTGCAATATGATTGTTTTTATTTAATCTTCTATGATAGGCGAAATTTAGATTGTTTTACCAATTATGCACTAATCGAACGTTACATCAGTAATTGTGTACTTGTTTGATGAAGTGATACATTAGTTGACAAATTTGACCTAAAAATTGTATGATCAAATATTTCAATCTTTTTGTAGTCGAGTGAATATTCTAATTGGGTTTTACTCGTTCTACTTTTTATTGAAAAAATTATTCTATGATCATACCTAGTTTATTTTTTCGATTAGAGATGTGATTAATCAATCGTATAATTTCTGCCAACAAAGTAAAGAAAAATTGAATGTTATGATCGTATCTAACAAAGTTATTTTAAGTTGATGATCGAATCTTAAATCAAACTTCTTATTCATATTTTGGGCTAGATGTTTAATCCACATTTGAATTCTAAACTTAATTTCCTATCGATTTATTGAATTCATAGGTTTAATATCTCATCTCAATACCTAAATTTGTGACAATTAAGAATGAAATTATATGTGAATTAACTCCGACAATACTTTCTACACAATATTTATCAATATTAAGAGAATTTTATTGGAAGCTCCAAAAGTAGCCCGATTTTTTCTTCAAATTTCTTTAATATTACTCATTTCCGTCCACAAATTAACATCCTACTTTCCTATTTGGAATGTCCAACAATTATTTTCTTCTTTCTATTTTTATACACAAAATTTACTCTTTTACTCTCTTATTTTATTTACTATTTCATTTTCTATACACAAGATTAAAGGCAAATTTGTCATTTTATAACAAAACCCTAATTGTCTAAAAATACGTGTAAATATCAAATAGGATATTAGAAAATGGACGGAGGGAGTATAATATAACTTTGTTCTCTTTATATTTTTTTTTCTCAAATATTTTTTCAAAAAAGTAAATACACTACACACATTTATTATTTTTATATTTTTACATAATTTTTTATACCTCATATGAAAAAAAATTCATTTTCAACAATCTCACAAAACAAACACACCTGTTATTTCTCATAATTTTTTTTTTTTTTTTTTTATCACTATTCTATATAAAACTTGAACTATTTCAGCAGAAATATATATATATATATATACTATAAATACAAAAAAAAAAAAATTAAAAAAATACACACACATTAAAAATAGACCTCATTTGTTCAATATTATAATAATAATAATAATAATAATAATAATAATAAGTGCCTACTACACTAGAGTTTGTTTTATATTTTGAGTAGAGTCAGTATGGTATTATACTATTATTGTTTGCTTCTGTTTGTTTGAATTAGTGTATTGATCCAGAGCAGTTACAAAAATTAATTATATTTATTATTATTTTTTATCCAAAAAAAATAGTCAATTATATTTGGAGTTGTTACGATTGGGATTTAAATTTTTTGGATTTCAATATTTAATTATTGAAATTTGTAATAGTATGTTAAAAAATTATAAAAAGTGTTATTAAAAATATTTAGGTTATTTTTTTTTAAAAAAAAATATTTTATAAAAAAAAGTATAAAATTTTCAAATATATATTAAGGGAAATAACAGTCGACTGTAATGCCTTGTATATATATACATAAAATTAATTAAAAAATTAAAATGCATATGTTTTGAATTTATTTACTAAGAAGATAATAAAGTGTGTTTGAACTTAAGTTTTGATTTAAATAATAATTGTACTAGATAATATATTTATAAAAGAACAATGATTGCATGCTAACATTTTTTTATTTTTCTTTCTAATTTTCAAGAAAATGTAAATTTAAAGAATTGTTCACAAATTTGCATATTTGGAACTAAATAGTGTTTCTTTGAAAATTTAAGGCTTGTTTACATATGGTTCAAATAATGTTTGAGGCATTTAAACTGCGAGTATTATTACAAATTCACATATAACAGACGAGGAAGTAACAAAAATATTACAATATATTATTAGAGAAATGTAATTTTAGGATGAAGCGGTCATTCAGCAAATTTCGTAAATCATATACTCCCTCCGTCTTGTTGGAAGGGTGACATTTGTTTTTTGCACGTAGATTTTTTAATATTAATATTATATTGGATTATAGTAAAAAAACAAAAATACCCCTATTAGTATGGTGTAATATAAAAGTAATGACATTTGTGTAATATAATGTAAGTTGAAAGGGTATTTATTATGTTAAGTAGGTAGTACAATTACTAAATTAGGAAATAGTAACCTTGTTTTGGAACGGACGAAAATAAAAAATAATAATCTTTCAATGGGACGGAGTGAGTATAATTTTTTACTATTTTAGACTATGAACGCTTCAAAATGAATGACCGAATTAGCGTGATATAATATTGTTGGCTACAAATTTATTGGTTCAAACATTGTTTAACAATTTCTTAGTCGAATTTGTCAATCGACACTTACCTTATATGGCTTTTTCCGAAAAATATGAATTACATATTATTGCGTTGGACCCGAAAATTTATCCAGAATGGCTATGTATATATGACAAAAATTTGAACACAAATAAGAGTGACAAAAACTTGCATGTACAACCAAAAATCCATTTGATGTCTAGCTAGTTTCTTACACTATCTATACACACAAAGATTGTACTACATATCAAAAATCATTTCCAACTTCCGGTAAGAATCGAACCCCGCCGCCGTGGCCGGGCTTATGCCGAAGATCGCCATATCCTTCCTTCGAAAGAAATAATGACAATCGAGACATCGTCGTGGTACCTACGCCGATCCCCTTGTGGAATCGCTAGAAGCTCGTGAAAATCAAGTCCTATCGAATTAACAGAAACACTATGTTGTAAGAAAATCGATGAGCGCAAAACATATGATGTATTATATGTATACTTCATCTGTTATCCAATTGTATGCTCATTTGACCGAACTTCAAATTTTAATAAAAATAGAAAGTTTTATTTTTTAGGGTAAAGAAAAAAGTAGAAAAAATAGTACTCTCTCCGTCCGACTCTAAAAGTCACATTTATATTTTGCGTCATTGTACATAACATTAAAAATATTTTTATATTTGTATAATTTTTTGTACAAATTTCATTCCATTAGTATTATAAGACACTAATAGAGGTATTTTTGTAATTTTTTCTTACATTGTACTACGTTTTTATATAATAATTAATATTCAAATATCAACACGCAAAAGGTAAATAAGACGCTTAGAGCTGGACAGAAGTAGTATATTTATTCTAAAAAAGGAAACGAGAATAAATTTAGATGATAATCAAAAAAAAAAATAAATAAATAAATTTGAATGACGAAAAAAATTAATATAAACTTCGATTTAATAAGATATCGATTTATCAAAATTACCCGCTCTCCGAGCGGCTCGGAATAGCACTTCCTCGACGAGATGTTGTGCCGGGTCGCCCTCAGGGAATGTCGACACGAACATCTCGACTTCGGACACGGCCTCCTCGTTCGTGAAGTATTGGTAGAGCCCGTCCGAGGATAAGATCAAGAACTTGTCCTTACGTCGCAACCGATGATGGCAAAGAGACGGTGAACACACAATGTATGGTGATGTCCCGACGTAGTCGATTCGGAACATCTCTAGAAGTGCATTGTTCCATTTAGGCTGCAAAAAGAAAACATGCCAAAGTTACAAAATCGAACCATCTATCATCGTTTTTACTATTCGAACACTGTCCTATAAAAGTCATTTTAGCATTGAAGACAAGTTCAGTACTATGTCGCAAAAAATATTGTAATAGAAGTGATCGTACGTGCTTGAGAAAGCCGGCGCCGAATGCGCGAGTGACCTTAAGGGAGCCTTTCACGCGGCCATTGATGACGGCAAAGGCGTCGTCTTGATGCGCGTTTCGGATCCTTCTCACTTCCTAAGTTGTCGAGACGAGACAAAGATTTCGATATGTTATTACAAGATATGATTAAGATCAAGAAAACAAAACTAAGGATGTAAAAAGTGTCTTCCTCCTCACCTCCTTAACACAAGTACTATGTTCCATTGTAAGTTGCCAAGAACACAATCCATCCATGTTTTCGTCGTACTCGTAACCGTCTTGAATTTTTTCTTCCGGCGGACAATCCTCGCCGTGGTGCGCTAAAACTCCCCTGCTGTCGCCGACGTTCATTAGATAAAGATCATCGCCTTTCATTACCATCACGAGGACGCACGACCCCATTAGGGCGAGCTCGGGATTCTCTAACAACATCGAATTCGATGTCTCCAAGAACAGGGCTTCGGTTTTTTTTAAAGCTTCGGACAGAGCTTTCAACACTCGGACATGGTTGATCCTCGAATTATTTCCGGCCACACCGTCGGGGCCTAAATTGTCGAGCTTCTCTCGTAATCTCCGATCAAGATCGATCCTTTCCGCGGAATCCAAGCTTTTCGAGGAATCCGGCGGCGGCGGCGGCATTCGGACAATGTCGGATTCCGACCAGAGCAGCCCCTTAAGCTCGCGGCGGACGTTGGGGTAGAGATTGGTGAGGAGATAATCGGTTGCATCTGGACCGTTGAATCCGTCGTAGATTCCGACGAACACCCAACCGGCGCCGGCGCCGGCGTCGTCGTCGGAGACGGCGACATGGACGCGATCCTCGCCGGCTTTTCCTTGGGCCCACTGCACGCTGGGGCTACCGAACGATTCCTCGTTCGAAACGTCGTCGTTTTCGTCGACGAGGCTGACGTCACTGCTGGCGCCGCTGCTGGTGGTTCCGGTCGCCGGAGTGGAGCTCCGGCGGCGCTCTTCGATGGCGTTTAGGTGCTTCGAGAAAGTCCAAAACGACTTGTGGATTGCCCGTTTCACGTTTTTGACGAAAGCCCGTTTCTTTGATTGGGGTCTGTAGAGATCCAACGGTCCAGATTGAAAGCTACGCTCGATCGGGCCGGACAAGAACCCGCGCTCGATCGGGCCGGATCCGGCGGCGGCGGCGGCGGCAGGGTTTTGGAGGATCGGGCCTGATTTGACGGCGGCGTCGATTGAATTCCGGGGGATGGGCTGGAGGGGGATGGAGGAGAAGAAATTGGTACTCTCGAAGGACGCCGCCTTGTCGGCGGCGCCGGAGAAGGGGTCGGCGGTGGAGAGAGGGGTGGAGGCGTTGGCGGAGATGGCGGCGCCGGAAATTGTACGGTACGCCGTCGTTTTGGGGGGGGCGGATGGGGGCTTGTAAGGGGAGGTGTTTTCCGGTGGGATGTAGCAGAAGGAGTGTCCGAAGCCTTCGTCCGGTAGGTACTCCGCGGCGGCAACGTCGTTCCTCCGCCGTGAGATGTCGCCGGCGGCAAAGCACCGGCTTAGCCTCCCAATTTTATTCCCCATTTTTTCAAACTATATATATATATATTTTTTTTGCATCTATTTTTTTTTTGCTCTTTCTTTTGTAAGTGATGAGAGGAAGATAGAGATGAGAGTATAAACAGTGGTTGAATTTTAGAGAGAGAGAGAGATAGAGAGAGAGAGAGAGAGAGAGAGAGTTGACTTTGGAGGGTGGTTTAATATTCGATGCTTTTTTGGTTTTGAAGTTGGAGAGAGCATTGACTATGAATATTATATACATACATTTTGTGTATGTAATTTAGATGTAATAGAGAATAATTGTGTAATTCCAGGAAGTCCCGGGATCTCAAGCGCCAGATCGGTTTTTCATCGTTGATGTAAAAAACGAACGGTGTGGATTTAATCTGGTGTTCAGCTTCCGAACTAATTGAAATATTTTTAATTTAATATTAATATTGTTAAAAAGACTTGAATTTGATTGGCTGAGGAAGTCAAAATGCTCCACTAGCAATTTGCACCCCAACCACAAAAGTGGAATGCTGATTCAGATGCCCATTTTAGTTTTAATTTTAATTTTTAATATATACATATATATATATATATATATTGCCCACATTCATTTTAATTTTTATTTACAAGGCACAAATATTTTACATTGTTATATTTAATTTAATAGTATACTGATATTTCATATTATTCAATAATAAATTTTTAACTAAATTCAGAAAAAATTCATTTCAAGAAAAGTTTTAGGATGTTTTTTATTTTTTGGTATTTGGTTTCGTATTTTATACACTCTCCGTTGTTTAAATCTATATTCACTCTTCTTTTTGTATTGTCATAAAAAAATATTCTTATTTTTAAGTAAATAAAATTATTCAATTTTTGAACTGTTTTTTACTCCATCCGTTTCAAACACCCTGCAACATTTCCTTTTTGGTACGTCCCAAACACCCTCCAATATTACTAAAATAGAAAATAATTAATTATATTTAATATCTACTCCACACTTTATCCCCTCACATCATCTAAATAAAAAAATAAAATATATATATTTCTCTTCATCATATCACCTAATTTCTAAATTACCCTACTTAATACTATCCACCTAAAAACTCGTGTCAAAAGCAAATATTGCACCTTATTTGGGATGGAGGGAGTACTATAAAAGAAAAAATTAACAATTATTACTCACTTTTATTAAAACTCGTGTCCGGTTAAATGAGCACACATTTGCACGACATAGAGAGTATTTTACAATGGTGATTAGATATTTGCAAAAGCAAGGACTTCATCCATTTTACATATAATCTCACCATTTTTATTTTCATCCGTTTCACATATTATGTTATATTTTAAATTTATTAGACTAATTAATTATTTTAACCTTAATTTTATAATTTTTTGTATTATATTATAATTAATTTTACTAGTACATCATTAATTATTTGGTTTTTATATTTTGATTTAAAAATTTCTTCTGTTCCCATAAGAAGATATTATTTTATAATTTAATAATTGTATTGTATATCTAACATAATTATATTACACAAATTAATATGGGTATTTTTGTCTTTTTTTTACTATAAATTGATCCTATAATACTAATATTTAAAAATTTACGTGCAAAAAATAAATAAAAAATATATATACTTTTATTAAGTTAGTGTGAACTCAATAATAAAAATTTTGTTTTAAAATAAAATAAACATAGTAGTGTTAATATATCTACATAGGAATAGTCTTATTGCACTTTTTAAATTTCATTTGAAATTGGAATGTAATAATAATAATTTGATAATGAATACAAATATGCCTTGATTATAATTTTGCATCTATTCCCTGTCACAATTTTCAAACTTTCCAAACCCAATCGTTATAATTTATTAATTTATTTATATATATATATATATATATATTTCTAAAGTAAGAACAAAACTAATCCTAATAACAATCAATCATCTTGCTTCATTCCTTTTGCTTCCCAAAAAAACAAAAAAAAAATTCAACACTAATTTTTTTCCCTATCAAGAACACATATACTATCTCTTAATTTTAAGTTTCTAACAAAAAAAAAAAAAAAAAAAAAACAAAAACCCACATATAGCTTTGTTTATAAAAACCCGTATTCCCTCCGTCTCACGAAATATGGACCTTTTTGTCAGGGACACGGTATTTTAGATTTTAGATAGTGTAGGGTTATTAAGTTATTAATAATAAGTTATGATAATATTTTATTATTTTTTATATGTATAGTATTGTTGGTATTTTAAATATTTTTAAAATTATATCTCAATAAAATATATGTATATGAATATTATTTTGTAGACAATAAAATTTTATATAATACAAATGAATAAAAAAAATATATTTATTTATTTATTATTACCATAAATTAGTTTTATAAAAAATTAGGAGTTTTAAAGGTAGATAAAAATATTTGTTAATTGAGGAGAGAGATAGAAATAAAGGAGTTTTGAGTGGTCTTACTTATAAAATGTTAGAAGTTTAAGTAAATTAATTTATATTTGTTAAATATATTTAAGATCGATAAACTTACCAAAATGGAAATGGATCATTTTTTGTGGGACGTATTAAAAAAGAAATAGTCATCTGTGGCGGAAGGGAATATATAATTGAATGGATTATTTTATATAATATAAATATATAATTTTAATGTTATAGTTTGAATAAAAGTAATACTTTTACATAATATTTTAAATAAAAATAGATATTTAATATGATAATTTAGATTACGAAAAGAATAATATGAAACTTATCCGTTTGTATCCTAAATAAATTTTTTTACTATTTAGCCCATTTGTACTTTTTTCAAAATAATAGATTTTTTTTTTTATAATAAACTATTATATCAAAATATGTTTGAAAACAAATTCAAATAAATAACTGATTTTTTATTTTTTATTTTTTTAAAAAACCCTACATACTATTTTAGCATTTTATACATACTATTATATATATATACTCTCTTTGTCCGAACCGATTATATCAATTTTATTAGACATGAAAATTAAGAAATAATTATTTTTGAACGTAAGTATGAAATAAGTAAAAAAAATAAAGTAGAATATAATAATAAATTTATTAAAAATGGTTATAAATTAGTTATCAGTCATTCAAGTATATGTAATAAAGTGTACCCTTAAATGTAGAGAAATATGATTCAAAAGGCTGTGTAGAGTTGTGGACTTTTATTTGAACAGTGGTTTCTACCGTTTTGTGAAATAAGATTATTTTTATTAAAAAATAAAAAAAATAAATAAAATTAAACTTTAAGTCGGCACATTACAATAGTCTTGTTTACCATTTTTATCCGTTTTAAAACAATAGTTTCATTTTAATAAATAATCATATCACCGTAAAATTATCAATACTCTTTTATTATTGTTACATAATTGCCACTACTTTCTACACTAATATACTAACAAAGGCAAATAAGTCATTTATCTTTACTTTTTATCAACTACCAATATAATATTTCTTAAATCTCATGCTCAATACAATAAGACTATGCTTCTGGAACGAAATGAGTATTATAATCTGTATTTATTTTTTATTTATTTTTAAACCTTATATTTTAAAATTAATTTCACATTAAAATAAAATAAAATTCAAATTCAAACATTAACGAGCAGGCCCATATTGTTTTTCCACAGGTGTTATGTTATGGTTTGAATTTTATGATATTTGACTTTTGGAGTAAATAATTATTTTGGGCAGAAATTTCATAGTCAAACTGAGTGTTCTTTTGGTTTGAACTAGTTTTTATTTTTAATTGAAATATATTTTGAAAAAAAAAAATTATAGAAAAATAATCAAATTTTTACAAAAATTAAAGTAAACTTCAAAAAATATACCCATAAATACTGATATTTATCTAATTATTTTCCATCACTATCTTAAACTTAAAACTAATGTAACAAATATATATATATATATATATTCGATTCATAACTCCTTTATTGATATGGGAATATCATGATAATATTCTTCTACTTTTAATTAAAAATCAATTAATTAATTAATATAATATATATATATATATAATTATGTATAGTTGATCGCACTACCCATTAAAATAAAAATTATTATATTAGGTTTAATTAATTAATTAAATGGGTTGACCTGAACTGCCAATTAGTACTACAACACCTCAATATTAATAATACTCCCTCCGTCCTAGATAAGACGGGAGTATTATCGTAAATACAAGAATTTAAGTAAAATATAATTAGTAAATAATTAAAAAGTGTATTAGTAAAAATAATTATAAATTAAGATAACTAAATAATTTAACTAAAGTTAAAAAAAATTATATTTTATATTTTAAAATATGATTAAAGTGTATAATCAATTTTCTAAAAAAGAAAACGACAAATTATGTGGGACGGACGAAAATAGAAAATAGGAACAAATTATGTGGAACAGAGGGAATATTAATTTTACTTTTGGGATGATCTCTATGGTATAATTTTGATATTATTAATTGTGTTTAGAAAAATATAAAATAAAAAAATACATATATATATTTAAAAATATATTTTTTAAAATAAAAATAAAACCAAAATTAATACGGAAAAAGCATAATTCTACAATATAATAATCGGATAGTATCTTTTGAGCTATGCATTCTTTCATTCTATTTTTAACCAATCAAGTTTTGTTATGTATAATTTATAAATTATTTTATACTTCGTCATTTCTAATTAAAATATTATTTTTATTTTTTTCACTCCAAAGTATTTTTTTATTTTTTTAAAAAAGAAACTATAATATTTTTTTAAAAAAATAAATATATATTAATATTAAAATATCATTAACTTTGTACAATAACTTTAGTACATAAAATCAAATGTCAAAAATTTTTATATACTTTTAATGATCAATAAAATATTATTATTTTTTAATATATTATAAAATTTTAAAATACCCAATTGAATTGAGACAAAAGGAGTATATTATTTAGACAAAATAACAAAAATAATCTGCAATTTACTGATAATACATCAAATTTTATTTTACCTATATGTAGTTCAAATAATATTGCAAATGAATATTTGGACTATTTTGCCTATTATTTATTAATAACATTTTTTTAAATAAAATATATTCCCTCCGTCCATTTACAATGTTTACATATTTCCATTTTGGGACGTCCAATTACAAAGTTAACATTTAATTAAATACTTTTTTTTTTTTCAACAAATACCCTTACTTTACATCACATCGTTACCTTTACACAAAAAGTAAGGGCAAAAATATCATTACACTACTTTTAACTACTCATTATAATTAAAATACTATTATTTCTTAAACACTGCGCAAAAAGTAAATGTAAACTTTCAAAGCGGACAGAGGGAGTATTACATTATCAATTTTTTAGTATTATTTTTAAAACTCTATAGTTTGTATAGTTTCACTTCCAAACTAAATTTTTTACTATCTAATTTGCATAATTTTTAATAAATATATATATATTTTTTTCTTTTATAAAACATTACATAAAAATATTTAATTGAACCAAAGCTTAACTCAAATACGAATCAAATAAAACATATGTAAATAATACAAAGTAAAGAAGGAAATAAGAAAATCAAGATTTAGGTTTTTATATTTATATAGTAAAATGTATAAATTATTCAACAAGCCCGTCTAGCTCAGTCGGTAGAGCGCAAGGCTCTTAACCTTGTGGTCGTGGGTTCGAGCCCCACGGTGGGCGTTTAATCTTTTTTAATTATTTTCTATTTATTTTCCGTTTCTATGTTGATCTTTTATTATTTTGGTCTTTATTTTATTTTACTTTTTTAAAAAAACGTAATAATAGATAAATATATTTACAAAATATGTTACTATTTTAAAAATAATAATAAATCTCCAAACGTTCACGGCGGAAAAGAAATGCGTTTGGGGTTTGTGTGGTTTTCAATTCCAATCCATTTATTATTATTATTATTATTAAAATATTTTTAATACAAATATTTTTTAATAAAATATTAAATTAAAATATCATTTAAAAATTTCAAATTAAATCATAAAGTCAAATTAAGCCAAACAATGGTGGTGTATTTTTGATAAATATTATTTTTCATAACAATTTTAAAAAATTAGTAGAAGTGCGGAAGAATCTCCATTCAAATTTTCTAATTTCTTTTTTTTTTTTTTTCAAAATATAAAGTAATAATGTCACATTTCATATAAATATAAAAATACTTACTTTAAATTACATTATTATTTTTATACAAAAGGTAATAGCAAAACCTACCTTCATATATATTATTTATGTTATATTTCAATAAAATACTTATATACTAAATTCGCATGCCAAACAGTAAACAAAAAGATTATTAGTGAAAAAATATATATACATTAAATTGATACGGAAAAGTATTAAAAAAATATTCTCTCCGTCACTTAACAATCTATCCATTTTTCTATTTTGGTCCGTCTCATAAGAAAGTATTTATTTCTTTTTTTTGTATTTATACTATCTACCTAAAATTAAAAATACTCTTCCAATTTACAATATATTCACAAATGTCGTTACCTTTGTATCATACAATACTAACATGGTTAATTTTATTTTTTTACCTTTATTTCTATTTATCTCAATATAATACTAATATTCTTAAAACTCCGTATAAAAAACAAATGGATATAGATATGGGACGGATGGAGTATATAATATACACACGATAATTCATTATATTCCCTCTGTCTCAACTAAAGTATCTACGTTACAATGGTGCGAGAATTTAGATAGCATAATTAGTAAATCATTAAAAAGTTTATTAATAAAAATAATTGTAAATTAATTAAAATAACTAAATAATTAAAATTTAAAAAATTATAAATTCTAAAATTTAAAATAGATTAAAAAGGACAAATTACGTGGAATCCAAGTCTAGATAAAATATTATTTTTTATATTAAAGTATTTATTTTTCCATTTTAGTCCGTCCATAACAAAGTATCTATTTATTTTTTTTAGCAATTGTACTATCTACCTAATGTTACAAATACCCTTACAGCTATCGACTTAAGGTTACAAATACCCTTACAACTTACAATATATTACACAAATATCGTTACCTTTATATCACATATACTAGTAAGGTTATTTTAGTCATTTCTATTTTATTGTTATTATATATCAGTATAATACTAATATTTCTAAAACTACCTGAAAAAAAAATAATATCTAATTACGGGGAGGGAGTTTTATAATTTAGACAAACGAAAAAACCAGTTCAAACATGTTAATAATAAATAAAATTCATCAAGCACTAGTAATTTAATTTAAACAACTATATATATATATTACAATGAAACATACAAAGAGCCTTTGATGCCTACAACAAAAATACACACACTGATAAATACTAGAGCAAGGAGAAGACACAAAACACATAAAGATAATAGATACACACTTACACTGTATGTGTGTATGTATATGTATATCCTCCATTGATAGCAATAAAGATTGATGATGAAGCTTAAAAAACACAAACATACATACATACTAGACGGCGTCGCCTTCGAAGAACACTCCTCTAGCGGCCCTTCCGAACATGTTGTGCACCTGCTTTGTCGAGAAGCCTATCTTCTCAAGATCACTCAGCTGCACCAATCATCATCATCGTCATCGTCGTATTATCTCAACTTTCATTATCGAATGAATCAATACACGCTTATATTATGTATAGTTTGTTTGCTTACCGATTTCAAAGGGCTTGTTTCCCTTAACTCCACAATGTACTCGGCTATCTTCTCCCCGATTCCCTGAACAACAACAATTTTGAGATAAATCTCCTAAATCATTAGAATTTTGTGCAATGTTTTGTAAAATACAGAGTTTCATGCAATTTCTTAATCACGAAGAAGAATAATTTAAATTTTACAAACCATCCATGAGTTATATATATATATATGTATGTATCTATCAGATATGCTTGTGGTTTTATTATTACCTTCAACTTCAGGAGCTCTTCCCTGTAGGGATGGTGGAATTGATTATGATTAGACAATGAAAAAAAAAATTATATATATATAGAATGTATGTGTTAATATGTGTGTGTGTTTAGTTAAGTAATTACCTGCTGGCTGTATTCAAGAACTCGATGTAATCTTGGACAAGAGAGTTCTGTTCATCGCCATTTGATGCATCAGTGTTGATTTTGAGTTAAATTAGGAGATAGACGAATAATATGATGATGGGTACCTTTAAGTTAGAGCTTCGAGCAGTGAACTTATCGAGTGGGGTACCAAACCACTGGATATTGTTTGCTCCGCTTCTGAGAACGGCGTGTGAATTAGGAGTCTTGGGATCTGAAGGGATAATGAGGCAGGAGTTTATGCTGTCGACGTTGGAGTTTATAGGAGAAAGGGCTTTTCTTTGGGGGCTATAAAGCTCTTCTTTTTCGTTATCATCAACAAACAATGATTCATCTGCAAAGAAGAGTCGAATGCACATCGTGGAAATGAATTTGGAAGTTTGTTCTTATGAACAGATTGAGGATTACAACATACCTGTTAGAGAAGCCCTTTTCTTGTTAGTTTCAGCAGCAGCTTCAGTTTTAGCCTGTCGAAACGAGATAAGTATTGTAAATCAATTAGGCAATCTGTTGTATACATTCTAAATAAAGTTTACCTTGTCGATATGATCAGTGCTACCCTCAACAAGAAATAGATTTCTGCTTGCTGTGGTTGGACTTCTGTAGATCAAAACTTGAGAACTGAATATCGAGTCTTAGTGTAAGCTTTTGGAGTGGAAAAATGCTACAAAAATTCTTACCTTTGTTTTGCAGATTGATCTTTAACAGCAGATGTATTTAATCTCCTCATAGGAATAACCGAGCTCGGTGTTTTACCACGGATAGCTGAATGGCAGAGTCCCATCCGTTGAGTGCTCTTAGATTTGCCTTTGGATTCTAGCCATGTTTGGAGCTTTGTCTCCATGTCTACTTTCACTTTGGAATTGGCAGTCTTATTTGCTGAGCATACAAAGTTGGAGACATGGCGGGATCTGGCTGCCAAGCTAACTGTGTTCACGGATTCCTGGTACTCTCCTGGATTCTACAGCCGAACAAAAAAATTCAAATCAATAAATGCCATAGAATTGGATAGAAGTATTTATATTTGAAGAATGTTTGTCATACCAAACAGGTAACCATGAGAGCGCGGCTAGATCCTCCGAGAGAATCCTGCAATATTCGCGTCAATTTGCTCTCCCTGTATGGTATCCTCAGCTTGTTGTTATTAAGTGCATAAATCACATTTGATAGGGTGAACAGAGATTGGTTTATCTTGGCACTCTCTTGGAGACGAATTCCTTCGTTGCACGACTTCCTGTTGTCTTCGTTGCCTATGGCAGTGAAAAATACACGCAAATGAGTTTCATAAACTTGCAAAAAAATGACATGGATTCAAATACTGTAGATGATCTTAAACCTGCTAAATCAATGAGGTTAAGCTTCCCGGTGATAACATGGCTAGCTTTATCATGGGAAGGGGTGGAGATGTTAATCAGGAGTACGCCGTGGCTCCTGCTCGATGTATCGTTGAGGCCGGTGTGTGCAACCTTACGCCTCTGGATAGCTGAGGAGAAAACTTGGTTGAATTTGGCTATGGTGTCCACTTCGACCTGACCGAGTCCCTTGAGATGCATCTGCCCATCTTTGTCATTCCAAACCATGATTTCCTTTTCTTTGGGTTCTATCAGATCATAGCATTTATCTAGGTATATCTCATAGTAAGAAATCGCTATAGTACTTCCCGTGAACTTGCACATGGCCAAGATGTTGGTCATGGCGTGCCACATTAAACCAGGCAGATGCTCACTCCCCTGCATTTGCCATATTCCGAATAGAATTCAATTCACAAAACAAACACGCAGAGGACACTTTAAACAACTATTATTGTAACTATGCTCAATCATTTTTCAGAATCAACCAAATAGATGGAATCATATTTGGGAAGATATCAGTAGAGGTAGTTTAAAACCAAACACGCAGAGGACAGGACACTCAACTGAGTTAAACAACTGTTATTGTAATTAAACCTAATCAATTTTCAGAATTAGCCAAATATAAGGAAACAAGTGTGGAAAGATACCAGTAGTGATAGTTTAAAACCCCTGATTTAAGGCTTTGTGAAGAAAATTTATGAGTGAAACCTGCATAGTGTAAGTTTTCCCGCTGCCAGTAGCTCCGTAAGCGAACACAGTCGCATTGAAACCCTGAAATAAGCCTGGAATAAGTGGCGCAACTTCTTTCTCGAAGATCTGACTCAAATTGTTGTCCTCCTGCCCGAAAAATGCATCCAATTTGTAGCACTCTTTCCGACTACATCCACCAGAAAACAAAGACATAAATCTTACTGCGAAATATCACGATCCAGATCTTTAGGGGGAACAAAAAAATCCGACAAAATACAAACCTGGATTCCTGATCCTTGAGAAGAAGAGTAACTTCTTCAAAAGAAGATTCCGACTCTAACAAAGAAACGCAGGACGAAGCATTTCCATTCCTGGAAGAAATTTCGTGAGCCAGAAACGGTCGAACCCTAACGACAACTCGCACCTTCGAAATCGAGCACGTCTGGGGATGAAATTTCACCGGAGTGCTGAAGCTACCGGGTTGATTCACTTCCGCTTTAGTCTCCATGAAATCACCGACGGATCTGCAACACAAGATCACGACGAACTGTGGCTTAGAAAGGAAGAACGATGCAGAAATTCGAAAGAAGGAAAGTGTGAGCGTCAGTGACCGTTGGAGTTTGAACGTTTGAATTGAAAAGTCTGGGAAGTCCTCAGCTCCTCCTTAATATAGTGCTTACTAAAAGACCTCTTTTTAAAAATAAAATATAAAATAATAATAATAATCATAATAGGGGATTTTTTTTTAAAAAAAAAAAATTAAATAACTATAATCGATTTTGATTAATTTTGAATAATAGTAGCCAACTTTTAGCCATGTTTAAATTAAGGTAACACAAAGGAAACCGCAACCGTGACAAAAAGATAAAGGAAAAAGAAAAAATTATGTAGTACTCCTCCGCCCCTAACAATTGTCTTTTGATAAAAATTATTAAATCTAAATATATTTAACAAATATAAATGAATTTAATTAACTGTATAACATGTAACATCATAAATGATCGTAGGACTCACTCAAAACTCATGTATTTCTATCATTTTTCTCAAAAAAATAATATTTTTATCTATATTTAAAATTACATATATTTTATAAAATTGATTTATGTTAATTATAAATAAACAAAAAAACTACATATATTTTTTAATTGCTATATAATTTTTAAATATTTAAACATATATTTTGATTTTTTTTTATCATATATATTAAATTTACTTTTAAACTATAAATATTATTAATTATATAAAAAATAATATTATAACTAATTATTATTAACTAATTAAACATTTTTATCTTACCTGCTATGTCCCTAATTAAATGATTCAATTTCAATTTTTAAGGGAGTATAGTTTTTAGGTATGTCTAAGAGATTTTTTACTTTTTATTCTATATATTTTTTATTATATAAAATTTTATTTGTTTATATTATATATAAATATATAAAAATAAAAATATTTTAACTCGTAACTCACGATGACTTGGTCCAATCCCAGCAGGTTATCCTTACCTGACATATATGTTGATTGCGTCAACAAAAATTATTTAGGTTAGAAATAATTTGAATAAAAACGACGACGTATTGAAGAAAGCTATAAATGCGTAGGGGCCTTAGCGGAAGCAGAAAGCCGGAAGAGAACACGATCGGAAGGAGGACGAAGAGATCGCCACGCCGTGTGCCGCCGCCTCTGGAGCTCCCTCACCTCATCCGCCGCCGATGAGGGCTTGATGTCGCTCGGTATGTTGTAATTTATTCCTGACCAGCTGTAAATTAGGGTTTTTTTACCCCTTACATGTCAATTGTCCATCGCTAGTATGTGATCGGCGCCTGACCGGTCCAGGCGCTTGCTTTTGTTTTAATATATATATATATATTGTTACTGGTCCAATCACGAATATGATCGCTTTCTGGATGAAAAAGATTGTAGATTGTTTAATTGAGGCGCTTGCTCGCGTGAATTATGGAGGTACTTTGTCGAAATCTGAAATTCAAATTAAATTGGTGTGTGCTCAAGTATTTCCACTCTTATTACTACCATTCATTGTCGAATATATGCGGAATCAAGACAATTTAAGGTTTATTTAATCTCTGCAGCGTTATCTTGGTTAGTAAACAATGTGCTTTGGCAGATCTAGGTTTTAATTCTGCAATCTTTACTGTAACTGCCTTTTGATTTATATGTTTTTTATTTATTTTTTTTTTTGTGAGACTTGCAATTGGACGTTGCTGTCCAAAAGCTACTTCATATGTATGCATTTGAGTGTCCATCTTCATACCTTATTTCTATAGGGTGAATTCGATTACAGTTAGTTCGAACTAATCCAAAGTCAAGAACATACCTAAGATCCACAGCTGATATTTGTAAGGTTGTATATCTATGAGCAGGCTGTTGTGTTAGATTGCATATTTCCCTAGTTTGTTGCTTCTGAACAACAAAATTAACCCTTTTACAACTAGCAGAAGTCTATTATGAGCTAAATTTTTATTGGTTTTTTAGGATCAAATATGATGCTGTATTTATTCAACTCATTATTTTACTAGTTCGAACTAATCGGAAGTCAAGAACACCTCAGATGTATATCTATGAGCTCCCATTCTGTTAGATTGCATTTTTCTTCAGTCTCTTGCTCTGTAACAACAAGATTAAGCGTTTTTCGATTATGATGTTTTTATTATGGGCTAAATTTTTGGTTTTTGAGGATTAAATATGATTCTTTATCAATTTCAACTCATTATTTTACTGGTTCAAACTAATCTGAAGTGAAGAACACCTCAGGTGTAAATCTATGAGCTCCCATTCTGTTAGATTGTATCCTTCTTCAGTTTATTGTTCTGTAACAATAAGATTTAAGCCATTTTCGATTATGATGGTTTTATTATGAGCTAAATTTTTGTTTTTTGAGGATCAAATCTGATACTTTATTAATTTCAAGTCATTATTTTACTGCTGTGTTAGACTGCATTTTCCGTCACTTTCTTGCCCTGTAACAATAAGATTAAGCCCTTTTCAATTATGATGGTTTTATTATGAGCTTTTTTGTTTGTTTTTTTTTGGAAGATGAAATCTAATACTGTTAATATTAACTCATTATTTTAATGGTTCGAACTAGTGGGAACTCAAGAACACCTCAGATGTATATCTAGAGCTCCCATTCTGTTAGATTGCATTTTTCATCAGCTTCCTTCTCTGTAACAACAAGATTAAGCCTTTTTCGATTATGATGATTCTTTTATGAGCTAAAATTTTTGGTTTCGCGAACCAACTCTGATACTCAATTAATTTCAACTCTTAATTTCCATATGCATATCTGTTTTGTATTTCAGTATAAACTTCACTCGAATAGTTAGAAGATGGACAGTCAAAATCAAGCTCCAATAAACGGGGTACTGATAAATAAACCGAGGAAAAAGAAATCCACATTACCAGAACCCGAATCATTCCAGTCAGCCGGCGAAAATATGAAAAGGGCTAATGAGATGCGGCTTGCATCTGATCAAAAGGGACAAAAGGCCTCCAAAAGGGGCGCCAAGAACAATAATGCATCCCCATCCTTCCCTGAAGGAATGGCCACACCCACAGATTCCCTGGCAGATAATTCCACTCCCGGGAATGATTACAGAGCTCTGAGGCGAAAGTACTTGCTCTTGGAGGAGGAAAGCTTCGGATTGGGACGAGAGTTGAAGGCTGTGGAAGACGAGATCAAGGCCCTTGAAGAGGAGAAGGACTCTCTGTTGGATGATCTTGTGGTCATGGAAGGTCTTGTTGATCCTTCAGATCTTCAACCTCAGGGCCAAAGATTGCAGTAATTTTGTGTATCATAATTTTCAGGTATGTGTTTTGGAATCATCGATTGCAATTTACGACAAGTCAAGTCATACTAGACGAATCTTATGTAACAGGTCGACCTGGAGGTGTCGGAGTTTGAACACATGCACGGATTTTGACATCATTTTAAATATTTCTATGCCTAAGTTACAACTCAAGAGAGTATATGCACAACATATATTGTGTTATAAAAAAATATACTATGTCCGTCCCATTGAAAGATTGTCATTTTTCATTTTTGTTCGTCCCAAAACAAGGTTATTATTTCATAATTTAGTAATTGTACTACCTATTTAACACAATATTTTTTTTATACCCTTTCAATTTATACTATATTACACAAATGTCGTTATTTTTATATTACACAATAGTAATAGGGGTATTTTCGTCTTTTTCACTATAACTTATTATAATATTAATATTTAAAAATTTACGTGCAAAAGTAAACTGCTTGCGGGACGAAAGAAGTATTATACTAATATATATATTATGTCATAAATTTTTGATTTGTATATAATATATATATATATTGATTGAGTTAAATCAGTATTATGCTAATTAGATTGTAAAAATAGACAAGATAATTTTAATTTTGTTTTTCTTACGAAAAAATATAGGTTCTGTTTAGACGAAGATTTTTAGAGACTTTTGAATTTTAAAAATTTGATAAAAAAAAAAAAAAAAAAAAAAAAAAAAAAAAAAAAAAACAGTTAGCATTAAATTTAATATTTTTTTAAAAAAATATATATTTAATATGATTATATAGAAGGAAATTTTCCTAACTTCGTAGTAAAGAGAAATTAGTTATTCTATAATGCAATATTGGATTGTGTGTTAGGACAGAGATAGGTCCAATAAATTCAACGGTGGCAAATTATTTGTACGGAAGATGACCGCATAGCATGTCCGAAACCCAATAATTTGATGACTCGTGGACAACGAATAAATGGCCAACGGATAACACTTTTTGTAATAAATGCAGGCATTTATTAATTAAACATCGTAGAACACATCGATGTCCGCTCTATTAATGGTCACTAATAATAGAAATTATCGAATCATAACAAGTTAAATTAAATTAATCAAATGTTGCTGACCCTAACATTCGTGCCTCAAAGTCAAAAATATTCTAACAACTTTCTTGCTTTTTCATAGATATATATAATAATTATGACAAATTTACAAGATATTTTTTTTTTTAAAAAAAAAAAATTATAAATAAAAAAATTGATTGAATAAGTTATTTGATATAAATTTTCTAAGAATTTGTTTGTTTGTTTGTGATCTTACATGAGAATCTTCTAATGACTCTTTGTAAAATGTTTGTCACCTAATGTATAATTAGTTTTTTGCTAATTATTTAAATACTCCCTCCGTCCCAATACAATAGTCTTATTCACAACTTTTGTCCGTCTCAAAACAATAGTCTTATTTCCATAAATAATTATATCACCATAAAAGTACCCCTGTTTTTTCATTTATATTACACAATTGTCACTATTTTCTACACTAATACACTCACAAAGGCAAAAAAAATATTTTATCCATATTTTTTACCAACTACAAATATAATATCAATATTCCTTAAATTTCGTACATAACTCAATATAATAGATTTACATTATGCTTCAATTATTCTTTAGTATATCTGTTATACATATGCAATAATATAGAGTGTTTTTAGTTTGTATTTGTATTTTAAGTAATAGGTTTATATGGTGTTTACATATATAAAATAATTATATTTTTATAATTATATAAAATTGTACTCTCTCTTTTTTTTTTTTTTTTTTGATCGGAATAAAATTGTACTCTCTTCATCCTGGCTATCGTGTCTCGTATAATAAAAATAATTTTAAATTAAAATTAAGATAATTAATTAGTCTAATTAAAATTCAAAATTTTAATAGGTAATCTAAAGTGTATAATTATTTTTCTAAAAAATGAAAACAATTATAAGTGGATAGACAGAAAAATAGAAAGATGAATATATTACAAGGGAGTGTAACAAAAAAAAAAGAGTGCATCTAAAAATTTAGTTAAAAATATATTTAAATTATATTCTCTTTACAAAAATAATTCATTCGTTTTTAAATAAAATATCTATTTATTTTTTGTGTAATTGTGGTTAATTTACTATAAAAAAAAAAAAAAGAAAAAATTAAAAAAGAGTATATAAATTTAATGACAAAATGAGTCTTAAATACCCTAAGCAGTGGGGTCACCATTTTATTAACATTTCTAGAGCAGATTTTACAAACTCCAAATTCAAAGCTAAAAAACAGAAACTCAATAAATTAATTAACCTTTTATTTTATTTTATTTTATTATTATTTTAAGCATATGGAGTATTTAAAAGTAAAAACCTTTAATCACAAGATACTTACACAGCTAGAAATAAGAAAAGTCAATCCTTCAATGCCATTTATCACACCACACCACAATGGTCCAAAAAAACAGCACCCTTTACCTATACATACACCTATACATACAAATACATACACATATATATCTATCAATCAATCACTAGAAACCAACAACCTTAGAAGAGGACATTGCTGTATTATTACCACCCACCAACCCTTAATTCCCATCTTCATCACCATCTCCAATTTCTAGGGTTCCTTCATCCCCAACCTTTTTAGGGTTTTACATTTTTTTGCAGAGGAAGACGACGACAAGAAGAAGCTTCCCCAAAAGAATTTCGAAATTTGTGCTTTCTTCAAGCTTATAGCTAGCTCAAGAAAAGTTAATTACATTTTCAGCTTCTTACATATACCTTGTTTTGTTTGAGGATAATATATCAGTTTCAGACAAGACGATCAATCGATCCATCCATGGGGATCTGCTTCAGCAACCAAATCAAGGCTGAGAGCCCTTTCCACACCTCCACAGGTAACCAATCGTTAATTAATTATTTTCCCCCAATTTTGGTTGCCAAATCAGAAACCCTAATTTCTTCAATTTGGGGAAATTCTGGGAAATCTTTCCTCCTACAATGTTTGAATCTGATGAATTTCATTACAATGTTGGCTGTTTAATTGTGCAATAAAACTAGGCGTACCGTCGTCTAGAATAGTCTCCGGCGACGGTGACGGCACATCGCCGGCGCCGGCGGCGCCGCCGGCGGCTCCCCGGAGCGAAGGGGATATTCTACAATCATCGAACTTGAAAAGTTTTACATTCGGAGAACTTAAGGCAGCAACGAGGAATTTTCGTCCAGACAGCATACTAGGTGAAGGAGGTTTTGGATCTGTTTTCAAAGGTTGGATTGACGAGCATACGTTGGCGGCGTCGAGGCCCGGATCGAGCATGGTCGTCGCCGTCAAACGGCTCAACCAAGACGGGTGGCAAGGGCACAAGGAATGGCTGGTGCGCGGCGTAATAATTAATATTGATTGATTATAAGTTCGATTGTTTTTAAGGATCCAAGTGTTGTCTGAATTTGGTGGTTTGCTCTGTTTTTTCGACTATAGGCTGAGATCAACTATTTAGGACAGCTTCGACATCCGAATCTTGTGAGATTAGTCGGATATTGTCTCGAAGACGATCATAGACTTTTAGTCTACGAGTTTATGCCCAAGGGTAGCATGGAGAATCATTTATTTCGAAGTAAGTTAAAACCGCGTGAATATATATATATGTATGTATTTGTTCGGGTATGTTATACTGAGGTTATTACAGGGGGGTCTTACTTCGAACCATTGTCGTGGAGCTTAAGATTGAAAATTGCGCTTGGCGCCGCTAAGGGGCTTGCGTTTCTACATGGTGCCGAGACAACAGTAATTTATCGGGATTTCAAGACTTCTAACATCCTTCTTGATTCGGTAATTTTATACTATGTTCTTGGATCGGTGGTTGTAATAATGTATTTTGTCGTTTGATTTGGATTTGAAATTTTGATTGGTTTCATTTGTTTTAGAGCTACAATGCGAAACTTTCGGATTTCGGGTTGGCGAGGGACGGTCCTACCGGTGATAAAAGCCATGTCTCGACTAGGGTCATGGGAACTTATGGATATGCCGCGCCTGAGTATCTATCCACAGGTACAAATACGTTTACTTTTTGCATGTTAATTAAGTAATAATATTACTTCATATTTGACATATAGTGTAAAAAGACTAAAATACCCTTGTCTTAAATACCTTTGTCTTAACCGCTCGCAATATAATTTCACATATTATTGATTTCTAACGCAATAAACATATTTTTAAAGGACAACTTTTTCAGTTGTATGGTGTGTAATAAAATCATATGTTGTTTGTCTAGAATTATGTGTGCGGTATAAGATAATATCATATGTTAAAATCAATAGTTGTGTGTGTTGTATGTGACTATAACATGTGTTGTTAGTTCATGTGCGATATTTGTATTATATTAATATAAAGAATGTACTGCCAGAAGTAATACGGTGTTTTGTTTGTTATTACATGATGTGTTGTTTGTCATTATATAGTGTATTGTTCAGCACAATGTTGAATTTAAAATTCAATATTGTAGCCGCCGCCCAACTTTTATTATATGTGCTGATTGGATCAAATTACCACTTCATATATTTTTTAGGTCACTTAACTACGAAGAGCGACGTATACAGCTTCGGCGTAGTTCTTCTGGAGATTCTAACCGGTAAGAAAGCGATCGACAAGAATCGACCCACGGGAGAGCACAATTTAGTCGAGTGGGCCAAGCCGTACCTAACGAACAAACGTCGAATTCTCCACATTCTCGACGCCCGTCTCGATGGCCAATATTCAACGACCCAAGCCGTGAAATTGGCGAACCTCGCTCTACAATGCCTGTCGATGGACGCCCGGTCGAGGCCCAATATGGACGACGTCGTTACCGCCGTCGATCAGCTCCACAACGGCAAGGATGCGGCCAAGAAGGGCCATCGGATAAATCGGCACGGCCAATCGGCCGCCACCGGAAATAAGTCGTCGTGGCGGAGCAATGCCGCCGGAAAAAAGCGCGCCACCACCGCCGCGGCGGCGGCGGCGGCGGCCTATCCGAGGCCTTCTGCTCTTTATGCTTAAAGAAGTTTATTTTTTTTCAATTTTTATTTTTTAAAATTTTTTTAAATTTATGTATGATGATGTTTGTACAGTTTGGCATTTCTGGTAAATGATTCTGAGAGGTGTTTGGAAGATTCTGTAAGGGAATATTGACTTTTTGGTTAGACGACTGACTGCCAGTGGTTGACTGAGTCATCCAAATTTGACTTTTCTTTCTCTAGAAAAATTTGACCAAAAAAATTATAAAATAAACAAAAATATATATAATTGTCAAATTTCTTGTTCTAGTTCTAGATATAATATATGTATACCATGTGGGCTATATTATGTAGCGATTTTAAAGATTATATGACATGAAAAAAGAAAAGCTTATGTGATTATCCATTCAATGATAGAACTATTTTAAATTTAGAATTTTAAAAATTTGTAATTTTTCTTTATGGATAAATTATGAGGAGTATTAAGGTTTTGTTTATATAATAATTTTGGAAGTTTTTAAAACTATCTATCAATAGTAATTTTTAAAAAATATATGTATATATTACATTGAATATTTATTTATTTTCTAATAAGACATCATACTAAATACCAAACTTTCTACTATTTCCAAATATTTTCCAAAATTCCAAAAAAATTATATGAAGAAAGCTTGTGTTTCTTTAATTAAATAATATTTAATATTTTATGAAAATATATATATAATATAAAATCTAAATACTACAAAATAGAGTGGAAACTAAAAATAGCCACACAAATTTATTTATTTAATTTTTATGACGTGAAAATCTACTCCGTGCATTGGATAGTGCCACACAAATTTTTGAATGGATATTAAATGATTTTTTGTTAAAACTATATATTTTTAAAATATTTTATTAATTTTATTTTTAATGTGATTGATGACCTGAGTTGAAATTTAAGATATGTGTCTTTATGTAATAAGTCAAAAGTGACAAGATTAGTAGTCCAAGTGGGATTAGTTGGATTCCAAATAATCAATAATAATAATCATCATCATCTATATTATAATAATAATAATAATAATAATAATAATAATGATAAACTGTTTTTTTAGTTCCTTAACTAGACCCTTTATCATTTTAGTCTCGTAAGTGGAGCTTGTTGCAAACTAGTCTCGTAAGTGAAAAAATTTCGTTGTTTTAATCCTCCGGCGCCGGAGATGCCCGCGTGGCTCGCCGGAGGTGACGTGTCCGCCAGGTGTCGCTTCTGCCAGGTCAGCGACACCTGGCGGACACGTAGATTTTTTTATTTTTTTAAATTTTTTAATTTTTTTTTAAACTTATTTTAATTTATTTTTAATTTTATTTGTATTTTTTTTATTTGGTCCAATTTAAAAAAATTTAAAAAATTTAAAAAAAATAAATAAATCCACGTGTCCGCCAGGTGTCGCTGACCTGGCGGGACACGTCACCTACGGCGAGCCACACGGGCGTCTCCGGCGCCGGAGGACTAAAACAGCGAAAATTTTTCACTTATGGGACTAGTTTGCGACAGGCTCCACTTACGGGACTAAAATGATAAAGGGGTCTAGATACGAGACTAAAAAACAGTTTACCATAATAATAATAATAATAATAATATCTCGATTATTCAGTGGTGTAGGATAGATTCGTGACCGTGAGATCATGAGTTCAATTAAAGTCTTAATCAATAGAACAATCTTTATTCTTTATAAAATTGTTGATTCATACATACAATATTTAGGCCGTATTAATAAAGGTTTGAGATAAACTTGTAATCATAAGATCGTTGATTAAAAACTTTTGACGTCTCTTAAATTTGTCTAATTTGACTTTCCTTATTAGCATAATTTGCAGATTATTACGTTCGTTTGGAAGTAGCTGATCGGCACTCATGATTTGCTAAAGTTTTGTTTTGTTTGATTTTTATAAGTGTATAGAAACTGAATTGCAATACTTCTAATTAAACATGTCTGATTAAACAAACAAATAAATAAATAAATAAAATAGTTTGATATTTTATACAAAATAATACTCCATTTATTCACAAACTAATGTTATTGTTTTTTTTTTTTTGAAAAAAAACACAAATTTTATGATTTTACCATTCTTTTATTTATTATTTTTAATCTCTAAATTACAATAAAGTATAAATTTGTCAATTTATAACAAAAAAAAAAAAAAAAAAATACAATACCTAACAAACCTTACAATTATACTGTAAGATAATAGAAATTGAATGAAAAGAGTATGATATTTATTTTATCAATATATAGAATTTATACTACTCCCTCGGTTCAAATACAATAGTCTTGTTTATCATTTTTGTCCGTTCCAAAAACAATAGTCTTATTTTCATAAATAATCATATCACCATAAAACTATCTCTATTTTTTCATTTTTATCACACAATTGCCACTATTTTTTACACTAATACACTCACAAGGACAAAAAGTTTTTTATCCATATTTTTTACCAACTACCAATATAATATCAATATTTCTTAAATTTCGTACTCAACCCAATTAAAATTATATTTATGAGACGAAGGGAGTAAAATATTTGCATTATTTGTAGGCATAAGAGCAAAATGCATTTATTGTTAAGTGATGAAGAGGGTATATTTTCTATAATGTATATATTTCAATTACAAACACAAGACTTGTTTTTAAATCATATTTTATGAGTTTGTTCTATAGAAGTATTATTAATATTTTTTTTTTTTACAAATATTTTTTTATTAATATTATAAGACACTAATAAAAGTATTTTTATAATTTTTTTTATTTGTACTAAATTTTGATATAATAATTAATATTCAAAGATCAATATGTAAAAAATAAATGAGACATTTATTCTGGAGGTAAATAGTATTTTTTTTTACAATATATCATAATAAAAATATTATTTTTTAAAAAAATTCAAAAATTAGTGTTTTTAATTTCTTGCTTACAGGACAACGTAAATGGGCTTTTAGGATCCACGAAAAAAACTAGTTTGAATTAATAGACTACCAATAGTAATAGGCACGTGAAAAAATAGTATGGATTGAAAAATACTCACTCACCGTCCCATATAATATGAATGTATTACCGTAGATATAAAAATTTAGGTAAAGTATAATTAGTAAATAATTAAAAAATGTATTAGTAAAAATAATAATTATTTAGTAAAAATAATTATAGATTAAGATTAAGATACGTAAATAGTTTAATTAAAATTAAGAAAATTATAAAATTTAAAATTTAAAATACGATTAAAGTGCATAATTATATTTCCAAAAATAGAAATGACAAGTTATGTGATACGGACAAAATAGAAAATAGGGACAAATTATGTGGAATGGAGAGAGTAATTAATTACAGATTTATCAATTAATTTAACCTTGTTAATTTAATTAATCATTTGATTTGAAATTGAATTATATAAAACATATCTATTGATATTAAAATACTAATGTAAATAAATAATTCAAGAAAATTAGTAACAAATAGCTTCCATTGTAATATATTGGAAGATACAATAAATTGGGAGTGAGGGCTAGCTACATTATACTTTGTTTGTTTCAGCCTCTTCCAATTCCCAACAACAAGACTAAAAAACACCATTTCTTATATTTTAAATTAAACACAAACAAACAGAACCCAAATCCTAGAATTAAATAACTATATATATATATTTATAATCTCAGACTCTGAAATTCCGGCCGGCGAATGTCTGTCCGAACTGCCAATTTGCCGGCGCCACGTTAAACGAAGTCGTCGTGCGACGGTCACTGCCGGTGACCCTAAACGACAGCGCCTGCCCCACCAAAACGACGTCGCATTGCCAATTCTGCCCCCAATTCCGGCGGAGGGGCAGCCACTGAGTGGCGGGACCCTTCACACTCGCCCGGACTATGTCGCCGGCGCCGGCGACGTTCGTTATCAGAATCAAATTGAAGTAACGGAATCCGTTCATCGTGAATCTAATCCCCCCTCGCTTCTTGCACGGCACCCTGTAAAAGGAATATAATTATTTTTGTAATTAAATTAAAAATTAATTTTCAATTTATTTAAATCAGAATCTCCAGACAATTACTCCGGCGGGTAGGCTGAGGAAGACGACAACCTACAATAACCGGTAATTCCGGTAAAACTGACCGGCTGGGATTCGTAACCGTCGCCATGGGCCCCACGGGATTAGACTGTACTAATACCGAGGCGGGGACGGTAAATTACAATCCTACCCTCGATAAATTTTTTCGCTAGTTTTCTCCACAGGGGTGGTTTTGGAATTACAGAAGCTAGATACTGAAAAGACGAAAATAGCCTTACCGGCGGAAGTTAACGGGGACTATACCGGCGCGGTACCGGGCGATTGTGGTGAACATGGGCATGGATAGGTCGAAATGGGTCCGGGGCGGGTTGCACCACCCGCCGGCGTCGTTGGGTAGGGCATAGTTCGGCGGGCAAAAATTGGTGGCCGTCACGAAAATGGAGGGTCCGCCGGAGAGACACCACTGGGGGACTTTTCCGGCGTCGCATTTGATTTCGAAGCACGCGCCGCAGGTCTGGCCGTTGTTGTAAAGCGCCGTGCTCAGCGCCGCCGTGTTGACGCCGTAGCCCTGGCTGTACAGGTTGCCGTAGCCGCACGCGCCGCCTGCCGCGACGTCGGATGGAAAGAGGAATTACGTTATTAGTTCGAATTGAGAAATTTTATTGTTAATTTGAATTCGAATTTAATGTGATTGATTGGTTACCCATTGTGCCGGCGGCGTCACTGCCGCCGTAGAAGGTGGCGTGGGAGGGCTGCCAGGGGCCGGCGGTGAAGACGCCGGGGATTCGGGAGTGGGCGGAGGTGAGGAGGCAGAGGATTCCGGCAAGGCGGAGGAGGAGTTCGACGGTGGGCCCCATTTAAAATTTCTTAATTACTATTAGGAGAATCGCTACGCAATTGTGTGAATTTATAACATACGATGGAGAAGACGAAAGGTTGTCTGAAACTGAGGTGCGTTTGTTTGAACTTTGTGATAATTTTAAGATTTTATTTTGAATAATAAAATTTTAAATTTAAATAATTATTTTATACTACTTCTTACCAAATACATGCAATATATATAAACAAATACTTCCTCCTTTCCCATTTCCTTATTTTTGTTTGTCTCAAAACAATAGTCTCATTTTTTTTTTATTTTTAGTAATAAATTCTCAATCTTTTTATAAAACTATCCCCATTTTTTTTATAATTATTACATAAAGTATGAGCATTTTGTCTTTTAAAAATACTTTTACACTATATAATACTATTATTTCTTAATTCTTGTATTCATTGCAAATGTTCCTTTTGTATATATTTAGATTCAGAGAAAGCTTATCTAGTGTACATTTTCAAATAATAGAGACGGATTCTCTCGTTATAAAAAAATATATAAAATTTTTTTCCGACCAAACACTTCGCAAAAATTTTGAAATAAGAAATGCTATTGATTATGAGAGGAGATTGGATGTTGATATATTTTAAATTCGCAAAAAATTTAAAATAAGAAATGCTATTAATTATGAGAGGGGATTGGATGCTGATATATTTTAAATTAGCATCATGTTGGTAGTGTAAATATTATTACACATAATTATATTAATTATATAATTTAATAAAATAGATTAATATAACTAATTGTTATACTATTATCATGTGTGCTGATTTTTTAAAAATCAACATCTAATCCCCTCACATTAATTTAATTTTTATATCATATTTTATTTCATTATATCATTTAATTTTTAAATTATCCTATTTAATATTATCTATTTAACTTTTCGTATTGAAAATAAATATTACACTATATTTGAAATGAAAAAGTATAATATAAGTAAATAATATATAATATATATTAAGTATAAAATTAAATTCATATTTAATAAAAAAAAAACAAATATTTAATTTGATTTTCAATGAAAAAAAATAGTAGTAGTGTATTCTTCCTCTTTCAACACAAAGTTAACTTGTTTGAAATGAACATTTATTTCAATAAATAAGTATAATATTATATTGATAGTAGGAATTTATGATACTCCTATAAAATAATTATATTGTGAAATATATATATATGGGATAATGAGATATAAAAAGAATATTGAATGGGTAAATAATTATAATATATTTAAATAAATATATTATTAAAATATATAAATTAACGATGTAACATATTATCTTTTAATATAAATTAAAAAAATACATACTCCTCAGTCATTTAAATTTATTATCACTTTTTTTTTTCATTCAAATTTATTCCAATTTCTTTTTTTAGGTAAAAAATACCATTTTCTTTTAACAGAAAAAATAAAAGTTTTTATTTTGTATACGGAGCACACAATTGGACGATGGGAATATATTTCTTTTTTTTTTGTGAAATAAACAAATCAGACCAATAATCAGATTTTGCATAGGAAGAGAATAAAGATCCTTCCAAATTCTCCAAACACGGCCTTGGAGTGTTACATAAGAGTTGAATCTTGGGAGGTCACAGGACCACAACGCCAGACAGATCTAAACCGTTGGTTTATGTAATGATCGTCGCGGATCGATCTGGCGTCGCAATCCAGGTCTGGAGGGAGTAATTTCATTTCACCCCTAATTAATGCACGTTTTTTTCTTTTAATATTTAATTAGGAATCTGGGCAAGAAAGGAATAAAATCCCAAAATAAAGCAAAAATCAAAAACCACACATTAATTGATACACAGAAGAATTTGCCAAAAGAGTTTAATATACTCTTTTTGTTGGCAACCTTTCCCGAAATATTGAAAATTAAAAGTTACTTGAAATGCAGAAAATAATATATGCATTCTTTTTACAGGATTATTTTATCGCCATTTCATCTCTTACGATTTCCCAATTTCAGATGGAAATTTCATTGCACATTATAATTGGCAAAATAAATAAATAAATAAATACTAATATAATGATAATGATAATAATACATGACCAATTTTGGCTACTTGTAATTGTCCTAATAGCGTACACTCAAATACTTTATTACAGTGGGAGGCGATGGATATTAAACATGTAAGATTTGGTGAACATAAAATGAAATTACGGAGAAGTAATACTACCTCCGTTCCAAACACCTAGCAATATTTGTGTTTGGCACAGATATTATGAAATTATGGAAAAGTGATATGATTGAAGAAAAAAATGATTATTAATTTTTTTTATTTGAGTTATGTGATATGATAAAAGTAAAGTGTATATTAATATATATGTATATAAATATTATTAATTACTTCTAAATTTAAAAATATTACAGTGAATTTGGTAAAAAAAAAATAAAAATTACAGAGTATTTGGAACGGAAGAAGTAGTAGTAAAAAATAAAATTGTATTTATGCATTAGTTACAAGTCCTCAGGTTATAATTGCTTGTTTCTTTTCTTGCTTTGATTTGTTAACAATTGTAATATGAAGATTTTTGTCATTTTCACTGCTATCAAATATAATACTAATATTAAAAAATTCACCTATAAAAAAGCAAACGACAATTTTCCTACCGCAATAGCAATAGGCATTCCACAATTATAAAAGAAGATAAAGGTAGCTTTGCGACAACGTCGTTGCTGCAAGCTTGTAAAAACAAATACAGGGATCAACAAAATCGCATTTTTATTTCGAACACCGCAAGACATATTTTATTTATTGGTTTTTAACATTACAAATCAGAGAAGTAGTGCAAAAGATGCCTTCCATAACAAACACGATTCAAGACATACCTCAATGAATTTCTCACCACATCGGATAGATCAGATCATTCAATCAGAAACGTGTAGTGATTTGGGAAAACAGAGCCTTAAAATCCGTCGTCGGCGCAGAGCCCGACTCTTCGGGCTTTGACGACAGGTCGAACGCCTTGAATTTCGACTCCTCGAAGTTGAGCGCCTGCATCGAGACATTTACGTACTTTGCTGTCATTCCGAAACCTTTAAAAAAAGCTCGGTAAAAATTCAAGAGTCGGATGGATGTCTTACCTGAATGCAGACTTCCGCAACATCGGCTCGAGGTATTGTCCGTGTTTCTGTCTGAAGAAGCTCGTCGTCTTTTCCCACAAGTAGCTCTCTTTTCCCACCTTCCGAATCTTGCAAGCCTCCCGCCCTGGACCATATAAGCCGTCATTATTCGACTCAACTATCTCATTTTTTAAGCTCGAGATTTTCTTAATAATCACTAATCATAAAAAGATAAAAGGACAAATTATATAACACCCGCTTATATTTTAGTAAAAATATATATATTTTTGCGTGAAATCCACTTGTGTTATATTAAAATTTGCACAAAATACCATTTTCATTCAAAGCTGATGTTTGAGTATAAATACAAACATAATTATACAAATTTTGCACAAATAAAAGACGTAAAATATCTCAAATAATTTTTTTATAATAAAATAAATAAAAAAATGGCTATTTAAAATATTTTACATTTATTTTAATATAATACAAAGAGATTTCAGTTGTCTATCTTATGAGTTTTATCTAGGCTATCGGAGTAAAAGTTCTCGGTATTTTTGTCAAGTACCTCGCTATCGATAATTGCACATAAAAATATATGTACCTGATGATGGTGTAAGGAATTCCCGAATCTGCCAAGTATTGTTCGGCCTTGCGCTTCCATATCTGCGATGATCATCGATACATAACATTCAGACAAAGCCTCAGGGCTCAGACCAGTGCACATATTTTAATTTCTGTAATAAACAGAAACCTTACGACATACCAGGATGTTTCCATTTCCCAAACTATTCAAGGGATGATTTGGATTCGTTCCTCCCATCGATCCAACCAACACGATATGCTTCACGCCAGCATCTTTCGCTGTTCAACAAACACGCCTTGTCAGGGCAACAAAAATACCTCGCAGCAAAGTAACCAATACTACGATTCTTACACATTCACTCACCGGCATCGATTTGGTTCTTTTGCCCAATCCAGTCGATCTAAATTATCAAACAAGACAAGAGCAAAGGATTAATGGACAAACAAACAAACGATGTTTCGACAGAAATTGAATCACAATGCAAGCAAATCATACATAACCAAAACCTGTTCAGGGAATGCTCCATCTTCGAAATAAAATTCAGGCCTTCCGCCCTTTGAAGGATCGAATCCAGGCTTCATTTTCGGCACTGCGCTTGTGAGGATTATGAGAGAATCGATTCCTTGCATTGCTGGATTAATGGTCTCGATTCCTCGAATATCCCCGAGGTAAATATCATCTCCTCCCCCTATCTTCTCCTTGCTCTCCTGACTCCTAACCAATCCCCTGCCTTCATACTGCTCTGATCTCTCCTTCAATTTTTTGTACACAATTTGGCCTGCAACACTACCATCATTTTCAATCCATGGAGTTTTCCACATGTACTTTAACAGTTTCGACGTGAATATCAATTAGAATCAATACACTAATGAAATTGAGATCTATACTTGCATTATCAACAAGCTGCAATCAATTTTAGCGAAATATGAAATTTAAAACCCTAGCAATCTAATTGCAGAAATTCCCCCAAAATATTGTGTCGAGCTAATTGCAGAAATTCCCCCAAAATATTGTGTCGAGTGTGTGTGAACATTATTTCAATTCAATTCACTACAGAAATCGAGATCTATACGTGCATTATCAACAAGCTGCGATCGATTTTCGCGAATTATGGAATTTAAAGCTACAAGCAGTCCTAATTACAGAAATTCCCCCCCAAAACGAGCGCAATCGAACGAGGAAGAACAATTGAGAATGAATCAATTAGAGAAAGGAATAGCATCGTCACCAGCTCGATGCGTATATACATATCAAGCTGCAATCGATTTTCGCGAATCGTAAAATTCAAACCCTAGAGTAATTCTATTATTAAATAAATTCCCCCAAAACACGAGCGCAATCGAACGAAGAACAGTTGAGAATGAAACAATTAGAGAAAGGAAGAGAATCATTACCAGTTCTGCCACCGGCACCAGTGACGAGGACGGTGGATTTGCTGAAATCCGACATCGCCGACGCACGAATTCGCCTGAAGATTCTTTTAGCCTGCGGAAGGGGAAAAGAAGAAGAAGACGCTGCTGATGAATTTGGGAATGTGGAAATTTCTGGAAGCTTTGTAGCACCCAACAAACCCAGTCTATTGACTAAACAGCATTTTGGGGCAAGCGCTGAGCACGAGGCACCGAAGGGGACACGTGTCATTCTCCCGTTGGTCAGATCTTTCTTCCAATCCGGCGGTCGACGGGAAAGGGACGATTCTCGAACCTGCGAAAGTTTTGCACACACTGAACAATCAATCAATCGATTTTCATATACGTTTAATTATATTTTTTTTCCTTATCCTCTTTGTCTAAATAATCGCCATTGTTATCTTCCACAGCCCAATTTTGAGCTGGGCTGCTGCTGCTGCTTTTGCTGGGCCTGATTCTTACAAAGATTAGAATGGAATTTCAGAAAATGGATATGTCGGAATTTATTTATGGTAAGAAGAGAGTAGGAACATTTATTTACAGGCCATTGATGATGAAGTGATGAAAATTTAAGCTAAGCTAAGACAGAAGTCTCGACAGCAATGCCTGAAGAGAAATTGATTTGGTTAAGATTGTCTGCTGCTTGCCAGAGCTCAGGAATGGCTTCCCGGAGATTATGGATGCTTTCCAGTGCGTAATCTGCTCCTTTAACTCTCTGAGATTTTCCGATCTGCGTTACAAATTCAGACAAATTTTAAGTATGTTTGTGTCTGAAGCAGACAAGTTTCTGTGTGGTCGGTTAGGTTAAGACATCTTACCAGCACTGTGTGGAGTCCTACACGTTTTCCGGATTGGATGTTTCGGACACTGTCCTCGAAGAAGATCTGCGGAGGAGAAACATTGTTAGGATCGATGTGTAGGAGAAAATGATGTTTGAGATTGGAGTACTTACTGTTCTATGAGGATCGATGCAGGCAATCTGGAGGGCGGTGGTAATGGCGGATTCTGATGGTTTGCAGACGACAGGACTGTCGGGAAGAGTGGATGAAGAGTTTGCTGTGTCTGGACGAGAGAAGTGTCCGATGAGGTCGAATATCTCGGAGCTTGATTTGGACATGGTGCTGCGATGATTGGTCGGATTTAGCGTCTCGAAGCAGATGATACCTTCGAAACAGTCTTCGAGGCCGAGCTTGCTAAGCGCTTTGACGGCGTGCGCCTTGTCGGCATTGGTGAAGATCTGCTTTCATCGATTCAGACATTATTAACCATTATAGATTGTGCTGTGCACTTGACGAATGTAATTAGAAAGAAGACGACTCACGAGTTTTCGGATGGGCAAACTGAGCAAAAGGCCTCTCAGGACAGGGTCTGGTTTGAGGTTGTCGTAAGGCAATCTTCCATGGACAAAACTGCAGCAGAATTCGAGGATATTCATGAATCCATACAATTAGATATACATATATATTATTACACACAGGATTCATGTCTCTACCTGTGATATTCATCATAGTCAAAATCATAGCCAATTGCTCTAAGACCAGCCATTGTAGTGCCATAATGTTTGTACAGTAAATCGCACAATTCAGGAATTTTGCTCTCTTCTATCCCCAATTTTTCAACCATATATACTGAAACGTCATAAATTCAGACACTAATGAAAGGAGAAATCAATTCAGACAAACGTAATGAAATTTATCAGATTAATTACTACCTTTGATGTTGGTAAGAACAGAAGCCGCCAGACCAGAGCTCAGAGGATAAAGCGTATCATCGAGATCTGGACAAACACATACACGAATTGTCCGTTCCATCATACAAAAATTTATTCCCTCGGAATCGATCTCGGAAAATCAAACCACGTGTTTTGAGGTTGTAGAAACGAAATCTTACCAAACAAGAGACATTCGTACTTCGGTGCCTGAACCTGCATTCTGTACTGCTCCTCGTAAGCCATCTCAATCTGGAACAAGCTTCATTACAAATAAATTATCAGACACTAAATTATACATCATCGTCGGAGCGAAAGCAATTACCCTAGCATTTTCCGACAGCATTATTCGAGTCATTTCAAATGCCTTCTCGTCAGCGAGTGTAAGAATATTAATCAGGATTCTAATTCATATATACATAAACAAAGACATGTATACATATTCGATCGAGGAAACCGAGAAAGGAATTACCAGAACAACGCCGGAGAAATCGATCGGAGGCGGCGGAGACCGACAGGCAATATAGTAAGTGTGCGTTCTGCGCTTGTAATGAAAGACTGAAGCGCTGCCTTCCTTTTATAGAACTAGAAAAATAACCGTTGAAACAAAAATTCAAAATAAATTACCGTACAATAATAATAATAATAATAATAATAATAGTTTCCATTGTGTGAATGCCGTTTAATATTAATCAACGTTTAAAACATGGGATGAAAAAAATTAGTTTAGGTCCGAACACAATCGTGTAAAAATTTACTGACACATTTCTTCCAACAAAAAACATTTTAGAAGTCACAAAAAGCATTAATATTTTTTTATTAATATTATAAAAATATAATATATATTTACACAAAATATATATTATTCTGTTTGTTTTGACTAATTACTTCTTTAAAATTACAAATATGACACTAGTTTAGTTTGAATTTATTCTTTTTACAATTTCAAATTCAAACTAATATATACTATTCATTTTATATATTTTTTTAATAAAAATACATTAGTTCGTCTTACTAAACACTATATTAAAAATATTATTTAAAAAAAATCAAATTAATAATCCATTTGAAATTAATTTGAAACCATCTTATTATTTTATGTATATTTACATGTAACATATAAATATTATTTAATTTATTTAACAAAAAATAAATAAATACATATGTGTGTTTGTTCGGAGATTGGATTTTCAATCCACTTTTCATACTATTCTTTTTATTTTTTTTTTCCAAAAAACATTAAATCAAACACCTATTCTTTATTTTTTATATTAGGCTAAAAATTAATTTTATATTCAAAACATCACATCAACACCTATTTGTATCACATCATACAACTATTCAAAATTCAAAATTTTTACTATTCAAATTTCAACTCAAAAGTCAAAATCCAAACCCTCAAATAAACACATCCATAAAGATTATTTTAGATTGAATGATTCTTTCATAAATATTGTTTTAAAAAATACTAACATACAACGAAAAATTAATAATTCAATATAAAATATTTTTTTATATTATTAATATAAAATACCTGAAATAAAAATACATACATCAACAAATACAAAATAAACAGTTTGATTTTTGACTTTTTATTTTTTGGCCCTTTTCTTTTTTTGCTTACAAATTGGTTTAAATGTAATACTTCATCCGTGTCTACTGATAATATATATATATATATATATATCTTTTAATATAAACTAAAAAATAATAGTCGTGTTTAAGTTTCTTTTCATTACTTTTTATATTTTAATTTCGTATACTGATATTTATATAAATAACTATAAATTTGAAAATATCTATAATGTCTAATATGACAAAATTTACTAACTAAAAGAAAAAATATATACATTTTGTTTGGACAAATAAAAATGATTTGTTTATTTTGATCCGTTCTATAATAAAGTATCAGTTTTTTATTTATTTTTTTAGTAATTTTACTATCTATCTAATATTATAAATATTCTTCCAATTTACAATATATTATACAAATGTCATTGTCTTTATATCATACAATACTAATGGATTAATTTAGTCTTTTTTACATTTATTTCTATTTTATTCCAATATAATATTAATATTTCTAAAACTTAAAAAGCAAATGAATATATACATATGGAACACAAGGAGTATTATATTTACTTTAAAAGAAAATTAACAATTCAACACAAAATATTACTTTATTCGGTCTCTAAAGGTGACATTTACTTTTTGTGTCATTGTACTTGACATTAAATATCCTTATATTTGTATAATTATTTTGCAAATATTCTTTTATTAGTATTATAAGACACTAATTAAAGTATTTTTGTAATTTTTTTTTATTTATACTATATTATGATATAATAATTAATATTCAAAAATCAACACATAAAAAAAATAAATAAGATCCTTAGAGCTAAAGGAATATAGTATTATTTTTTATATTATTGATACAATTTTTCATACGGAACGTAAAAAAATATATTCAATCCAAAAATACAAAATGAACAAACTCGAAATATATATATATATATAGTTTATTAGTGGACAAACTAGACTTACGTTAAATCAGATGGAAAAGCATCTTAGCTAAATTAAGTTTGGCAAAAATAGCTGTGAGCAATTCAATGGCTTTTGGTAACCTTAATTAGTGTATAATTTATAAATTCGTACATATGCTTTACAGCTGTTGTTGTAGCGTTACACTCTGGATTAACGTGTTTGTTTTGTATTTTTAGTTAAGTTTTTTTTTTTTTTTTTTTTTTTTTTTTTTTAAAAATGAATATTAAATATATTGATGATATAAAAATAATTAAGTTATAGATTTTTTAATAAATGAAAAATATATAATACATTATTTTATATAATATATTGTACTCCCTCCGTCCCACATACTACATACCGTGTCTGTTATACTGTAGACACGGTATTTTAAGAGATGTGTAATTAGTAGATAATTAAGAATGTATTAGTGAAAATAATTATCCTATTATATAAATAATTATAAATTAAGATTAAAATAACTAATTAGTTTAATTAAAATTAAAAAAGAAAATAAACTAGAAAGTTTGAAATGAGATTAAAGTGTGTAATCATTTTCCAAAAAACGAAAGATCTATGTGGGACGGATAGAAACGACAACGTAGACATGGTATCTGGAAAGGAGTGTATTATTTTATAATATTAATTGAAAATCACATCATTTAAAATTAATAATTATTTTATTATTACCCCACTTAGGTAACAGAGCATTAGTTTATACTAATTATTTTATATATAAAAAAAATGGTATATATATATATATATATTTAAGTTGATTTCACAATTTGAGTTACGTTGAAGAAACAAATTAAACTGCAATATACAAATATTCTCCTCAATTATTTGCACCTTTGATTGGCTGATTGTGACACATTTTATATAACCGTTTTTTTTTTTAAATTATTATTGCAATTGTCGTCTTATTATTATTATTATTGAAAATTATTAAAAAGAATTTTAATATTCAAAATTCGTGATGATAAAAAGAAAAAAAAAATGTTACTCCCTCCGTCCCACATAACATGTTCACGTTGCCGTTTCTGTCCGTCCCGCATGCCATGTCACTTTTTTTTTTGGAAAATGATTACACAATTTTAATCTCATTTTAAACTTTTTAATTTTATTTTTTTTAAATTTTAATTAAACTAATTAGTTATCTTAATCTTAATTTATAATTATTTATATTATAGGATAATTATTTTTACTAATACATTCTTAATTATCTACTAATTATACTCCTCATAAAATACCGTGTCTACAGTGTAGCAAACACGATACGTGAGACGGAGGTACTATTGTTTATTAGTATTACTTATTGATGACTATGCAACAGATACATTATTTTATTTATTTTAATAATATATATGTACTTTAAAGTTTATAAATCATCTTTAAATCCATGATTATCATGCTAATTTATATGATTACATAACATTTTAATGAAGTTAGAATTAAATATATTACAATCTCATCATCACAAAGGCGGCTTGTTTATTTAATTCTACGTTTCTTTTTGACGATTTTGTAAAAAATTTAATTTGGATTTGATAAGAAACAATTTTATTATTTTTTTTTTTTTAAAAATGTAGAATCTAAATAATAAAATTTAAAAAAAAAATTGCTAAAGAAACATACTCAGTTTAGTTTTAATTTGAAATTAAATTTTAATTTAAATAATATTTTAATAAAAAAAAATAGTAAAACTTTTTATGTCCTCAACTGCCATAATAATCGTTTACTTTTTACATGTAGGGTGTGTTCGTTTGATGGATTTGGATTAAATTCCACTATTCATCCAAAATTTTCCCCCCAAAAATATCAAATCAAACACCTATTTTTCATTTTTTATATTATACTAAAAATCAATTTTACATTCAAAACATCACATCATCACCTATTTATATCACATCATACAACTATTCAAATTCAAAATTTTTACTATTCAAATCCCAACTCAAAATCCAAACCCCCAAACAAACACACCCGTAGTAAATTATAGAATATTAGTATTTTATAAATAATTGTACAATTAAATGATAAAAAGATTTTTTTACCTTTAAACTTATTTATTTTAACAACATTTTTTTAATATTGCGTAAAGTGTAAAAATATTATTTTATTTAAGTGAGAAGTACAATTTTAAAAAATGAATATTATTTCATTAATATTTACTAGTTTCTTTACATTATTTGTTATCGGATCAAACTATTATTATACTGAAATTAAAATATATTATTTAAATATATATTATATTAATATTTGTTATTTTTTTAATAAATATTTACTTATTACTGATTTAATTTGATCAATATAGTATATTATTATATTATATATATATATATATATGTGTGATGGAATCTATTTCAATAATAATGAAAGGGGTCTATAATTAAAAACAAATAAATAAATAAATAAATAAATAAGAAATTCGTTGGTGGGTATTTCATACTTGATTATAATTCACAGTGCCATAAGCAGTTTTGGAAGTTTGTAGCCAATAATGCAATTTATAGATATGTACTATATGCCTATGTTGGATTTATTATTATTATTATTATTGTTATTATAATTGTTGTTGTTGTTTTGCATATAATTAAATTTATACTATCATCTTCATCATTTACCAATTATTGGTGAGATTATCATTAGACATATATATATATATATAATCTTTTCGTCCAATGTACCGTGTCCGGTCTACTGTAGACTAATTTATGATAACTATAATCAGTAGATAATTAAGAATATATTAGAAAAAATAATTATTTTTTAATATAAATAATTATAGATTAAAATTAACATAACTAATTAGTCTAATTAAAATTTAAAAAATTATAAAATAAGATTAAGATATATAATCATTTTTCAAAAAAGAAAAGTAACATGAGATGTGAAACGAACAAAAATGACAATATGAACACGATAAGTGGGATAGATAGAGTAATATAATAAATTGCTATCATTCATTCTTTTTTTTTTTTTTTTTTTTTTTTAAATGAACACTTAATATATTCCAAATTAAATGCCATGACCTACAAACCACTATAGCCAAGAAAATCATACTTCTTATATATACACAAAAATTTAATAGAAATATAATTAATAAATAATTAAAAATATATTGAATTAATAAATTAATTACAATATTATACTTCTTCTGTTGTATTATTTTTCCATTTTCGTCTGTCCCAAAATAATTCTCTTGTTTCTTTCTTTAGTCACCGTGGTCCCCACTTTATAACAAAATTATTGTTACTTTTCCAAACTACCCATAATTATTACTCTAACATACTTTTTAAAATCCTTCGAAAAACAAGGACATTTTAGTCTTTTACATTCTACTTTATACTCACTTTCAATTGAATACTATAATTTCTTAATTTCAGTGCCAACACTTAATAAGACATCTCTTCTTAGACGAAGACAGTACATATAATTATAAATTAAGATTAAAATATATAATTAATCTAATTAAAGTTAAAAAAATTATAAATTATAACATTTAAAATGTGATTAAATTATATAATATATATAATATATATTTTTTAAAGAAAACATAAAATGTGAAATAGATAAAAATAAAATTCATGACATTATATGTGTGAGATGAAAAAAAAAAAATACTCCCTCCTCCGTCCCTTAACAATCTATCTATTTTTTTTTTATTTTGGTACGTCCCATAACAAAATATCTATTTTTTTTATAGTAATTGTACTATCTACTTAACATTACAAATACCATTTTAATTTACAATATATTACACAAATGTCATTACATTTATATCATACAATACTAATATGATTAATTTAGTTTTTTTACTTTTATTTTTACTTTATCATAATATAATACAAATATTTTTAAAACTCATGCAAAAAGTAAATAAATATATAGATACAGAAGGGAGGAAGTATAGACAAAACTCTAGGTGACAGGTGGACTTGATAGACACTTTGGTAGCTCTCTTACATTGCTTTGCTATTTAAAACACAAATTCTTTATATATATATATATACTAAGTTATCCATGAATCCACTTGTACATCTATCATTATTCCAATCATTACTTATTACACATATATCCATCATTTAATTAATTTGTTTTAATTTTTAATAAATAAATAAAATATTATTTAAATTAAAATTTAATAAAAATATGCTTATATCAAACAAAACCTAATCGTCCATGTTGTATTTTCTTGGATTCATTTTTCACTACAAACTCATTGTGGCGTGATAAAATCTCAATCTCAACCAATTATTACATTATTTTAATGAATATGTTAGGCTTTGTTTGGATAAAGAGTTTTGAAAATTTTAGAATTTTAATTTAAATAATTTCAAACTTAATAAAAACTAAAATATTTAATACGATATTTATTGAGATACAATATATATATATATATACACACGATCTTATATATTCTTTTTTTTTTTCTTTAAAAAGAATATAATATCAAAACTTTTAAAATATTGTTAATAGTACAACATGAAATTTAGCATCATCTAATCATCTATGTATGGAACTCTAACATTACAGTCAAATGTTTTTTCGAATTCTAACAAACGTGTTTAACTGATACTACATAACAAAACAACAGCGGGCCGATCTAGAAATTTTTTTTTACTGATTGCACAATATATAAACTTAAAAATAAAATAAATTATAAGATTTGATTTATTAAAAAATAATATTAATGTAATATTATTTTGTATATTTATGTTTTAAAATATAAATTAATTATTTTAATTGGATTAAATTTTAATTATTGGGTGCTGATGATATTTTAAAATTTAAATTTTAAATAATTCACCTCATTTTTTTAAGATAATAATGCAATTTTAAATTTTAAATGAGATACTATAATTTTTTTAGTGGTAATAGATTTATTAAATTATAATTTTATTTTTTTTTGATATAATAAAATCACTAGTGATACGTGCCACAAATTTGTTATTATATACTCTCTCATTCCACATATAATGTTACAATTACAGTAGATATAGAAATTTAAACAAATATAATTAGTAAATAATTAAATATGTATTAATAAAAATAATTGCAATACACCACAAATAATTATAAATTAAAATAATTATTTAATATAATTAAAATTTAAAAAAATTATAAATTATAAAATTCAAAATGTTATTAAAATATATGTAATTATTTTTTTTTAAAAAAAAATATAATATGAAAGCCATAAACAACAATACGAACACGATGCATAATGAATACAAACATTGTTACTATATACAGGGCAAGTCTTCGCTTTAGCTATACAAAAAAAACTTACAAAAACTTTATACAAACTTAAAAAACGCGCGATCTTCACCGTCGAACCGATGGCTCGGACGGCCGGATCAAAGAGGAGCGACGAAGTCCGGTCGCAATGGCTACAAACCATCGTCACGCGCGATTTCATGTTTTGGGCCGTCTATTGTCTCAATGTCTTCGACAAATCCTTGTTTGAACTTATCGTAATTTGTTGGCTCGATGTTTTTAAAAGGGCGTTCGCCGAGCACTCGAACTAAATCTTCTTGCTGCAATACTTCTTTCTCCAGCAACATCTCGGCAATTTGCGCGACCTGATCTTTGCGTTCCTCGATCAGCTCGACTGTTTGAGCGTACGCTTTCCCGACCCACTCTCTAACTTCGTCGTCGATTATTGCAGCCATGTTGCTGCTGTAAGGTTTGGTCCATCCAAAACCGTCTTCCCTTTGAGGGAAGGAGAGTAGCCCAACTTTGTCGCTGAAACCGTAGACAGCGACTTGAGCGTACGTCATTTTCGTAACCTTCTCGAGATCGTTTTGTGCGCCAGTTGAGATCTTCCCGAGCAAGACCTAAGCACGAAAAACATGTCAATATCGATACTATTGGTTCGGTACTCGGGTATTGCTGAAGTTAGTATAGATGGAAAAAAGAGGATGATTACAGTGCTGACCGAAACAAATAAGTATGACGTTGAATAAAGGTTTAGAGAACATTAAAGGGTGTGCCGTTAGTTCATACTTCTAGGTTTGTCGTATGAATATATTTTTTCGTGTTATATGAAACTATGTTATGTGCTGTCCGTTTATATATGTGTTAAAAGATCATCTTACCTAATTTTTTAGATGAAATGCTCATAAAAAGCTAAGGATCATGTATTGATCTGACTAAGTCAGCATGATGCTGATTTGACCGATCAGCATTATGTGATACACATAGCCAATATATATTTACACATAGTACAACCTATTTAGAGTTATAATATAACATATATTGTATTATAAATATGATGAGATATGTATAAATATATGCAGAGATTACCTGTATAGCATATGCTGATCCGGTCAAATCAATCGTTAGCATGGTGCTAATTTGACTGGATCAGTATTATGTCATACACATAATCAACATATGTTCACACGTAGTACAACATATTTTGAGTTATAATATAACATATGTTGAATTATAATAAAACATATATTGTATTATAAATATGATGAGATATGTATAAGTATACGTTGATTACTTGTATAGTATATGTTGATCCGGTCAAACTAGCACCATACTGACTTGACCGGATCGACAGCTGATCAATGTCCGGCCATAACAATATTAACATAAATCACGTGTTGTATGTCTCTATCGCATGTTCCTATATCATGTATAAAATCCAGTACAGTAACAAAAGCCTCACCTGCTCGGCCGCGCGGCCGCCTAACGTCATGCACGTCATGTCGTAGAGTTGCTCTTTTGTCATCAGATAGTTTTCGTTCGGAACATACTGAGCAAACCCGAGTGCTGCCGTGCCACGGGGAACGATCGTGACCTTAAGCAACGGCTCGGCGTGTTCTAGAAACCATCCGGCGACGGCATGGCCGGCTTCGTGGTAGGCGACAGTTCGACGCTCCATCTGGCTGATAGCCTGAACCAGGAAACACTTTAAAGTTATGTCTACAAGAATATGATTCGATAAAAAACCATTCGTTGCATCGAGTACCATGTTCTTCTTCTCGAGTCCTCCAATGACGCGATCGATCGCGGCCTCAAAATGCCGCATCGTTATCACCGTGCTATCGGTTCTTGCGGCGATTAGAGCAGCCTCGTTACAAACGTTGGCGATATCAGCCCCAGCAAATCCCGGCGTTAGAGCGCAAAGCCTGCGTGAGTAATACGACGGATCTTGATCGAGCTTCAGCTTACTGAGATAGATACGGAAGATACAATCGCGGCCCTTGATGTCAGGCTTATCGATGCTGATCTGACGGTCGAAACGCCCCGGCCTTAACAGGGCTTTATCCAAAATATCGGCGCGATTCGTGCCCGCAAGCACAACAACACCGGCGGTGGTTCCAAACCCATCCATCTCGACGAGCAATTGATTTAACGTATTCTCGCGCTCGTCGTGGCCTCCAGAGAATCCACCGCGCCCTCGCGCTCGTCCTATTGCGTCGATTTCGTCGATGAAGACTATGCTCGGCGCACATTGCCTCGCCTCGTGGAATAAGCTTCGAACTCTAGATGGCCCGACTCCGACAAACATTTCCATGAAATCTGATCCGGATATCGAGAGAAACGGAACACCGGATTCTCCGGCAGTTGCTTTAGCAAGAAGCGTTTTTCCAGTCCCGGGAGGGCCGACAAGAAGAGCACCCTTTGGAATTTTTGCGCCAAGATCTTCGTACTTATTCGGATTCTTTAGAAAATGAACAAACTCCATAATTTCTTGTTTCGCCTCATCGCAGCCGGCGACGTCCTTAAAGTACACCTAATAATCAAGCAAATAATCGTCGATTCAGCTTTCTTATTGAAGCTAAAAACTTACCATCTGTAGAAGCAAGTATTCGACATGTCGACCTTATTCGGGGAGTTCTTATCCATCTTCGTGACCTTCGCTTTTCCAATATTGAAAATTCCTCGGCCCCCTTTGCCACCAGGATCTCCAATACCTCCAACGCCATTTTTCCTTGCCTGGTAGATAAGAGCTCCGAGAAGCAGCAATGTCGGGCCAAATTTCGATAATTCTTGAACCAAATTCACCTCAGAAACATAAGTGACCGGAATGTAATCGTGAGGATCGACCCCTAATGCCGCCTGTGCTTCCTCAAGCTTCTCCTCAAAAAATTCGACGCTTCCAATGCTAATGTAGTATTTATAATGGCTTGCAGTTCTGGAAGGATTCGTATCCCCAACTCGACCATCAACATGTTTGTCTCTGTTTTGACCATCATTCGAAGGTGAGCTCTTTAGGTATACTTTTGCGACTGATTTATTTGAAACAACAATGTGATCCACAATCCCCGGCTCCAGAAGCTGGTTCTTGAACTCTTGGAAACTTATCTGAATCAATGTATAACAAACACAAAGTTTTCTATTCAGTACTTTTTTCCTGAGCATACAACTCGTACGCCTTCTTCTATACACAATTTTCAAACTTAGATTAACAAACTACCTACATTCATTTCAATCAAATGACATGCTGTTCTATGAAGCTAATCTCACCTACACAATGCAATGTTTGCGTACAAGAAATTAAGCTCGAATACAGATTATCGGCACACACTGTATAAGCATTTTAATCTCTCAGAAGACGTACCTTTGTGTGATTATCGGGAACAAAAGCTCCTACAAATAAGACATAAGCAATCAGCAACAACGGCATAAGGCTTTGCCGGAGTTGCTTTGATGTTTCAGAGTTATTCCATTTTTCTGCGGCGTCCTCTGCATAAAAGAAAACTTATTACCAGTGAAGTAAAAGCTTGAAACAATCCATTATTGAAACTTATTCCAGTTTTCACTACCTTTAACCTCAGCCTTTTGATTTCTTGTTTTTGGAGCTTTGAATTTCTTCTTTGGACGATAGTTATTATAATCTACAAGAAGTGCATTCGATGATAATTGATAATGGAACATCAAACTATGCTTTCAAAGCCAACATTAACCAAAGAATGGCAACAAAAAGATATAACCAAGACGATAAACTAATGTCACTAGCAGAGCTTCAAAGGCACTTTAATGGATCTTCTTTTCCTACTCCTTGAATCAATTATTGATTAATTCTAATATGCATTTAGCCCTAATTTCTTACTCTTATTCTTCGGCACTTTGCTGCAGAAAAGCCTCCGCAGAATGGAATTTGTGAAAATGGAGTCGAAGTCCTTCGAAACACGTTTACCGGCTCCAATCGATGTTAAATAGCTCCCAAGGAATCCAGACCTGCCATTTCCATATGATGCGAATCCGTTGTTGCTCGCAGAGGAATTGGCGAGCGTCGTTGCTCGAACTCGATAACCGCCGGAACAAGCAACCTGCAAGCAGAAATTAGAAAACGCGCCGAATTTTCGACGAAGGTAATTTCGAATTCAAACGTGAATTTCCAGCTTACTTTACCGAGAGAGGCGCGAGATTGCAGATATATGGATCGTCCGATTCGCGGAAACATGATTGTTAGGCATGAATAATCGATGAACCAGAATCGCGCCAAACAAAAATTCCTGCGATGAACTCGTTCTAAACGGGATGATTTGAGAAAATTGGAAAGTAGACTGGTCTCCCGGCGTCGTTCCTTCCTTCAATGGTGTTCCACGAGTCCCGTACGCGTACATTTTCCAGAGACGGAAAAGCGTCTGGTGAGAGGGAAGCCATACATGCCATCGGACGGACCGCCGGAGAAGAAGCGAGAGGGGTTATATGCAGTGACGATTTTACCCCTGAAATTCGTTCCTTCAGTGGGTTTTGGGTTGGGCATTTGGTAATTTGGGGTTAAAGGAGGATAGTGATAATCGATCAACTCGTTTATTGGGCTTTATACTTCGGCCCAATAATTATTGGGCCTTGTCTACATTTTAGAATTTCACAAGAATTTCAAATGGTTTGATTGGTAACATTGAATCCTATGATTTGATTGATTTTGATTTAAAATTGTTTTTATTTTATTTTATTTTTATCTAAATAGGACTTCATCCGTCCAATTTTTATTATATTTGTACGATTTTTTAGGTGATTGTCTTTATGATATGAATCGACAAATTTATCCGATTAAAAGTAATAAATGAATGAAAGAAAAAATGTAAAATTTGTGTTTAAAAAACTGAAATAGAATAATAGTTGTTTGACGTTATAAATAAAAAAGTAGGACATTAGTTTAGTTTGTAGACGAATCAAGTATTATTTTATACTCCATCTGTCTGTGTCCAACTTTATTTGTCCCACTTAATCTAAGGGTGTGTTTGTTTGGGGGTTTGGATTTTGAGTTGGGATTTGAATAGTAAAAATTTTGAATTTGAATAGTTGTATGACGTGATATAAATAGGTGTTGATGTGATGTTTTGAATGTAAAATTGATTTTTAGTATAATATAAAAAATGAAAAATAGGTGTTTGATGTGATGTTTTTGGGGGAAAAAAATTGGATGAATAGTAGAAATCTTATTAAATCCCCCAAACAAACACACCCTAATTAGACTAATTTGATCTCTTAAATTTAATTTAAAATTATTTTTATTATACCATAATTATTTTTATTAATACATTATTAATTATTTACTAATTATACCATCTTAAATTCTCATGTCTATATTAAACAAGAAACGATAGTTGTGATGGAGAGAGTAATATAAAATTATGTATATTTACAGAAATGAATTAAATATGAAATTAAAAATTAAAACAATTTCAGGAATAATTACATAATTACATGATAATATTCTATATTATTATACTCTCCTTGTGTACTGATATTTATTTTAAATAGTATTGAATAAAGATTAATAATTTAATGTTATTTGTTTATTTTGTCAAAATTAATAATATTATAAATTTAATTGACAAACTAAAAAGATAAATAAATAAATTTGAATAAGATTTATTATTTATTATTTTTTTCTTTTTTCTTTTTTTTTTTTTAAAAAAAAGATATAGAGCCATTCGTGTAAGTAGGTTGACTAGTTAGAGCTCACTAGTCACTCCAAAGACTACTAGAAAAATATTGAGTGGAATATGCATCACTAGAGAAAGCTCATTGAGATAATACATTTATATATATTTGATGTAAGATAAAATCTAAAGTCAATTCAAAAGAATTTATAGTGACATATTATATATATAATAACAGTCCTCACAATTTATATAATGATATTTCTCATATTCATATAATACAAATACAAATATAATATTTATTCTGACGTAACATAATACAAATCATATCCTGATTTAATTCAAACTATTTGCTGGTGAAGACCAGTCAGCATCCTAATCGCCACCTCAAACTGTACTAAAAAAATAAGTTTCACACCACACTATAAAGATACACAACACTAAATGCTTAGAACCTTCGACTATATATGGCTTATTGCATTCCTACATATATTTGGACAATACTAATGCAAAACATTGTACTATTACCAAGGTTCGATAATTTCGATGCAAAATCAAACAAATCCTAAATACGTATAACCAGAAGACCACGAAAATGAATTCGAAGAAGCAGGCGAAGAAGGGTGAGATTCATGAGGGGCGTAAGTAGAAGAGTCGGAGGATGAAGCATCGATAAAAGGCTTACGGATCATAAGTGGCACCACGTCTTCGAGAAGTCCCTGTTGGTCCATGAAACCGGATTCAAACGCTTCAGTTGTTTCGATTTGCGGGATGGGACTCGAGTAGCCGGCTTCTTCGAGATCGTTTCCCGACTGAGCTGGAGATTTGGGATGAGCTTCGGATACGAGCCCTTTTTGTTTCTTTACGGGATGGGAGTGAGTGTTGTTGTTGAGTAAGAAGAGTGGGTAGGTGAAGTGGAGGTGGAGACCTTCGTAGGTGATTATGAGAGTGTCGGGATCGTCCGTGGATCGCTCGACTTGCTTCTTGGCACTGCATCTCGGATTCGTGCACCTGTAGTAGCTTCTGCATGCATATATTATCGATATAAGATAAAATTTAGATGGGTTGGGGTGGGAGGGGGGGTGGGGGGGTTCTTATGTTTTTTTTTGCATGGTTTGCTTACGAATTGAAAATTGCGCTATATGTCAAGAAAAATGCAACTTAAGTACAAAAATGACAACAAATGAAAAGAATGGCTGGGAAATGTTAAACCTGGGATTCGGGCTATTCTTGATGGATTTTTGGCCGTATTTTCTCCATTTATACCCATCATCCGCCATCACATTGCCGCAGTTCTTGATTCTCAATGTATATTTACTGTTCTGATCGGGGTTAGTCTTGTTTAAATTGCAACCACTTCCCAATACCGAAATCCTACAAACAGAACATTTGACAAAAACAATTGCGACTTTGAAATAAATGACACTCAATTGTAAGTTAAAAAAAAAAAGAAAAAGAAGAAGCTATTTTGTAAGCAAACCTGTGGGCTTCTGATCTAACATCGCTATTGAAATTGCGGATTCCATAGTTGCTGCTATACAATAACGTGCTTTCTATAGCTTCGACAGTTGGATCGAAATAAGTTGGTGAGGGAAGCTGCGAAGTAGACATAATATTTCCCTCATTGGGCAGCATGAGAAACGGCGAATCATTGTCAAGAAGTTCGTTCACTAGCTCGTCCTCAGTCCCCCCTGTTGACGACATAATAATCAATTCCTCCATGGAAATGTGCTTAAGATAATAAGTTTACAAGTCAAGAGCATATATATATAACGTATATCGAAAAGTATAAAATATAGTGAGTAGGAAAAGAGAGATTAGGTTGGAGTGGAGCAGATGAAGAAGAGGAAGGTTTGATTTCGCCTTCTTCTAAGTTCATAATATAGCATAGCTTTAGTTGGTGGCTGCTACTTATACTGAATAAACTAGGAGATAAGGTGTAGCATACATTACTGTTTTAACAAACTTTTAAATTAAATATATAAAAATAAAAATTATATTTCAAAACACTCTGTAACTAGGTTGACTTCTGCACATTTTGACTTCTGAAAGCTCCATCCATGTCAAGTGTCAACACATTAACAAAAACTAGACAAATGGGTACAGAATTGGGACATACTGATTAACCTTAATGTTCTTGTTTATGAGAATTTCATCTTTTTCGGGATTTTGAATATTATCTATCTAAGCAGAGATGATGATGATGATGATCGATCATCATTCACAACTGTATCTCAAGTACCCATCTTTGAATTGGTTGTATTCTCCATGTATTATATTTTTCCATCTGTTGTCCAATTTGTCTTGTTACAATGTATAGATAAGATCTTTTGTACGTATACCAAGGTGTTATCATTTTCTCAACTATTATTTCATTAATTAATTTGCACAAGAATCAAACTTTTAACCTAAACCATGCTCTTTCTTTCAGGTATGAATCAAGAAGTTTTCAACTGCTAAAATGGAAGCACCCCCTACAGAAATGTAGCCAAAATAACCAAATGCAATTAGGTATACTTTACTTCACTCGGGCATTTCATCAAACACCTAATGGGCACACATAAATCCAACTAAGCTAAAACAAGAACATTTATTTACTTATCGAATTCCAAATCAGTCAACCAAATGCAATTAGGTATGTTTTACTTCACTCAGGCATTTCATCAAACACCTAATGAGCAGACATAATCCAACTAAGCTAAAACAAGAACAGGAACATTTTTATTTTTTTAATTTTTTTGCTTATTGAATTCTAAATCAGTCAACCGAGCAATTTCAACAGCAAGAAGCAATTTAGAGACACACAATTGTTAAGAAAAATACCTAAAGCATTGATATTACCTGTGATGGCGCGTGTACCTGCGGAAGAGTCCAAATTAGAGTTGCTTCAAGAAGAGGGAAGGTTTCGATTCTTGTTTGTTCTTGGGTTGACTTATTATGTGGGGGCAGATGAGGACAAGAAAGCTTAGGTTTCAGCGCAACCCCAGCAGTTAATGAATGAATGGGAGATTTTGTATAGGAAACCCAAAGTCAACCCAACCATTACCAACCACATCTCCTCTCCTCTCCTCTCCTCTCCTCTCCATCTTCGTCCTTCCCCTCCCGCCATCCTTGCCGGAGGCAGAGTCACATGCTGCAAGATGGGAATGGAGCCGGTGGACCTGTCTGTCTCCATCCATAAGAATTTGACGGTGCAACCAACCCCAATTTCTGAAGCCTAAACCTGCTGGACCCTCCCTCCCTCCGTGATCATCCTAATTGAACACATGGATTGTTTTGGCAGCTCCTGGAATTCCGATCTGCCAAGAGCAATTTGGGCTTAATGGGCCTTATAGAATTTGGGCTAAATATATTAACAAGGCCTTCTTGAAACTTTCTTTCAGGAGATGTACATATCAACCAAACCTGCAGCGAACTTTTCAACCTCCCCTTTAATAGGCCCAATGAAATTAAACAAAAACGAAATTCATTTATTAAATTAAAATTTAAAATTATTTTATTATGTCTGCTTTTCTTATTTTATTTTTAATTATAAATAAATTATTTATAAGCTGTAACCAATGGGTACTGCTCTTAGTGAAGTTTTATACATAGGGATACGGACGGGGCAGGTTCGGGATGGTTCTGCAAGTCCTGAAACCTGCCCATTTCAACCCGGCCCTAAGATTAGCTCTGCCTCGAACCCTTCGGTCGAAGCCAACCCAGAATTTTTTATAAAAAAATAAAATATAATTTATTTTAATAATTTAATACTAAAAAAAAAGTAAATATTGAATCACTAAACAAATTTTATTTAAAAAAATAAAAATAATCAAATGTTGACGATAGTCAAAGTGATAGTGGTTGGCCGCAGGCAGGCTAAGCGACCGCTGTAGCCTCAATTGTGAAGAAAATTGAGAAAAAAAAAAGAAAAAATAAATTTAATTTTATAATTAAAATTTTAAATAAATATGTAATATGATTTATATTATATAAATATATTAACTTTAATAATTATTACAATATTCGGGATCGGGTTCGGGTCCGGAGTGAGACGGATTTTTAGTAAAACTCCTAACCCACCCCAAACACGATTGAATTTAAAATTTAAAATTCACAATTCGCCCCGAAATATTTTTTTTAGACCCGAACCCGCTCTATTAAGTGCGAATCCGGAATGAATCCGGAGCTAACCCGCCCATTTAACATGCCTATTCATACAATAGTGTACTAGCAAATAATTATGATCAGCTAACTATAAATAATTAACAAAAAACATTCTCATTAATTACTCATAGAAAAATTTGGCAGGCTAGAAAGAGTACCTCCAAAATTCCGTAATCGGACGGCTGAGATTCAAACAGGGCCACCCTAAATTTCCTTTCCCTCCAAAACTCCGGCGCCGCCCTATTTGAACCGACGCGGTGGGCCACCGCCACGTCTGCCAGCAGTAGTCGGTGCCACCCCATTCTTAACTGTCACCATAACTGTTCCCCTCCACCGCTCCACGTTTTGCATTGCATTTGATGCAGAAACCCACCCTTCGATTCTCTCTGCAGTCTCCAGTGGCTTCTGAAAGAATAAAATAAAAAATAAGAATTCATTCGATTACCCTCCATTTTTTGGAACGGAATTCAAAAAACATCCATCCCTTCATTAATGGCTGCTGCTGCTCCGAATTCCTTCTGTATATAAGCCAAGCCAGGTCCTGTTCGCCATTCCTAATTTAGCTTCGCCATTTTGCAGCAGTCGAGGAAATGGAAGAGGATCAAGATCAAGGGTGCACGACGCCGAAGAACGAGGAGTATCAGATACCTCCGGCGGTGTCGTGTCCTCCGCCGCCGCCGAGGAAGAAGCATGTTGGAGGAGCGAAGAGGGCGCCGCCGATGAATGGATATTTTCAGTCGCCGGAGCTCGACGCCTTCTTCCGAACAGCTCCCCTCCGGGGAAGAGTAGCTTGGACATAGCTGTACTTTTCTCCCAATTTCTCAAGAGCAAAACACGTTTTAGGGTATTAGAAATTAGGTTTATAAAATTTCGATTCTAGGCTGCTGCATGTAAGTCTCCTTCTATTGATTGTCATTTAAATTTCTCATAAAGTTCATGGAACAACATATCAAGAAATTCTTACACTGCATTATGCTGATTGGGATTTGTGTCCTCCATGTTCTTGTTTCCATCATCTTCTTTCCAAATGTCCAATCTGCAAAAAAAAAAAAAAGGATTCTTTGATGGGTGGGTAATCCGAATCTAACAGTAATTGTTAGGTGTAATGTTGAATAATACACATGAACAGGTTCATGCATGAAAGGTGGGAGTGTCTAGGGTTACGACATCCTTTTCCTTTTGTCTGTTGGCTGAAAATTGCAGCACAACAAACTCCTGTATCCAACACCATTAACGATTGTTTTGTACCTTTTAGTTTTAGTTCCTTTCAGTCAGCTAACACAATTCTCTGCAGTCTGCAAGACTGTATATGCTACATAGCTAATTTGCTCAAATTCTTGAAAATACAATAATACAAAGTTATCATTGCAATATCATTGGGCCCTTTTGTAATAAAATCATTTTATGAATGAATAAATTAAGATGGGTCAGAAAAAGAACAGAGAAGTAAGTCTTCAACTTTCTTAAATTGGAAATAAGAAAAGTTGCAATGTATGTAATAAATGGTTGAAGAGAAAGAAGAAGGAAAACCAACCTCACCAAAATTCAAGATAAACAGTCTCATCACTAATAATTCATTTCTCAAAGCTACACAGGAATATAAACTAAAGAAGGAAAAACAATATTCCTACGCAGGTTATGACACAACATAGAGCCATTATATTACTTTAATTTCACTCTAAAATTAAGCTAGACCAAAAGCAGTCTAAACCCCTGAAACATTCTTGTTGTTCTTAGCTAATGACAACACTAATATCACCTACTCCACTTGTTATTTAGAGACCAACACAAACATAGCAGCTGTAAAATAAACAAAAGTTCTTACCATGAATTGGCGTCATATCTCTTCTCGAACAGCAATGGCTGCTGCTATGCTGTTCTTCGTTCTTGCTTTGTCAATTTTACCTGAGTTAGGATCTGCCGCGACCAGACACTATACATTCAATGTATGTAGCATGTGAGTTTTTGTTTGTAAGAGATTCGAGAAAACAACAGAGTATACTAAAATGCACGTTGCTTGATTTGTTGTTCTAGATTGTGCAGCAAAACATGACACGATTGTGCAGCACAAAGAGTATTATTACAGTAAACGGAAAGTTTCCAGGCCCTAGAGTTGTCACGAGAGAAGGCGATCGGGTAGTAGTTAAGGTGATCAACAAAGTGACAAACAATGTTACTATCCACTGGTAAGAAAAGGAAGTGGTAAATTTGCTTTGGTAATAATACAAATGAAAACTTACCTTACCACTGATGCAGGCATGGGGTTCAGCAACTTCGAAGTGGCTGGTATGACGGGCCGGCATACATAACTCAGTGTCCGATTCAGACAGGGCAGAGCTACACATACAATTTCACCATCACAGGCCAGAAAGGCACACTGTTCTGGCACGCTCACATATCATGGCTCCGAGCAACACTTTACGGACCGATCATCATCCTCCCTAAAAAAAATGAAAGCTATCCCTTCAGAAAACCATACAAGGAAGTTACAATATTATTTGGTAACAAAAGAATGTCACCTTCGATTATTTTCACAGTAGCTGTGATGGCATTGAGCTGACATATTCGATCTCCAGGGGAGTGGTGGAAGGCAGACCCTGAGGCAGTTATTACCCAGGCTTTGAATACCGGTGGAGGTCCAAATGTCTCGGATGCATACACTATTAATGGACTGCCTGGTCCATTGTACAATTGCTCCTCTAAAGGTAACCACAATGTTCATGCTGCAAGTTCCTAAAAATCGAATCCTACTGAATGTTTATATCCACAATATTCCAGATACATTCAAACTGAAGGTGAAGCCAGGGAAGACGTACATGCTCCGGCTAATAAATGCTGCGATGAATGATGAACTGTTTTTTAGCATTGCGAACCATAGTCTCACCATCGTGGGAGTTGACGCCACATATGTGAAACCATTTCAGACCAGTGTCTTATCCATAGCCCCCGGACAAACCACCGATGTGCTACTCAAAACCAGACCTCACTACCCTAATGCCACTTTCCTCATGGCTGCAAGGCCGTATTTCACAGGCCAAGGCACCTTTGACAATTCGACAGTTGCAGGATTCCTCGAATATGAACAAACATCAGATCACTTATTGGATAAGAACAGGACCGTTTTCACTCCTACCTTACCACCAATAACAGCCACGGCTTTTGTTGCCAATTTCACCAAGAAGTTCCGAGGCCTGAATAATCCGAAGTACACAGCAGCAAGTGTTCCACAAACAGTGAACAAACGTTATTTCTTCACTGTGGGGCTCGGATCAAGCCCGTGTTCACAAAATGGGACATGCCAAGGACCTAATGGGACAAAATTCGCCGCTTCATTCAATAACGTATCTTTCCCTCTTCCCTTGACAGCTCTATTACAAGCCCACTATTTCAGAAACTCCTATGGAGTGTACATCCCTGATTTCCCAAGCAATCCATTGAATCCGTTTAACTACACAGGGACTCCACCCAACAACACTTTGGTGAGCAATGGAACTCGAGTGGTTATTCTGCCATTCAACACTAGTGTCGAACTTGTTCTGCAGGATACAAGTATTCTTGGAGCTGAAAGTCACCCTCTGCATCTACACGGTAATAATTTCTTCGTTGTAGGCGAAGGATTTGGAAACTATGATCCGCAGAATGATCCAACAAAGTTTAATCTGGGAGATCCTGTTGAAAGAAACACGGTCGGGGTTCCATCCGGTGGCTGGGTTGCCATAAGATTCCGAGCTGACAATCCAGGTGAGTCATACAAACTTAAGTCCTTCAACTGCAAAAGCATAAATTAGTACTTGAAAATTCAGCTATAAATCTCAGATGCACTAAACATAGCCTAAATTTGGACATAATTTTCTGCAAACAAGGATGTAAGATTCTAACAATATGACTGGCAGTTGAAATGTCCCGGTACTGAACAGTTATTGCCAAACAGGGGTATGGTTGATGCACTGCCACTTCGATGTTCACACAAGTTGGGGGTTGAGAATGGCCTGGATTGTACAGGATGGACCGCAACCAAACCAAGCACTGCCGCCGCCACCATCTGATCTCCCAAAGTGTTGACAACGACCTTGAATTCGCGTGGAGCCTTGGAATGTGAGTTTATTTATCTTCTTTTCCCTTGGCATTGTTCAATTCTTTATCTGTGAGCCTCCTCTTGCATTGAAGAAACATTTGTATCTGTAATCTTTTTGATATTTTGGTTGTCAAATAAAAGCAGCAATGTGTTCATTTGAAATGAAACAAAAATTGAGGTGCTATTACTGTTGAAGAAAACAATCTTCATAACTTACTATCTTTATAGCATAACACAAGAATGAGATCCAACCATTACCAGGAGAAAATTTAACCATAGAATCAGACAAAACTCATACAAGAAACAACCAACTGCAATATATTAATAATAAAAAACAATAAAATAAAAAGGGCAGTGCACAAGTAAAGAAATATCAACTAATAAGAACAATGTAGGATTATGTCATAGAAATACACCTGAGGCTCAGAAAAGCCATCTTCAGACAAGATAAGCAATCTCCCGAGCTTCTAGAATAGCAGTCCTCCTCATTTCAACTTGGATGGCTTGAGGAGCTCCTTTTCTGGAAGAATGACTAATATGAACTTGTAAAGAACAACATAATTGAAATTTTACACGGTACCAGATCACAAAAAACAGCATTCAAACATGATAACTGAAAATGAGAAGAAACCAGAATATGATACATGGAAAAGGCATAAACTGAAAACTGAAAGGCATCTAATGTAAAATTCATTCATATGCAATGAATCATTTGTATACAACAGATGATAATAAGTATGATCCCAAAGCTTTGTCCTCACACAGGAACTCTTAACAGACCACAGATGGAGCAATAATTTAGACATTCGTCCCTTATTCATCAACATCACATGTCACAACATGAGCATTGAAAAGTACTCTTCAAACTCCTTGTCAATTGTTAGTTTCCTAGTGTCCTGCTGCGTGTCTGCAACCAAAAGTATAAGAATGAATACCTAAATGGATATGCACAGTAATGAGTAAGGGCCTCAGGACACAAAATATGTTACCTTGACAAACAGACCACCTTCCAGATGAAAGGACGTAATCATGGTGTGCCAGCTGTGGGTTTTGAAGTTCCTCATCTGTACAGTACTCAATGCCACCTTTCAGGCATTCTAAGCAATTGCAATTAGCATAACCTCCAAATTCTACAAGTTCCTCGTAGCCATCAGTTTGCTGTAATCCGTGACATTCAGCTTCTTCACAGATGGATGATGACTCTAATTTGCCTGAAGATGATTTTTCCAGCAATTGATTCTCTAAAGGGTCAGGAATGATCACAGATGAGGAGCCATCACAACCAGCCGATGTAGTAAAAGGCTTGATAGTTGAGGGCGTGGGCATTTTCAAATATAAGATGCAACTATTAGGGCCATCAGGTGGACACGTGATGCAGCTATCTGCAGAATCTGAATTTGATTTAACCCCTTTATCGTACAAGCTACTTTTCACCTTCTTCGTGCTCAATTCAGATGCATCGGATTCAAGCATTTGATCACCACACACATGCCTTGGAAAGTTTGTTTCCAGAAACTCAGATCGAAGCTTCCTTTTCTTGTACAAGTAAGCAACATTTGTATCCATCGCAGTATGCACATCCAAACAGCTACAACAATCTATAAACCTGGAAGCAAATGTAAGGAATTAAATAGCCGTTCCAAAATTTTATAAGCAAATTAGGCAAGAAATGAATACTCCAAGCATAGTTTGGAATCAGAAATCAGACAAGACAAAAGCACACGATTAACAAAACTGTTTTATGGTTGTGATTTTTTCACCTCAATTTGCTGACTATAACCACATACACATAAACCAGCAAAAAAACCCTAAATGCTCAACTTCCATGGAGACTAAAGCATGATAAAACAAATACAGACTGCAAATGTGATAAAATCCTACCAAACAAACATGTTCTACAAGATCTGTTTCCAGTAACTAAAATAAAGAAGAAACAAACCGGCGACATAATTTCCTCCTAAATCAATCCATATATCAGAAATTCATCAGATATTACATTCTACGCACATATATACATAAGACAAACAGCTCGACATACATAGCATCAAACTTCCCGGTGCTATCCTTCTTCCACTAATTCACAGCATAAAATACTTATAAAATTACAGAACCAGCTATGCGCAAATAGAGAGCAACTGTCCAAGTAAAGTAATCAGAAAATCGACCTTTTGATTTGAGATGAGTTGGTTTCAAACTCCTCCTCCTCCTCCTCCTCCATGAGTAGAAACAAATTCGTCTTCTCGGCGGATCGAAGTTGGTTAGAAAGCCTCGAGCTGAGTGAGAGTGGCGTTCACGCGACAGGACACGACCACGTGAAGAAGTCCATGGGGGAATGGATGGAGTTTTACATCTCACAACTCACACGTGTCCGCCTTAACTGTAAATTAATACTCCCAGCCTTCCAACTAATTGGTTCTGTTCTCCCAAAATTAAATAACGTAACACACAATATTTTGTGGTCTATTTATGTGGCCTATGTTTGTTTTGTGTTTTGATTTAAATTTTTTTACCTAAAAATTATGTAGATATTATAAAAATAATAAAAATATATAGTAGATTAATTTTTCAGTAAAAAAACAAACCCTTATGTTCACAAATAATTGTATGTAGGGATGAGTTAGTGATAGAAAATGGGACATCATATAATGAATGACAAATAGAAGAATTTTCGAGGGACATCTGCAATTGATGATTTATTTTGTCTGCCACACATCATATGTTAAATATGACTTATCTTATCCAATTTAAATTTTTATCTTTTATTTTTATCGAATCTAATTTTGTAGAAAAAGTGGGGAAAAAAAAAAAAGAGATTCTGCAAGTGCTACATTTCCAAATATAAATTTTACATGAATTATATATAAAAAGTATATATTTATATAAATTATTTTATAATTTTTTATTTTTTAAATATAATATTCATATTAAATAAATTTATTGAAAATACAATTATTAACCATTTCAAATACTCCATAGTTCGGCTCTAAGGGTCCATTTACCTGCGTTATTGTGTTTAACATTAATAAACATTTTTCTCTTTTTCCAATGCAAAAAAGTAAATGAAACTTTAGACTGTGCACAGAAATACTATATTTTAGATTCATTTTACTTATATATATATTAACCATAATTTAACTTCCACTCGATAAAATAGTCCTGATATAATAGGTAAACCACTCCCCGCTATAAAATTTTAAAAAAAAATGTAAAAGGCAAGAATAAAATCCAAGAACAAATTCGAACCGAAACAACACTAACAGGGCTCATATTCATACATCATGGTCACAATCACAGTTACATGTGTATTACATATACAAACATATGAAATATAATCCAACAATCAGATGTAATACACAATACATATATTAACAGAATATAAATACAATATATAAACAGACATAAACGGTAACAAAATGTGTAGTCTATACAACACATACTATAATTAAATCCAAAATACGAAATAAATAAAAACAGCTCAATTTTATAATAAAAATTAACTGGACATGATAATATAACCACATACATAAAAAAATACTGAGATTAAATACCATTACATAGCAACAAATCCAATCCCAAGTGGTCTCATTCGACTCATAGAGCTCAAGAACAAAACACAACAGAATACTACAACAAAATATGTATAGCCGACAATGTTACAGTTCGACAAGTTTTTAACTTTACTCACATTTTTAGCGTTTGCGGGTTAATCGGATTGGGGTCAGCATATGAACTTCTATACATACAGAAACACATTTCTATATATATATATATAACCCGGAACCCTATCTAGTCTAGGTTGCCTCCGGAGCAGAAAAACAGAGGCTCGATACTCGTGGGTTCCAGTAAGTCGAGATATGGCCGTGAAAGAAAACATAAAACAACACAATTAAGGATGTCCGAAACCTAACCTTTTATCCCGGTACAAGCAGAATGAGGTGAGTGGATTGCAGATGTAACTGTCATGAGTATGGTTTCGACAAAGGATCAGGAGTCGAGGTTCCGACGAGTTTATCGTACTTTGTCCTGAACCGAGTGCCGGAACCGACATGCCCTGAGTTGGGGCACAGCCAGCAGAGAAGATTCGGGCCAAGAATCTGCAGCAGTCGAACAAATTAAAGATAAAGAACGAGAGTGCTAACTCGATTTGAATGAATTGTTGAGGGGAATCGCTTACTGATGTCAAATTGTCGTACACACCGATATCGTATGGATTTGAATAGATATGACCGCCTTTTTCTGCGAGCAACATGGCCCTAACGCCTTCGTAGTACTGCAACAAGACGTAAACGGAATTAACTGTAATGCATCGGGATCGGAACGCGTAAACGGCGCCAAATAGCACTAAAAACCTCGATTGTCGTCTTGTTGTGCACGATGAGATAGATGTGCCAGCCGACAAAAAACCCCAGCGCCAAACTTAACGGGATCAAGAGTAATGCCGAAATGACCTGAATATAAATCATGTAGGAGCTAAATAACATAAACATCAAGTATTCTAATGTGCAATTATGGCAATTAAGGAGTGTTTACTTGGGGGATTTAATTTTCGGTTTTTCTATTTCAACTTTTTTTCTCCTTAAAAATATCAAATTAAACACCTATTTTTTGTTTATTATATTACGCTAAAATTAAATTTTAAATTCAAAACATGAACGTTCAATACATATTTATATCACGTCAAACAACTATTTCATTTTAAAATTTTACTATTCAAAACCAAAATCTTACAAGTAAACACATATATTTCCTGGAAGGAAAAAACCGAACCGGAAAATGAACAATGCGTGAGCACATACATGTATGTATCTTAAAGAGTCTTCGGAATCTTGCTGAGAATCGACGGTCATGCTACCAACAAGCAATACCTGAAATAAGAGGCGTATTAACGGAATCGAATAATATGATTTCTGAAATTGAACGGAATTGGAAGGAAATAAACCTTACCAAGGAGTATACGCAGGCAGTTACGGCATAAACCACAAAAACAAAGAAGATCTTGTAATTTGCATGTCCGACGCAATTGTTCATCCAAATGCAATGGTGATCCTTGCATCACACAGAGCAAGAGTTTGAAAACATTATCGAAGAATTCCAAAAAAGAAAGAGAAACAAAGAACACTAACATGGATTGGGTATACCATTCTTAAAACACACCGATTACATATGCGGCAATGATGAGCCCGAGGGGGCTTATAATGGGAACACTTTTGGCAGTATCTCAAATCACCGCCCTGCACAAAATTATTTCCCGAAACTATTTAGTTATTGCACTTCAAGTATCATTTTATTGTTCAATAAGATCTCATGTTGTAAAAGTAAGGGTTCAAGAAAGATCTAAAATGGAAGTAAAACCAAAAAATGAAAGGAAACAAGTTTTAACAAAGTTCGGCAAACTACCTACATCCTCGGTATCTGTATTAGGGTTGCTAATAGCAACAGAGAAAAACCCTAACACTAAAGTTCACAAGTTCGGGTCACTTGACCCACCCTGCACCCCCCGAATCCAGGAGGTTTCATCCGACCCAATGCCTATACCTATTAGACTTTGACTGGCCCTTGATGATATTGAGCCACTTACAAATCTCCAAAATATATATATATATATATACATCAATTAACAGGCATTTAACTTTCAAAGAAGAAATTTAAGGAGACAAACTTCTTAGCAGTCAATTGCTATATTCAACACATAATCAAGAAATACAATCACTTAATAATCTTTGCTCCAAGGTCAAAAACAGCATATTGAAAAAGGGAAACGTTGATTCTGGAAACAGGATTCAGTTGGGAACTAATACCAGCAACCCGACATTACAGCTTGATCGAAAACATTAGTGGGTGATACAAGGCAGATGGATAAACCAAGAATCTAAAGATACCATTATTAACCCGTAAGAGAAGACACCAACAACAGCTACAGCAACTCATGACAAGACTATTACATTATTTAAGATTTAAGAGTTTTCACCTACTGCATTCCAAAATTTTCATAACAAAGAAATGCCATAGCTATCGATCAACGTAAATGGAGTGCAATTTGATTATTTTCAGGCAAGTATCAATCCCTAATCACAAAATTCAAATACCAAATGCAGGCCAACGCCAATATGGATCACACAATAGTATTAGGTCCTAAATTTACAATCAATCGATTTAAAACATACAAATTAGTACATAACTAGCTTAAAACTAATCGATCGACATAGATGGAGCACAATTTCATTATTCTAAGGCAAGTATCACTCCCTAATCACAAAATTCGAAAACCAAATGCAGGCCAATGCTATGCATCGTACAGTAGTATTAGATCCTAAAATTTACAGTCAATCCACTCGAAACCTACAAATTAGTTCATAAATAGCTTAAAACTAATCAATCAACATAAATGGAGCACAATTTCATTATTCTAAGGCAAGTATCAATCCCTGATCACAAAATTCAAAAACCAAATGGAGGCCAACGCCAATATGCATCATACAGTAGTATTAGATCCCAAATTTACAATCGATCCATTCGAAACCTACAAATTAGTTCATAAATAGCTGAAAACTAAATAATAAAATTGATCATAACAATATATTGATTCAATAGCAAATAAAAGCATATAACTAAACAACAAAATTGATATTTAACAGAAACCTATAATCAATCTGACAATAATGCTCAATCAACCAAAACCCCCAAAAATACACATACGAGCTACAAATTTATCACAATATATATGTATATATATATATATATAGGAAACACAACACATGCGGGAATCAAAGAAGCAAACAAGAATGGAATGGAATAGAAAGAAGAAGAAACCTTGCGTTTGATCTCATGGATCGGGTTATCGGAATCCTCAATGTCGGGCATAAAGGTCCCGGGGACCCGACCCGGATCGGCGAATAGGGCAAGGCGGTAGCTGGAGACGCACATGAGGGCGAGGAAAGTGAAGGCGGCGGCGTGTAACATTCCGGGAGAAGATCTGAGGCCGAACCAGCGGTCGATGAAGACGAGCACGGTGGAGAAATAGATATATATAATCGCGACAATGACGACGGCGACGGGTAATGAGAACTTGCAGCGGCTCGTCATTTGGGATCTTCTCCTCTCCTCGGCGGAGACACCGGCGGATTACGACGGCGTCCCCGGCGGTGGGGGAATTGGATTTGGGGTTTAGTGGAAGGTGCGGTGGACCGGTGGCGTGGTTTGGGTTGGGATGGAAATTTAGAAGCTTTATTTACTATAATTGGGTTTCCAGGCTCTTTAAGATGTGTTTGTTTCAATTTTACAATGTGGTCTGTTTTCTTATAGTATTAAATGTATATTAAAAACAAGGATAAACTATTTTTTTTTAAGTTCGTAAGTGACCTTGTCATTTTAATCCGTAAGTAGAGTCTTTCGTTGTTTTAATCCTCCGCGGCCGGAGACGCAAAGTCAGCGACACCGGGCGGACACGTGGATTTTATTTAAATCTTTTTAAAATTTTTTCAATTGGATCAAATAAAAAAAATGCAAATAAAATTAAAAAAAATTAAAACATAAAAAATAAAATAAAATCTACATGTCCGCCAAATGTCGGACACGTGGACTCCGGCAAGCCACATAGGGTCTCCGACGCCGGAGGACTAAAACATCGAAAATTTTTCACTTATGAAACTAATTTGTGACATGCTTCACTTACGGACTAAAATGATAAGGGTCCAATTACAAGATTAAAAACAGTTTACGCTAAATAAAAATACTATATTGATAATATAAAATAATTTTCTCTCTTTTTTATTTTACTTGTTCAAGTTTACGTAGATATTGCAATTTAAAAATATTATTCTTTCGGTTTCAATTGAAAAAATTATTTTTACTATTTTCGTCCGCCTCACTTTGAAATATTATTATTTTTTAAAAAAATATATCATACATTAATACTAAAATATTATTAATTTTTACTTAAATTATAAATATAATTATTTTATACATGAGTCAAATGACAAAATGTCAAAATCACTTACACACTTCTATTAGATAATAAAATACTACTATTTTTTAATTTACTATAAAATCACAAAAATATTTTTGAAATGGACAGGAGCGAGTATAATTTAATGAAAATAATTATTATATTATATAAATGATTGTAAATTGAAATTATGATAATTAATTAATTTAAATTAAATTAAAAAAATATAATTTAGTTTTTATTAAAAAAAAGAATACATGAGATAAACTAAAATAAAAAATATGAACTAACACAGAAGGAATAATATTTTATATGAAATAATTTATAATTAATATAAACTAATTGTATTAGAAATGAAGAGTTTTAACATACTACTATTATTTATGGAAGAATACAAATAAAATGATTTTGAATCAGTCCTTGAAATATTAAGAATTTAATTAAATTTATTTATATTATTTGTTAATTATATTTAAAATTATAATTTACTAAAATTATAAACATATCAATTGTTACTAAACATATTACAATAAAAAATATATCAACTATTCTGATAAAAAATAAAAAATAAAAAATTGTAATGGAGACATTTATTATGATACCTAGGAGTTCAACCGAAATTAGGTATCAAGATTGAATAAAAATTAAATTATTAAACATATATTAAATAGATTGATTAAATTTCTTATGTTAAAAATATGCAAATTTCTTTTCAAAAGTCCACTTGCCAAAATCATGTGAATGTACGCATAAGTGAAGACAAAAACATGTTAAAAGATTGTATATTGACCTATGTATCTGTGGTACGATTACAATATTTAATTTCAACACAAAAATATATTAGTTTGAAATTGATTTAAAAGAAAATATTATTTGAAGTTTTATTTAATTATATTTTAATATAAAGTTTTGTGAAAATAAAATAAAATAATATCTTTATTAAGAATAATAAAAATACAAAGAATGAACAATGTTGATTTTAATTTGAAATTACAGAACAATAAACTTAAATTGTCAAATACATAATTTTAATTAACACCTAATATAAAAAAATATATTCTTTCAATCCAACTAGATGAATATATACTAATTTTTGTCACTTTTATTGCCTAAATTAAAAAAAGAAAAAAGAAAAAATACTATCAAATTTCTTTTTAATAAGTATGACCAAGTACACTTTGTTCTTTCAATATTATTTTATCAATTGCAATTTTTTTTAAAAAAATTAATACTGATACTCATTCGTCCCACTGATCCGCCTCTAACAGTCACATTTACGTCTTGATTAAAATTGATGATTGAGATCAAAATTACTGAGACCAAAATTGATTTTTTTTCATAAATTAATTTTTAATACTATTATAATATACAAAATTTAAAAATAGATGTGTAATTGGATGTTTGAAAGAGAATTTTTTTTAATGAATAATAAAATTTTAGACAAAATCTTTTAAAAGAATATATATTATAAAATTTTATATTTAATTATATCATAATTATTATTGATTTTGTGTATTTTAACCGTATCAACTATTTTAAATTCAAAATAATTTTTTTTTAAAAAATATAACAAAAAAATAAACTTTTAGATCAAAACAGAAATGTACCCGACATGTGCTACATGACGATTATGTAACAACATGATCATGTATAATTATACACTGAAATATGCATGGTCGTGTAGTTTCAGGATCAGCTGTCACGTCACCTTCATTATGTCCGCTTCAACCATTTCCGTTACTTTTCTAGAGGTGAAACCAAAATTAATTGAAATTGTTTATAATTAAACCAAAATGAATTGAAATTATTTATAACGAACTAAAATTGATAAAAAAAAAAAAATTTATAATAAGACCACAATTAATTTTTTTTAAATATAATATAAAAAATAAAAAGTAAATATTGTCCCGTCTAGTGGCTTGGGGTGGACATATTATCGGGAGATCATAGATTCCCACGCCTCTGGTTCGCCTATGAGTCTAATTTTGGATCCCACGTCACTAAAAAAAAAAAATAAATAAATAAATTTGATATCTTAGTATTAAAATAAAATTTTCTATGAAAAAATAGAAGTAAAATGTTATAAACGAACACACGTGTCTGCCTACATCAGCAATTGCACACTTGCTTCTCTTCGTCTCCGGCAGCATTATCGCCGGAAATGGCAGATTATGCCTACGTTTTCCAATAAATCAAAAATGGCGGAGGAATCAACCAAAAACTCCAAATCTCTGCCCAACCAAATCGCACCGAGCTCGACCTACTCCAAGCCTCGAATTCTCCACAAATCCTGCTGATGATAATTCCCGATGACGTACGCCTCAATCGGAAGTAAATCAGAGTTCCCAAACGTGAAGCATCTTACCTCGTCGCCGTCCCTAACCTCGCCGGGGACGGTATACAGCAACCGCTCATCGGAAACCGTAATCTCCGCGCCGCCGGCGCCGGCGCATTCAACGCCAGAAGAAAGCACAAATCAAACGCCCCCTGGAAGACGAAATCTGGATCGTCCAATCGTCGCAAAACACCCGCCGTCCGATTAGCGAAGGCGTTTTTCAAAGCGGCGTAGGCCGGGCCGAGGAGGAAAGTAAATTGGGTGCCCGAATCGACCATGGTTTGACCCGCCCCGGTGTGGTCGGGTTCGAATACGTATTTGGGCAATTGGAGCCAGTCGCCGGCGACCTTAATGCCCTCCACCTCGACGGTGTAGGCTTCCCTATCAAAGTAAGGCAAAGGCGTCGGAATCTGGATCAAAGGCTTATAATTCAAAGGCCACGTAAAGTTGGACTCACCGAAGAGAAGGACCTCCGACGAACCCGACCCGGAAATACAATACGAAAATTTACCCAAACCCATTTGCGAGACGAAGGAGAGGGACCCACGGTTCAGACCCATAAGTCCGGTGGCGGTCTCGGCGCCGGAGACGGAGTCCATACAGCCGAACACGGCGGCGCCGGCGAGGGTAAAATTGTCCAGGGCTAAATTGCCGGCCGACGAGGAGGCGTCGGCGTAGGAGAGGATGACGTGGCAGAAGTTTCTAGAATCGCAGGAGGTGGGGATGGAGAAGCCTAGGGTTTGGGTGGTGCAGGTGGGGGAGGAGCAGAGGATTGGGGAGTAGGAGGAGGATATGGTGGGGTTGAAGGAGGAGGTGTTGCTGCAGTGGAGCCAGGGGAGTTCGCTGCCGGTGTCGACCACCATGGTGACGTTCTGCGGCGGCGTTCCGGCGGCGATGGTGACGATGAGGGTGGCGTTGTGGAGGAAGGGGAGGTTGGTGGGGATGGGTGTGTGTTGGGTTTTGAGAGGGAGGGCCAGGGGCTTATAGCCCAGAGATTTACGTGAGATGAATAATAGTGATGATAATAGGGATAATGGAGAAATGGAGAGTTGAGATCTGGTTTGGATGTTCATGGTGGAGGGCAGGGGGGAGGAGATTGATCGATTGAAATGGATCTGGGTTTGGGTTTTAGTTCAAGATTTTGGTGACAGGGACCATGTGACAATACGTCATCTCCTTGATTGTGACTTGAGAGGAGTGTACTAATAATATGACTACATGGGAACGGCGCCTTCATAGATTTTTCGATCGAATCTAATAATAAATAAATTACATTAGACAAATTATATTCTGAATAAACATTTATCGAATTTAATAATCTGAAAATTAGATTCAATAAAAACAAATTACTCTGTACAAACTAAATGTGTCAGGCAAAATTTGGAATAGTCGGACATTTTATTATTGCTTTATATATCGAATGGCCGAAAGTATTATGTTAAAAAACAGCGGCCAATATATATGCCTTTTGTTTCTGGAATTAGTATATCCATTTACTTTTTATATGTAATAAATTGATAGAATTAACAAATTTACCTTTGAATGAGTTAAAATTATATTGTAGTAACAATAATAATAATAATTGAAATTTTAATTTTATTTTTTTCTGCGGAGACATAATTAAAAAAAAAAAAACATGAAAATATTAATTTTGTACGGATCAAAATAAAATGAACTGATAAATTGGAATATATTATTTTATACTACCACTAAAAAAAACAATTCATTATTCATATAGTGTTGGGGAAGAAGATAGTTGGGAGCATTAAATGCTGGAGAAGGAAAAGGAAAGAAAATTAGTGGCTAGTGGGAGGGAGATGTTTATTAGTTACTGTCTCTGTCTGTGTCTGTCACCTCACTCATTCGCTCACTCTTATGTTAGGTACCTAAAACAGGCATCTCACTTATTACTTGAGACCTAAAACTGCTACTGATTAAATGAAAAGATCGATGTATTCAACACAGGACTCGACTCGTACAATACATTTAGCCAGAATCTGGTGTGCATACGGTGCACGTGCCTAGGCACGTGTTTGGTTTGAGTACAGAATGAACACATAATTGCCTGTGCTGTGGGGTGGTGGGGTGGGGTGGGGTGGGGTGGTCCTATCAGGAACAATTTGTGCCCAATTCATGCCTCAGCTAATCAATGAAAATGGGAAATCATTTCTTTACAATATTGAAATTGGCTAAACAAAACATTGGTGTGTATTGTAATATTGATTTTTTTTTTTCTGTTACCTTTTCGACTAAGATCCTGCTATCTACCACTCATGCTAGAGACTGCTGAATATGTGCCAACTATTGCACAGATTATTCCCACAAAAATTAACAGGGAGCAAGTCGCAATCTGAGGATTAAATCAGGGAAAGTTTTAAAAATGACAACTTTGTCTAATAGAGAAAAAGAATCTACAAAGAAATGGATAGAAATGTGTACCTGGAGTTTACCATGTCTTTCTTGGACTAATCTCATGTAACAAGCACATGGTAGGATTATAGACTGCTGAGCAACATGTTGGGGATCGATAAATATGCGTTAGAATAAGGTTAAATTAAGTCGACTGAGTTCACCATAGAACGAAAAAAGGGTAAAGGTAGATAATAATTTACCATGACCATCACCAGAAAGGATCCTATCAAGGCCATCACAGACCCTGCAAATTGTCAAATGCAATGGATGGGTAAATCTAGAAGGGAGTGGACAGACTTCTTGCAGTTAAACGCGCACGTTAATGCATTTACGGAGGTGTTTACCGAAATATGGAACTGTCAATGCCACAAGCAAGGTTGAAACAACCAAACATGTTCTGATGAGCAAGTTTGCGAAATATGATCCATGTTTAGCTGCTGGAAGTAGTTCTTCCAGGCCTAGTGCAACAGGGGTGATTGTAAACCCGAACTTCGTTACAGGGATAATGACCTGAGAACATGGTTCGACATAGTTAGTATGTAGACAATCGAAATTTAATTGGAGAGTATTTTATGGAAAATAGCAAAATAAATGGTTGTAGATATGGAAAGATCATATAGTCTTCTCTTCTTACCACAGCCCATGCAGCAACCTTAGAGGCGATCAAATTCTCGGGCAGATTTAGTGTGAATTGAGTGTCTGTGTCTTCACCAAACATCAGAAGTCCACATACTGCAACGCCCGCATATAGTAAGCCAGCCGCTAAAAAGCTGCATTTCCATCATCTATTATGGGAACATACACGATAGCAGACAGCCAAACAAGTTTTGAAAGAATTTTAAGAAGTAAGGACATGTCAATGCCAATAGCTTACCTGATGATCAAAACTGAAGGAAATTTAGAAGGCTCTTTCATGGAGGAATATATATTCGGAAATACTGAATGGCTACCATAGCAGAAGCTGAATATGCCAACTGCGATGGGTAACCTCGTGAGGTTCAATGCTTTTCCACTTGCATGGAATCCAACTTCAGAAGTCACTCCAACCCATAACAAGCAAAACGCTACAAGGATCAAAGTCGCAATTCCGCCAACTGTAATAATGAAAATTGAAACAGATAAAAGTTGAGCTTCCTTCTAAACATGTTTTAAAAGCTGGTCCTAAGATGTGAAGGAAAATGAAACCTGAAATGTATGAAAGCAAGCCAAGATTTCGGAGCCAAACAGTTGGAAGAATAACAAGAGTGGAAATAACTGCACAGATTTGATAAGAGTCCAAATGCAATCCAGCAACATCCATATGAAGATTCGGGGAATTGGCAGACAGGTTGTCGCTCATCATGATCAAATATTCCACACATGTAGACTACAACATGGAACTTTTGAGCTTAGATGTGACAGAAGATGAAAAAAAATTAAGGAAATCTTAAACTATGTACCAGATGGGAAGTATACATACGTATAACTCTATGTACAGGATGGCCTGCAATTTTCCAAATCAACTCAGTAAGTGAGTCGTCAAATATTTCATATATACCTGTTAATAGAAATAAGTTCTTGGTACTATTAAGGCTTAAGTTTTACTCACAGAAATGCATATTCGACCACCAAAGCCAAACGCCGCCTGTCCAATATCTGGATACGTTTGGAGTAGAGAAGAGCTGTCTAAACATCTTTTTAACAGGATCCCAGTGTAACATGTAATAGCTCCTAATATAAAGAGAAGCAGGATGCTGAGCCACCCGCCCTCTTTAAGCGCATAAGGCGTGGATAGGATTCCAATGCCAGACAGAACATTTGTGGCTGCACTTAAAAGAATTCGAAAGTCATATGCTATGATTTAAATGCAAATAGATCAATGCAAATGTATCCAGCTTTTAATTTCATCCAGAATTTAGTGTTACTATTATTCTAAAAGGACTATTAAAGACAGAACCTTTGCTTTTGAGCTATTCAATTACTTGAAGAAAATGTATGGTTCTAATTTCTATGAAATTGTGCATGTACATAAAGCTATTCACTGCAGGAGATAAATAGAATTTTTCTTAAGCAAACACTCCCTAGATCATGATAGTGCTTGAAAATTACCATTAAGAACTGACTGCGCATATGAACACAGCTCAGATGAGGGCAGTTCACTAACAGAAGTTCTTGACTGAGAAGTGCCAGACAGGCTTACGGGAAGTATGGAGGGAGGCACATCTTCCTCATCCGAATATGTTGATGGTACAAGGGGCTGAAACAAAGATTCAGGACCTGATCTCGGCGATCCCTTGTCCGCTGAAGCCACAAAAGAATTGCTTTTAAGGTAGCTGAGAGGTGGAGGTGCCATACTTGTATACATGTCCATCGACCGCCTTCATTATTGAACAGAAGATCATCAATTGGCTGTAGCGTCAAAAAAATTATTATCATGAAGCTACTAGTAATTTATGTTTATCTGTGTGAACATCAAATGTACTGATCTATCCACAATTGTCAATATATATGTATATATACATATGTTTATAGAACCAACAATTTAACAAAGGAAGTTAAAAACAATCAATTTTATTAAACAGAATACATGCAGCGTATAATCTACTAGAAATGCACCTTTGAATGTATGGAATCATATCACTACAGAGATTCAACACTGAAAAAATAAAAAACTTTGTAGGTTAAGAAAGGCTCATAACTGTGCAATGCAGGAAGATACCTGTAACTTTGAGGCCAAGGAGGTTGAGAATCACCGGCGAGACATTCATTCGAACATCCACGGGAGGCGCAAGTATCAGATTCAGAATCGTTCTCATCACAAAACCTTTGAGCTTCGTTTTCTTCATCATCCGTCTCAATTTCGATCGCGCGATCCTGACCGAATTCCTGGTCCAGCTGCTTCATAACTTTTTCTCTCAATAAACTGCTTTTCAACAACCATTACACACACACACACGTACACGTCACCAAATAACGCCACAAAAAGTCGAAAACCGAAAAATCCACAAATTTCGAAGAGATGAACAGAAAGAACAACAGACGTTAGTGCCTCCAGTTGCACTCGAATCCAATGTGACACTAAATTCACAAGAATGCAGAACGAGAAACGTAAGGCAACGTAAAAGAGGATAATTCATCTGCTCCCATTTCTCATGGTGGGAAAAATAACTGAATCCCAGTCAACGAACAAGCCTTCCGCCTTCCCCTCGCTATCTTGATGCTTAACCATCCAACTCCCATGTTGGGCCGGGCCCAATATAGAAATGGGCTTTCATGCAAATTACCAATTGGGCCTTAATTAAATAAACTCTTCACAAAAGTACCGTACAATTATACAAACTTGAGATCACACTGTACTCGTGTACTGTACGGAAACTTTACATACAGAATATCTGTGACTTATTTGACTTTGTCGATTTGGTTCAGCTTGCCGAGACCATTGCACCGGGCGCATACGATCTGAACCTGGTCCTTCCTCGCAGCGTTCGCCCTCAACGTCGATCCTGATTTCCTCACGAATCCTGCTCCATCGCACTCCGGACACCTGCTCAATCACAAATCCGTAAATCTGAATGAGTAATAAGGTTTCTGCATTCTACATATTGGAATGAGTAAGTTCCGTGCATTCACAAATCCATAAATTTAGAATGAGTAATAAGTTTTGTGCATTCTACATAATTTAGAATGAGTAAGTTCTGTGCATTTACGAATCCATAAATCTGAATGAGTTATAAGTTTTGTGAATTCACAAAGTCAAAAATCTGAATGAGTAATAAGTTTGTGCATTCACAAATTCATAAATCTGAATGAGTAATAAGTTTTGTGCATTCTACATAATTTAGAATGAGTAATAAGTTTTGTGCATTCTCCAATTTAATTTGAAAATATGTTTCTCACAGATCCTTGCGCTGGAAGAGAATCGGAAAGGCGGTTCCAATCAACGCGATAGCGACTGCGCCAGCGATCAGGTATGTCGTTCCGTTCGCCGAGACGTCGCCGGCTGCGGCAACCACCGTCATCTGCTTTCTCTGTTTATTTTTCAGCATCACGTCGCGCGAGAAAGAGATCTTCGATCCGAGGAACGCTGTGGTTCTGCAATCGGCGGAGCTGCACGGAGCTGAAGGCTTCCTGGCTGAGTTGGCGGCGAAGACGGCTGGTTTCGCGAGATTAACGCTGATGGACGCCATGGACGACCTTTCCTCGGTTCCTCGAAATTGAACTGACACAAAATTGACTCTAGTTTTGTAGCGTTTCACGACGGATAGCGATCAGTCGATCACAGATTTTTGGAGACGAAGAAAGTGGATAAGAACACATCAGTGACAGCCATTAGCCAATCGTATTGGATAAAGTGGGACCCACTTTTTCAAGATACTATTTTATTAGGCCCAAATAAAAAGCCCATTAATTATTATTTGGGCCTATTACTATAGCCCATTACAAGTTATTGGGCCTATGGGGTTTTGCGGCCCATACTGAATCGCCTTTGTGACTTCTTCGCTGAAGGCGGCGGTGGATTTAGGCTGTGCAATCTCGAGCGTTCGAGTATATTCGAGAAGTCCTCTGCGAGTTCTTGCAGAAGCTATAAATTTGGGATATGTTTGGTTGATTTCTAAGAAAGCTGATTTGTTAGCTTTTAGTTCTGGAAGATATTTTTGGACTTTGTATTGTTGATTTGGAGTGGAGATGGCGAAGGAAGGTCCTAATTGGGAAGGCTTGCTGAAGTGGAGTCTTTCTCATTCCGATGGTACTAGTGCCTCTCGTAATTTAAGGTATGATTTATTGTGTAATTTTTTGGATTTGTTCGTTTTTCAAGCAACGTTTGTTTCTTGGTTTCGGTTATATTGATGGATTGGTGTGGATGCGCTGGTTCTTGAATTGTGGTGTGCGTATTGGTGTAGTTTGCGTTGTAAACGTGTGCATTGTTGTGTGTGTAATCCTCTCAAAGTGGATTGATTCTTAATTTTGGTTAATTTTGGGGGATCAGTGAGGAGGATAGGAAATGGTTTATGGAGGCGATGCAAGCGCAGACAGTTGATGTTGTGAAGAGAATGAAAGAGATTACAGTTGTTATGCAGACGCCGGAGCAGGTTTTGGAGTCTCAGGGAGTGACAGCTGAAGATATTGAAGGTGTTTATTTTCGAAAATTTGGTGTCTGCTATGCTGCTTGGGATTTGATTACTTTCCTAAATAATTGGAATCTTGATTAATGTTATTTCTTGCTTTCAGATATGTTGGATGAACTGCAAGAACACGTGGAGTCCATTGACATGGCCAATGGTTAGTTTCCTGCTGTTCTGTTTTTAACTGGTTTCTTATTAATCTGTATGTTGTTGTTTATCAGATCTTCACTCCATTGGAGGTCTGGTTCCTCTTCTTGGTTACCTAAAGAATTCTCATGCTAGCATCAGAGCAAAAGCTGCAGAAGTTGTCACCACAATCGTTCAGAACAACCCAAGGAGTCAACAATTGGTCATGGAAAACAATGGACTTGAGCCGCTCTTGTCGAATTTCAGTTCTGATCCTGATGTTGTTGTTCGCACCAAAGCACTTGGTGCAGTTTCATGTAAGTGTCTTCTCGATTGAATATTAATTCATTGATGCGATGTATGGCTGATCAGTTTTTTATGTTCTGTTCTATCTGTGTTGTGCCTTCAGCTTTGATCAGGCATAATAAGCTCGGGGTTGCAGCATTCCGCCTGGCTAATGGTTATGCAGCTCTGAGAGATGCTTTAAGTTCCGAAAATTTGAAATTTCAAAGGTAGGGACTAGATTTTTCTTCTCAAGAAATATCTTTTGATAGATGAATGAATCTCTGTAGCAAATTCATGTGAAATTGATCATCTGCAGGAAAGCTCTGAACTTGATTCATTATTTACTTCAAGAGAACCGATCAGACACTGTAATCGCAACCGAGCTTGGGATTCCTCGCATACTATTGCACCTAGCATCGAGTGAGGATGCTGATGTACGAGAAGCTGCCCTTCGAGGGCTCCTTGAGCTAGCACGAGACAGGGAGAAAGCTAATGATATATCATCTGAAGAAGACGATAAACTGAAGCGAATTCTTCAAGAACGGATTAAAGCTATTGGTGAGATGTCTCTTGATGATCTCGGGGCTGCCAGAGAGGAAAGACAGCTTGTGGACTCCCTTTGGGAAACCTGTTATAACGAACCATCTTCTCTTCATGAGAAAGGACTTCTTTCTCTCCCCGGGGAAGATGACCTTCCACCGGATGTCGCCAGCCAGCATTTTCAACCACGTTTGAGAGCGGCAGCAGCTGCAAATGGGAACCCTGATTCAAAATCAAACAAGGAAAAACAAGCAGCACCATTGTTAATAGGTCCTGGACCCCCAGCAAACGGTGCTTCTTGATGCTGCCGTAGGAGTAGAGCACTGATATCACAGTCGGTTTGGTATTTTCTATACTCTTTTGATGTTATTTCATATGCTACACGATTATTACATCTGGTTTGTGCGCGCGATAACCATAGGTTATATATGGTTACGTTTTCATCTGCCAGCAAGCAATATGCTATCTGACTTCGATATGTGGGTTAATATGTTCTTGAAGCTGGTTTGTATAGTGTAAGATTGTTGGTTCTTTCTATGATTGTATGATCAAATGCTACAATGAACTGATGCAATGATAGCCAGTGTGTAATTTGGAACATCTTTTTCTTTGTTAATATATTAGATATTTAAATTCTGGTTTACATTATATGTTTTATTATTGAGATTAGTTCGTTATTATTTAGTTATTTCTATTAGATTAAATTGTTATTATTTGAGTTTATCGAGTCTTTATTGCGTGTATTGCATCTATCTAACTTTGTTCTCCCTGCAATTATTCGTATGTCAAGTTGTTTTTCAGTTTCAATTAAGTTTATGTCCGGCCTTGATTGTTTGTTGTGATTCCATTCAAAGTTCTATTTGAACTGCGTTGAGAGTTTTTTTTCCGACTCTTAACTTTGTTGTGATTGAGTTGTGTTTGCGACTTTAACATTTTGTTTTCGACTCTTAACACTGTTATGAGTGTCATGTTTCTGACTCTACTCAGGTATGAGCGAGTTCTGTTTCGATTTTAACTCAGTTGTAAGTGTTGCTTCTAATTCTAATTTTGACTACGTCATATTCGATCTCTCTTAGCAAACAAAATGACTTTTTAACATTGGATGTTAAGATATTTTTACTATTTAGATTAGTTAGTGTTTGTATTGCAAATAGGCAACTGATTTCATTTTTAATAATAAAAACAGAATTGTGCAAAATGTAATACTTTTGTTCATTACATCAATACTTTCCATACATGCTAAATGCTAACTTGCATCTCTTGCTGTTTTCTGAAACTATTTCTTAATCTCATCTTCAATGTGGAGGGCAGAAAGTGATGAGATATCTCGAAGCTCTGCACTTGTTGAGGCTGGAGGAATCATCAAATGCATAAGAATAAGCCTTGGGACAGATGGCCTTGAACAGATTTGCAAAAACCGTTGGCTTACAAGTTTTGGGGCTCGAATACTCCCCGGTGCAGCAGTACTTAGCCGACTGCATCGCCAAGCACGCGCTCTTGCAGCCCACCACTCTCCCGCCTACCCGGACCTCCAGCGCAGACGGGCAGCAGACATTCAAATCAACCTCGCACGACGCCACGCCGCAGCCAATCCCTCCGCCGACCGGCTTCATCGACACTGGCAAGTTGAAGCCATCGACCAGACTCACATCATAGAAGTGCAGCGGCGAAGTGGCCGAGCCTAGAGTCATTTCCACCACCGTTGCTGGCGGCACCCCGCCCAGCCCCCGGCAGCGCAGCTGCCCGGAGCAGTCTCCGGTGGCGCAGGTGCCCTTCCCATTCCGATCAAAGTTGCAGATCTGTCTTCCCCATATTCTGCCAGACCATTTCTCAGGTACATTCATTACCACTTCTTGGCCACTGCTTAGGAGGAACCCTCCATCATTAGGTACTTCCTGCCCTACACTGCCCTGAATTCCTGGCCAGATATCTTCATTACAGTTGTTTACTAATATCAGCTGATGCCCACTCCCATCTGCAGAGAAAGAAAGCCATTAAAGAACCTGCTTGTCAAGATTCAAGAAAATGATGGATCAGTTACCTGTGGTAGTGATGGAGAGAAGAAGCAGACAGGTAATAATGGACAAAATTGCCATATTTCTACACAGCCTGCTTATTGTTAATTTTTCTGCAATTTGGCATCAGATTTATACACAAACTTCAATTTGAGGTAACCATTATTTTAAACATATTTATTTCTCCCTTTTTTAGTACATTCCTTCTAACTTAGGTTTAGTATCTTGCCTTCATTCATTCCTTTCTTGTAGCTCAAACATCTGCCAAGTCATTGATACCATTCTTATTCTAACACTACACAAAAACTTTCTTCTTGTAGGCTGCTGCTGTTTCGATCTTATTATCGACCCGACGATAGGAGGGAATGGGTGACGGACGACGATCCGGAGAACGTGGTGTTCCCTCCAAACGAGGTATACGAGACCTTTACGTCGTCGAATCCTTCGAAATACACAAACGGAAGGCCGTCAGCGGAGACACCGTAAGACGACAGCTCCGGCAAGGCCACCGTCCCGTCCAAGAACCGGACGATTTCTCGCATTCCCGGACGCATCTCCGGCCGCGAATGCGAGCACAACAAGCCTAGTTTCAACACCATTTCAGCTTCTCCCTTGGCATAGTTGCTGCCCAAGTTTTGATCAACTGCTGCAACAATGTCGCCTCTACTCCAAAGATTGAACACCCATTCTACCAAGACTGTCTTTTCGGGTATCGCGTTTGGTTCGACGGGCCGCCTCCCGCAGGCGACCTCGAGAAGAAACGCTCCGAACGCATACACGTCGGTGCTCGTCGTTGCCTTGCCGGTTCGAGTGTGCTCCGGCGCCAAGTACCCGATCGTTCCAACAACGTGAGTCGTCTGCGGATCGGATCCGTGATCGTACAATCTTGCCAGCCCGAAATCGCCTAGTCTCGCCTCCAACTCGCTGTCTAACAAGATGTTGCTCGCCTTTATGTCGCGGTGAATCACGACTTGTTCCCATTCCTCGTGTAGGTACAGCAGCCCTGATGCCACGCCTTTGATGACCCGAAAACGTTGATCCCAAGTGAGCATCGATCTTGGCTGGGCGTAAAGATACTTGTCGAGGCTCCCGTTTGGCATGTACTCGTACACCAAAAGCAGCTCGCCTTTGCGCCGGCAGTAGCCGAGCAACGGCACGAGATTCCGGTGGCGGAGCCTGCCGATGCTAACTATCTCCGCGACGAATTCTTTCATCCCTTGTCTCGACTCGTGGGAGACCTTCTTGACGGCGACGTCTATCTTCGAATCCGGCATCACTCCGTGGTAAACCTTCCCGAATCCTCCGGCTCCTAGCAACCCGTCGTCCTTGAATCCTTTCGTCGCGACGTACAAATCCTTGTATCGGAACCTATGCGTCATGTAGTCGAGCTCCCACGCCTCGATCACTTCGGCGAACTTCCGCTTCCGTTGAATGTAGTAAGCCAATCCGAAAATCCCGAGCAAGATCGAAGCGGCTAAGATCACCGGCAAACCGACTCTCATGAACATGGATTCTTTCTTAGGCCCGATTCTCGGCAGCTTTGGCAGTCGAGAGATGTCTAATGGCGCAGCTGTGTCGTTGACGCTAAAACTCCATCCGAGCACGTAATGCGACTCGAGCAATGGCGCGCCGGAGAATCCGACGTACATAATCTGATTCAAAACCGGCGAAAGATCGCGATCCAACGACAGGAGAGGAATACTTGGCTTGGAAACCATATGGATTGGAGCTATAGTCACATTCAATTGAGCCATACTCTGGTCGTATTCGATCCATACTTGCATTGGTTTACTGCTGTTTAGCGTCATATTTGTAACGACGCCGGACTCGTCGTAATATGCGGCTGGAGTCGCTGCGACGGAGACGAGAGAATTGATATCGATGCCGACGTGATTGTCGTCGATATCTCTGAACTCGGTGCTCTTAAGAGTGTCTAATTCAACAGCTATAACATGTGTAGAGTTGTTGCCATTGCTGGATTCGTTGAACAGGCCGAGGTAAGTGCTCGGAAGCGCGCCGGGGAGCGCCGGCGCCGGAGCGATTACAAAAGCCATGCCGTGGCCGCCGAGGAGCTGAGAGGCAGGGACTATGGCGCAGACGAAATATGTGCTGAAAGAGAAGGCGGATCCATTGGAGGAATTTTTGAAGATGAAAGGGGTAGGGTTGAAGGCGTGACCTGTTTGCTGTCTGGTGGCGTTGGATAGCCATAGGAGGCCGCCGGAGGTTACTCTGGCTAAGCCGGAGAGGCTCAAATTGGCGGATTCGAATCCGTTGAAGATGAAGCTGGAGGAAGGATCTGCAGCTGCGAGTGCGAAGTGGAGAAATGGTAAAAGCATGATTAGTGCAGACATTGTTGAAACTGTGAGTTGCTTCTTCTTCTTCTTCTTCTTATGAATATTATTGTGAAGGGAGATTGAATTTTGGTGTCGTTGTTTACATCATGAAAAGGACGTTAATGGAGATCTTCGAGAAGAGAGGGTTAAAAATCAGGAAAAAGGAGGGGAGACGTAGAGATGGATAATATAAACAAAATCGTATGAAATTGACTGGTGAACAAATTAAGTTGTGATTGAATTTTTACCTTACCTGGTGAGAAATGGATCGAAGGATTGACCGGAGAAGAAGGCAGAGGAAAGGACGTGTGTCGTGTTGACAATGGCGGAGAGAGAGAGAGAGGGATTAATGGCGGCCATGGATTCCTTGTGGGAAACGGAGTGCAGGTGTGGGCTAGGTGTTTTAATGGCGGTAGTAGGAGTAATATAGAATAGGTGAGAGAGATGATTGGATGGTTTGGTCTGACCATGGCGGAGAAGAATCATTGAGTTCAAATATTGCTTTAATGGTTGCTAAGTGAAAAAAATGAAAATATCTTTGTTAACAAAGGATCCACATCCGACTTAAAATAATTCGTGATATATGGAGTGACATTTCACTTTGATATCATATTAAAAAGGTGATGGGGAGTTTCATATATTTAGCAAGACAATATTCAACAATTTAATATTATGGAGAGTTTCATATATTTAGCAATATTCAATCATTTTTTTATTTTTATTTTTATAATATATAAAAAATTATTATTTTAATTATTCTTGTGCTTACTTCACATTCTCAAACTGGGGATCATCCAAGTTCGAAACAGGTTGTTTGTTTATAGTATTTTTTATAAAAAAATAAATATCAAATTAAATGTTTATTTTTTATTTTTTTTTATATTATACTCTCTCTTTCTATATCTACATATTCATTTACTTATCGCAAGAAATTTTAGAAATATATAAAAGTAATGACATTTGTATAATATATTGTAAATTTGAAGGATATTTGTATATATAAAAGTAATGACATTTGTATAATATATTGTAAATTTGAAGGATATTTGTAATGTTAAGAGACTAATGTCAAAACCCAAAAAACACACCCTAACTGATAGATTATGGCAATTCTACCAATTCAAGTCATTAAAGACAATGTCTAGTTTAAGTATGGGAGATCGAAATCGTGGGAGTTTTTTTTATTTGATAAAAAAAAAAAATTGATTTGAATTTGATATTAAAATAATATTTTATAAAATATTTTGTAAAATATAAAATATATTTTTTAAACACAAAGTTAAAATAATAAAATTTAGATAAAAGAAATACACCATAAACCTTCCAGAACTATGTGGAAAGGCAGAACTTCTTGACTAAATCTAAACTTATTTCATAAGTTGGTTTATGCTATTTATTTCCTCTGAGTATTAATTATTTGTGCATCGAAGGGTAGTTGTGTGGGAAAGGCTTCTCTAACCAACTGTCATATTACTAAACTATATGTGCAGTAAAAAATGATCTGATGGTGTGAAAATAGATTATCACTTGAGATGATCGATTCAGATTCTCAAACTCATATTACTAAATTCACGTGAGGTTATGGGTTCAAACCCTCGATGCCTCAAGTCACCTACTACACATTGTTTGTTTAATGTGATTTTCTCGATTTGCAGGTATTAGGTTCAGCCGGGAATTTATCCAGTGAGATCATGGGTTCAAACCCCCAACGCCTCAAGTCACCTGCCACACATGGTTCGTCTAGGGTGACTTGGTTTGCAGAGTATTAGGTTCGGCTGGGGGTTTACCTAGTGAGGTCATAGGTTCAAACTCCCGACGCCTCAAGTCACTTGTCACACACGGTTTGCCTAGTGTGACTTTTCCGTCGAACCTGATTTGTAGGGTATTATGTTCGGCCGCGCACTTTCGATAACGGCTGCGAGTTGCTGCGTCATAAAAAAAAAAAATTGATAAATTTTTTATTTCCCTTTCTATTTATCAGTTTGAATTGGAACTGCAACCAAAATTCAAAACAAAATCAAAATTTAAGGTTTAATTTCAATTTAATATTTTTACAAACAGAATTTCTCTATTTTTTTTTAAATTATTATCTAAAAAAGTTTTAGAAGTATAAACCAACTGGTCCAACCATTTGAACACTTTGTTGTAGAAGGTTTAAAACTAAAATACAATAAAATACTTTTATGCCTTGTTTTTTAAAGTTAAATTAATTGACGAGATTAAATAATATGTCCAATGAATGAGACGTGTAATTTCTTTTTTTTGATATTTTTCTCATAAATTTTATTATTTAAATTTTGTATTTTAAAAAATAATAATAATAACAAAATATTATTTAAATATAAATTTAATTTTTTTTTTTAAAAAAAAAAAACTCCAAATCCAAAAAAAAGGCTGTAATTTGCATTTTCAATTCAAAAATTGCGATTTCTTTCTGCATATAAATTTTATTGTAACAGATTAAGATTAGTGATCAATAAAAAACAGAACGTAAAAAGACACAAATTTTATATCTTTAAATCTATTTAAATAAACCAAAAAAATAAATCAGACGAACTCAGTGAAATTCCTGTAAAAGCTCAGCGAAGTGACAAACTAAATTTAAATTTATGAACAAATTTTAAAATTTTGTAATTTTTCTTAAACATACAAATTTTTTTATCTAAACAAAATTTTAATTATATGAATTGTTGAATTTTGGCATTGTTATTTACGAATGCCGCGCGGTATCATTTATTATTTTACTAGCACTATTTTACAAGATAAAATAACTTTCTGATTTTAGCTTCGATATAATCGAAGCTAATATATATATTTAAAATAAAATAAAATAAAATAAAATAAACCATTTATTGAAAATGTCAAAATCTTATAAGTAGATCAGCAGTTTATCTAAATTTTCTACAAATTGAAATGGCTGAGAAGGAAATTCATCAACAAGAGGAAGCTTCCCACAAAGATGAAGGTTATTTACTACAACACGAAATACTCAATAACGCTTTTACTGTCTTTATTACATAAATCGCGTTTCTATTTCTCATACAAATTGGTAACACGTTTTTTGCCGTGAGGATTATAGAAGGAACAGTGAGGGGCATTTTGGGGAAATCAACTTGGCCCGAATTAGTAGGGCAGACAGTAGAAGCAGCGGAGACGAAGATAAAGGAAGAATCACCGGCGACCCGTATTGTCCAGGTGGTTCCGCCCGGATCCTTTACCACATCCGAGTACCGGGTTGACCGGGTCCGGATCTTCGCCGATCCGGCCGGAAAAGTTGCGAAGCCGCCGAGAATTGGGTGATAAATAAAAAAATAATTATTTGGTTGTTGGTGTCTGAAAAGTCTTGTCGTTGCAATTATTATACCCAATAATGGAGATTTGTTGTGATAATTCAGTTGCAGTTAAACTAAATTTATGTGACAATATTTTCAAATATTGAGGTTTGAATATGGGAATTGGGTGGAAAAGATTTTGACCTGTCGTGCCTGAAATTGAATCGTTCCGGCGAACGCCGGCGGAATCAATTTAATTTTGACAGATTCTCCGGCGGAATTGCACGCTCTTGGATTTGATTGTTCTGCGCCGTTGGATCAAAATAAACCCACACGTGTCGTCCATCTAATGGTGTCGGCAGTTGTAGGCTTGTTGGATCATTTTAACGTTGTAAATGTATACAAAGGGGACACAATCAACTGGTCTCTCTTGATATAAAGGACACTTATGCAGATTTGATCGATAAACATATATTTATATATTTTTGTATATATTGTTATTGTTGGGGTGCAAATCTAAGTCAAGAAAATTACACACTTTTATAAGTCTAAGTGAATTTTAAAAAGAAATCCGTATGGACTTAGCCCAAAACGGACCGGATCCATACAAGGTGGGCATAGAAGGTTTATTGGTTAGTTCTTGTTTTGAGGGAAGAATTGTTGAGACGAGGCCTTTTGGAGGACATCGAAAATAAATTATTAACAATAAATACCTTTAAATAAAATGTTGTATGTTTTTGTCGTAAGGTGTAGTGTATGAAATATATTTTGTAATATGAGATCAACAAAAGTATATACCATATAAATTACTGTATTGTGTTATCAGTCTATATATCCTATTTGTCACTAACGAGCCACCCCAACCATGGCATATACGTCGATTATATTGTTGACTATACAGATTGTCCGTTCAGTCAGATTCGAACAATTTTATCAAAACAATATTTTTATATTAATTAAATACATTTAAGTATTTGTTTGGAGGATTGAATTTTCAATCCACTGTTGATTCCATTTTTTTCTTAAAAAATATCAAATTAAACACCTATTTTTTCATTTTTTATATTATACTAAAAATCAATTTTACATTCAAAACATTACATCAATACCAATTTATATCACATCATACAACTATTCAAATTCAATTTTTTTACTATTCAAATTCAAACTCCCAAACAAACTAATACATTTCTTACCATCAATTCTACTTCAAATTGATAAAAATATTTAATTTTTTGACAAAAAATACCCTTAAACCCTGTCGACAAAAAATCTCTGGTTCCGCCACCGATATTTGTTTAATAATTTTATCTTTGCGTTTATATAAATAAATGCTTTTGAATCTTTTGACACAACTAACAATATGAAACCAACCGTCAATCCATCATCGCGCCGCCTCAGCGCCGCCGAGCGGCGTCAGAGGCGAAGTCGAGAACGACGGGAAACTCCGATCCACAATCGAACTACTCGTCTTGTCGAAAGACGACGATGCGTACGAATGCACGTAATCCTCGAACCCTTTCTCGTCCCCGGGGGCGGACGGCGGCTGCAACTTCTCCGGCACCACCGTCTCGCCCTCGAGATAGCTGACCACTTGCCGCATCGACGGCCTCGCCGCCAGATCGTTGCTCGAGCACATGATCCCCAACTTAAGAATTACGACTGCCTCATTCTCGTCGAAATCGCCCTCCATTCGAGCGTCTACCGCGTCGAGAATCCGTCCTTCCCGCCATTGATTCCAAACGATATCGACCAACACGGAATCGTCGCCGCCCCCAGGTCTCGACTCGATTGGGCGGCGCCCGCACGTCATTTCTAGCAATAATGTCCCGAAAGCGAACACGTCCGATCCCGTCGTCGCACGTCCCGTCCTCGGCAGCTCAGGTGCTAAATAACCCAACGTCCCGACGACGCGGGTCGTGCTCGGATTCGAGCCGTGATCATAGAGCTTTGCAAGTCCGAAATCGCCAATTTTGCCGCGCATTTCGCCGTCGAGCAATACGTTGCTTGTCTTTAAGTCGCGGTGGATTACGATCTGCTCACAACCTTCGGCCGAATATAATAGCTCTTTTTACTTAAAATAATTAAAATATAAATATTTAAAAAAAATTAAAAAAATAATACCTTCGTGTAAGTATAAAAGGCCCGAAGCGACGTCTTTGATGATCAAAACTCTCTGAGCCCAATTAAGAACAGAATTAGGTTTATCGAACAGAAATCTGTCGAGACTTCCGTTAGGCATGAAATCGTAGACGAGGAGGAGATCGGCGCCGCGGCGGCACCAACCGAGCAATTGGACGAGATTCCGGTGGCGGAGCCGCCCGATGGTGGAAATCTCCGACACGAATTCGCGGAGGCCTTGCTTCGATTCGTGAGAAATTCGTTTTACGGCGATTAGGGTTTTGGAATTTGGGAATTTTCCTTTATAGACTTTGCCGAATCCGCCGAACCCTAGAAGCTCGCTGTCTTTGAATCCTCTGGTCGCCTTTTTGAGCTCGTGGTATTTGTATCTGTGCGGGCCGATTTCGAGCTCCCATGACTCGATTACTTCGCGATTTTTGAATTTTCGGATTAGGTAAAGTGCAATTAGGGTTGAAATTAGGAGGAATAGGATTGCCGCCATTGATAGGGCGATGATGAATGTGGAATTAGGTTTTTTTTTGGGGCCTGGAACGGAGGGGAGAGAGGTTAGGTCTAGAAATTGGGATCCGCCATTAGAGTTCATTTTGAAGCTCCAACCGAGGATGTAATGTGCGCTTGCGAGGAGGCCTGTGGAAGCTGTGAAGCCGACGTACATAGTTTCGTGAAGAATTGGGGACAGATCTGACTGTAAGGAGAGGAGAGGGGTTTTAGGTTTGGATGAGGTTGGGGAGATTGTGACATTGATGAAATTGGTGGTTGAATCGTAGTCTATCCAGGCTACGATTGGTTTTCCGCTTTTGAGATTGATTTCAGTCGGTAATTCTCCGGCGCCGGCGAAGTACGCCGCCGGCTTGGCTTGGGTGGATTTTAAGCTGTTGAGATCTACGCCGACGTGGTTGTCGTTAACGTCGTCGAATTCGAAGTCTCGGACGGTGTCAAATTCGACGGCGAAGATGTGGTTGGAGGAATTTCCGATGTCGGAGGAGTTGAGCATTCCGAGGTACTGACTGGGGAGACCTGATCTGAGATTGTTGTCCGGCGAGATTATAAAGGCGAAGCCATGGCCGCCGAGCTTGGGGTACTCTGGGTGAATTGCGAAGACGAAGGCTGTCGAGAAGGAGTAGACGCCGGCACCGGCGGTGGAGTTCTTGAATCTGATCGGAGAAGAGTGAAAGGCGTGGCCGATTAATCTGCTGGTATCATTGGTTAGCTGAAGAACTCCTCTGTGGTCGATCTGGGCTACGCCTGTTAAGGTCAGGTTAGTTTTGGGATCTCGAAAACCCTCGTAGATAAAATCATCGAATTGGGACACTGAAAGTTGGACTGAAACGAAAAGGGTGGAGACGAGGAGTACGGGGTAAACAGCCATGGGAAAGAAATTCAAACAGAGTCTTTGAAGGATGAAACTAAGGAGATATTCAGGTAAGTGGTGGTGTTAGGTTGGGAGCTTTAATGGCGACGGCTGTGATTCAACGGCTGAGATTGCAGGAGATCTTTGTAGTGATGTCTTTGTGCGATTCAAAGACTTTCGTACAGATTAACATTCAATCGACCATCAATTTTGTCAGGTCTGTCTCTGATTTTTTTTTTTTTATTACAAGTTGAAGAATGACTGCCCATATTTCTGCCAGGTTGGACTTTGGATTCATTGTTTGGAATCAAATTATTCACATCATTTCGCCTAAAAAGCTAGAACTGTCGGATAAACGCAACCATTAATTATATATATCCGCAAACGGGTCTTCAAGAAATTGATTGTGATGAATTAAACGAGGAACGTTTCGGTCTCGATTTCGATCGTATCGTCGATTACGTCTCCGAGGGCTGCCTCGTTAAGATACTTCTCCGATAGGCGGACTCTCTTCACATTCTCTTGCTCTGCGACGAGCATGTTTCCGTAGTCGAGGAGCTTGTTGAGTGACATTTTTGGTTGCTTGAACTCCGGGAGCTTCTCCCGGGAATTCACGAGCTTTCTCCCGATGTTCTCGACTCCTACGCTCGCAATCCATTGCCTTACTTCCTCATCGTACACTCTTGCCCTAATTGCTCCGAAGAAATCTGAATGTTCATCAAAGAAAAAGGCTTATCGTATAATGTTAAATGAGCGATCTTACCTTATAAATTTATACTTGTAATAAGGATATGCATTATTACTCTTTAATTGCAGTTAGGCTGCTGAATCTTTAAATTTACAACAGTATATATTATCATTTATTTCAACTCAAATATTTTGCATATTTTTACTAACAAATAAAATAATATTTTTTTCGTCCCAATTTAAAGTACAATTTTTTATTATTTTCGTTTGTTACATTTCAAAATATTATTTTCTTATTTTAATAAAAATAATCTTACACCAGTACCAAAGTACCAAAATACTCTTTGACTTTTACCTAAACTACAAACGTGTGGTTACTATTACAATTATTTTATATATAAAAGTAAACAGACACTTCCTATGATTAATATGATATTATTAGCATTTCAACTAACACAAGTTGTCAGCATAAACTATATTAGTTGAATTATGTATTGTCTATCTATTTATAATGTGTTATTCTAAAATTTTCAGAGTTAGCACAATATTTTCAACATATATTATATACTTTATTTGTTACTTTATAAATTATTCATTTTGATCCGTCCTATAACGAAATATTTATTTTTTTATAACTCTACTATTTACCTAACACTATAAATATACTTCCAATTTACAATATGTTACATAAATGATATTACATTTATATTTCACAATATTAATAAAGCTATTTTAGTTATTTATACTTTATTTATATTATATATCAATATAATACTAATATATTCTTAAACTTCATGCAAAAATCAAACGGATATTTACTTAAGAGATGGGGGAGTATAATCTTTCAACAAATATTATGCTTTACCGATGGATTGTCCGGGGAAGGAGTCAACGAGCTTTACGACATCGCGCCGCGGCACATCGTCAGTCCGGAAGATTCCGCAGCACACGCCGATCCGGTCATCTCTCGTCGGAGCCCAATAGAATTTCTCCATACGACCGTCGCGGATGAGGGGCGCGTAAAGCGTCGAGAAATCGTTTCCGGTGACGACGACGGGGACTCGGGGATTCTCCCGATTGTTGTAAATTCCGGGGAGCTGAACGTTCGTCGGATTGTCCGCGATGTTCATCAGCGTTGCGTTCACCATCTGATTGTTCACCGTGTACTGCGTCGCGCTGCCGAGCCTGCCGGCGCCGGCGTCGAGATCGTTGATGAAGAGCGCGCACATTTTCCCCTTGGCGATCCTGTCGGCCGCCTCGCGGTAGCGCTGACGGATCAGCTTCGCCGGCTCGCCGGCGCTGCCGCTCTCCAGTTCTCCGGCGCTCATTGCAATGGGGCTGGAATTAAGGCAGTTATAAAAGGTGGATTGGCTTTGTAGTAAGATTAGTTGAAGTGGATTTTTACCTGATTCCCATTTTGGCAAAAACTAGCTCACATTGGAATGATTTGCCCTGTCCCTTACCTCCCCAGATGCCAAGAATCAGTGGGACCTGAAATATATTTTTTTTTACAGGGGAATAAATTCAGGGACTTTCTTGTTACCAAGAATTGAAGGAAATTGTTAGGGTGTGTTTGTTTTGGGTTTGGATTTTGAGTTGGGATTTGAACACTAAAAATTTTGAATTTGAAAAGTTGTATGATGTGATATAAATAAGTGTTGATGTGATATTTTTAATGTAAAATTGATTTTTTAGTATAATATAAAAAATGAAAAATAGGTGATTAATTTGATATTTTTTGGATAAAAAAATTAGGATGAACAGTGTATTTAAAATTCAAACCCCCAAACAAACACACCCTAAACTACATTTTATAAAATTTAAAAAGTTTGTAGTATTATTAATAATAATATGAGTAAACTGTTTTTAAATCACATATTTAATTATTTTACCATTTTAAATAGATAATATCTGATAATATTAAACTAAATTTTTTTTGTTAAAATAGTTTTTCGTGCCAAATTCGTCGGATTGATCCGCTGTTGCTAACATGGTGACGATGTGATTGACATGTCATTGCCACGTAATGCCACATTAACGACACATAAAATTTTTATTATTTTATTTTATAAGATGTCTTGATAAATTATTTTTTAGTCTTCTTGTTTATTAATTTAGATCTTTAAATGGACATTGTGTAAAAATAGTCCAAGTAAATAATTTTCGCTAAAATGGTTCATTCAACGTGTCACTGATATCAGATGCGTTAGCGTCATATCAGCAACGATGGTCCAATGTGGCGAATCCGGCATCAGACGACTATTTTAGAGAAAAAATTTTACTTACAAAATTATTTTCAGATACAAAATTAAAAAACAGTGTACCCTAATAAAAATAAAAGTTTTGTGAGATCGAGCAGCTCGAAATCAAATTTAGGAAATCTTAGGTATATTCCGGGTTGAGTGCATTTAGAAAAACAAATTTGACTATGGACACAATAATTACTTAAATCTCAAATAATCAAAACAACATCGTACTCTGATGTTGGAAAGATTCATGAAGTTCTTGGCGATGTGGACCACCATCTTGTCCATGAACGCCGGAGCAATGTAGAATCCATCGACATTGTTGTCAATTTGGTACCTGAAAAACCAAACAAACAGCAATTAATCAGCAGGATCGAATCAAAATTAAAATTGGAATTCAATTTCCCTGGAAAGATTCCTAGGCGTCCGTACTGTCGGAGACCGGCGCTGACATAATCATATGAACTCATGACAGCATCATGGGTGGCGCCGCCGACAGGGCCCTGGAAGAGGGCGTCGACCATTCCCTTCCCCCTGACGATGTCCTGCTGGTCGTCCGACGTGTCGGTCACCAGGCTCCGCCACCTGTCTCCGTCCGCCGCCGGCTTCCGATCGCCGCTGCCGCCGCCGCTGCGGGCGACCACCTGGAAGCTTCTGACGGCGGCGGTGGAAGTTCGGTTTCGTCGTGGATTCGCATTATTATTATTCAGAGAGCTGCCGAGAAAAGGGTTTGTGGTTGCTATAGAATTAGCCATCTTAATTTTAATGGATCGATCGATCGATGGAAAAATGAAGAAATTAATTAGTTTATTTTGCTCGATGAAAACGAGGGGGCGTTTCTTGTAATAGAAGGAGAGATCGATGTTTTCGAGGAAAATGGTGATCCAGGAATGGCAGCCATGTTTGAATGTAGGTGTGAATTCGTGAGTGGGGCTCTTACAAGAGAATGATTATAACAAACTATTCATTTTGTCTGTCCAATAACAAAATATTTATTTATTTTTAGTAATTTTATTATCTATATAATATTATAAATACATTTATCATTTACAATATATTACACAAATGTCATTATATTTATATAACACAATATTAATAGGGTTATTTTAGTTATTTCTATTTTATCCTTACTGCATCTAAATATAATACTAATATTCCTAAAAACTTTTTGCAAAAAGTAAATGGGTACATAGATATAAAACAGAGAGTATATGTTCTTATTATATATAACACATATTGTGAGTAATAAAAAAATATGTTGTTTGTTTATAATCGTTGTATAAGAATATATCATATGCTAAAATAATTGTTGTGTGTACTGTATATATATATAACTATAACATATGTTGTTAGTTTATGTGTTATATTTATATTATACTCCATCAGTTCCTTATCTATCTATCCGTTTGTTTTTTTTTTTTATGGAATTTTGGAATATTAGTATTATATTGAAATATAGCATTGATAAGTAAAAAGAAAAAAAAAAGACTAAAATAAGTATTGTGTGATAAAAATGTAATGATATTTGTGTAATATATTGTAAGTTGTAAGAGTATTTTTAATATTAATAGAAAATATATTTGCTAAAATAAATAAATAAATTATTAAAAAACAAAAAGAATATTAACATTATATATAATAATATTCCCTCCCTCCTAGATACCGTGTCTGCTAAACTGTATACACCGTATTTTAGAAGAGATGAAATTAGTAAATAATTAAGAATATATTAGTGAAAATAATTATTCTATAATATAAATAACTATAAATTAAGACAACTAATTAGTTTAATTAATATTTTAAAAAAATAAAATTTAAAATAAGATTAAAGTGTGTAATAATTTTTCAAAAAAGAAAAGTGACATGGTATATGGGACGGAAAAAAATGGTAACGTGGACGTGGTATCTGGGACGGAGAGAGTACTTTATACTGCCATATAACACACGATACGATGTGGTTTTTATTGCTGTAATATTGTATTTCCAACTTTTTATAAAAGCAAATATTGTTGCATCGAAGTGTGCAATAGTGATTAGTTTGATGGTTAGTTTGTTTGATTTTTGGAAGTATTCAGTATTCCTGTCATTGAGCTTACGTAGGATGGCAACTAGAGTCTTAAATCAATCAAATTGTTCGTAAATTTAATTCCATTAATTTTTAATTGTTGTTCATGCATATTTTTTAAAATTTTGAGAATTGATTAAAAAATAATATTATTTAATATTGATAGATAGTATCAATATATATATATATATAAATACTCAATAAAATGTATTGTCAATTATACAACCAATGTTTATATTTGTATAAAAGATGTCCGAAAACGAAACTAGTTACGAAGGTTAATCCAATTATAAATTAATTACAAAATTAGAAAGCTAGCTAGCCTAATTTATTTTTTCTGTACAGTATATTCCAATCGTTTCATGTTAGTAATTAATTAATTTATAATTTCCATCATCATGAGAGCCATATATCAATCAATCTTCCATGGCAGACTTAACAATAATAACCAACCCTAATGATCCATCCCGAGAAATCTCGTCCGTCCGATTCGATCGATCGATGATCAATCCTCAAAATGGTATCGTCACTGATTCTTCCTCACTACAATCCCTAATCCTCAGCTGTACGACGCCGTTTCCTTGCTCCAACCCGCTCGTTATCTCACAGCACTGTCTCCTCGGCGCCTGCAATTAAATTCAAAATCCCCAAATCACAAAACCCTAATTCCCAAAATAAAAAAAAAAACCCTAACCCTAATCCCCAAATTCCAAAACCCTAATTGATAAAAATCAATCGCTTACATTGTAGTAATACTTTGGATCGAGAACATCGGCGGTGATATTGAATCCCTTGACCACATACGCCGCCTTGTAATGCTCCCTCTCGCACTCCTTCCACCGGACGGCGCGTGACCTCGGATACCACGACGCCGTCGTTCTGCCGTCGCGGGACCTCTGGACCTCGCCGTCTAAATAGAACAGCACCGGGCGCTCGCAGGGCTCGAGAGCCATGGGACGCGTGTCGAACGTGAAGGGCTCCTGGCTCCACGTGCCCCACGTGAGGAATGTCTGAAGCGGCGTGTTCAGCTCCTTCGCCGTCAGCAGAAACGGGTAGACCTGAACGGTGTAGCCCCAGGCCACCGAAATGGACCATTTCCGGGTCAGGTCGTAGCAGAACGTGTGCTGAAGTATACGGGTCGGATCGGGCTTGTACGCCTGCACCAGCTTCTTAATCGATTCGACCCGATTCGTACCCGGAAATAGGGGCTGGAGGTAGTCCAGATGGTGCAGCGACACCAATGGCGCCAATGGATGCGTCGATAGGATTCCGTACGGACTTCCTCGTATGTCCAGCTGTCCCCCAACAAGATTCCATGTAACGATAAGATATCATCAATATATAAAATAATAAAAATTTGAACAAAAAAATAGTCTCATATCTATCCATATTTTGATTTTTTTAAACGAAAGTTTTAATAACATTAGGATAATATTGAGATATTATAAGAATATAAGTAAAAAAAATTAATATATTCTCAAAGTAACAATTTATTGTAACGATATATTTGTACTATGTTGTAAATTTAAAGGTAATTTTAACATTACGTACTAGGATTACTTAAAAAAATATATATTTTGTTTTGGAACGAATCAAAATAAAAAAATTGATAGATAGTTAAGGGCCAAAGGTAGTATATATTTTTAAATTGCATAAAACCCACCTATAGTTTCACTAAATTGCGTCAAATAGCTTATATTTTTAAAATTTCGTCAAATTCCTTTATAGTTTTTTTAAATTTTGCGTCCAACCCCGGTTGTCTTTATTTAAGGGTGTTCGACCTACATGTGCTCAAATTGCAATAAATTTCAGAATTTCTATTTATAAACCTTTAAAATTACAAATATATTCATTTCTCTTTTGTATTTATTTTTAAAGAACAGTAAAAAAAACTTTTAAAATTAGAGAAAAAAATTATTTTTGATTATATTTACTGTTCTTTGATATTAAACTAAGAATAATAAGTATATTTGTAATTTTCACATATTTAGAAATAAACATTCTCAAACTTATTGGCCGGTTGGATTGGATACGTGCACTTAAACACTGTTAAATAACAATGACCAAGTGGTTAAATGCAAAATTTATAAAACAATGATAAAGTTTAAAGTAAGTTTAGAAATATAGAAAATTTGACACAATTTTTTAAAATTACAAATTACAATTGAAGTTTGTGCAATTTCGCTTATATATAAATTAAGATCGTAGAGTAATGACCTGATGGAAGCCAAGTTCTCTGGTGAGAGGCACGCCGATCTCCGCCATACACGCGCCGACCTTCTGATCGGAGCCGTACATTTCGGCATACCGATTAATGCAGCCGTCGAGGATCCTGACGAGCTGCGCCGCCAGAGGGTAGCTGACGGCGAAGCCGCCGCCGCCGTAGCCCATCGAATAAGAGTGGACGATGTTCTGCTCGACGCTCTCGGAGTTGCCGCCGATGTAATACATCTGCCGGTGGTCGTATTTATTGAGGACCGTTACAAGGTTGTCGGTAAAAAAGATCGAGTCGTCGTCGCCCATCACGAACCACCGCACGCCGTCCAAACCCAGCTCGAAGCTCTCCTTCACAATCCGGGCGATCCGAACCGCCGCCCGCGGGCCCCAGCTCGTGTACCGGAACGCCGCCGTGTCCGCCGAAACCCGGTACGGCGGCGACGTCGCCGGCCACCCCTGAGCGCCGCCCAACGGCTCGTTGTCGATCCAGACGAAGCCGCGGGAGACGTTGGGCTTCCACCACAGCTCGCAGATTTCGCGGCGGCGGCTCCACGTTCCGGCGGAGCCGCCGATTCCGAATAGGATGTGCGAAATTGTCGTCTCGCCGGCGGCGGAAGAACCGTTAATTTCATGGAATGAGGAATGGATGATGTTCCTTTCGCAATTGGCGGCGCTGAATCCGCATTTCGATCCCGTGGAGATTGAGAAATAGCAAAACGACAAAAATGCGGCAGCGCAAATCGCTAGAAAAACGAATTTGACCAAATTGGCGGTTGAGTACGAGGAATATTTGGAGCGTGGGGAGAAAAGGTGTCTGAAGGGTTTTACAGGGTCGTCAATGGCGGAGCAATGAGGCATCTCGTATTTATTAATGGATTTGTTCGGAGAAGACGATGATTGATTGATTAATTAATGATGAGGATGTTCGACATGCGGGAAGTACGAGGTTGTTGTGGGAAGATAATTTTGGGAATGAAGGAAGGAAGGAAGGAAGAATCGAATAGGTGCTTTATCTATTGGTTGCCTGTTTTTTTGCGATCCATATTAATTAATGGTTTGGAATCGGGAAAAAATAGTATGTGGAAGAAAATGGATATTCAGTGGACTTAGGGGTGCTGATTATTCTCCAAGAATGAAAATCTAAAGTTAGCTTCTTTATTTATATCTACTTCAATTAATATATATATATATATATATATATAATTAATGCGTGTAATTAATATCCGTTGAATGAAGGAAACCATTACCACTCGTAATTATGGAACATTAATAATCCTCAACACAAAAATGATTATATATATTCATTAAGAATAGATAGAGTAATTATTAGGACTTACAAGAGTGCGTTGACTTGTAAGATTTTATGTTGATTTTGCTATTTCAATTTTATGTTAAAATATTATATTTTCTCTGTCCCATATTACACTGTAGACACGGTATTTTAATAGTCTCATATTACACTGTAGACACGGTATTTTAGTTGCACGAGGGGTGTAATTAGTAGATAATTTTAAATGTATTAGTGAAAATAATTATCATATAATATAAATAATTATAAATTAAGATTAAGATAACTAATTAGTTTAATTAAAATTTAAAAAATAAATAAATTAAAAAGTTTAAAATGAAATTAAAGTGTGTAATCATATTTCAAAAAAGGAAAGTGATATGGAATATGAGACGGACAGAAACGGCAACGTAGACATGATATGTGTGTCGAATGGAGTATTAATTAGAAATTCTAATTTGATAGGATGGACTCAGATGTTTATGCAACCAATAATTTTTACCAAGAAAGCTTACTTGCAAGATTAGTCCATAAATAACAATTAATTTGAACCAAAAAAAAAAAAAAATCGAAAGGAAAACATAATACTATAATCTAACGAGATATATGGAAAAATTTTGGTAAACTTAGATGACAATTCACTTTGCATCATCTCCAAATATTCCTACGAGGCAACAACACAGATGTGAAGAAATTGATCCAGTACCGACAACAAGCAGTACTAACCCAAGATAATCTACAAAGAATCGGACAAACAAACACAAACGTATTTATAGATTTTAGTTTTTGGGTTTGGATTTTGTAATAGTAAAAAATTGAATTTGAATAGTTGTTTGATTTGATATAAATAGAGGTTGATGTGATGTTTTAAATGTTAAATAAATTTTTAGTATAACATAAAAAAATAATTGTTTAATATGATTTTTTATTTTTTATTTTTTATTTTTTAAAAAAAAATTATAATAGTAAAAACATGTAATAAAATCCAAAAAATACAACCTAAGTGTTTAGGGCAAAACAAGAAATACCGAGGACAAGCACCAAACAAGTTGAAAATGAATTTCAATAAAGAAACTAGGTAAGAACAAGGTCTAACAAAAAAGCACAAAGAACTCAATCCCTTTCCTTCACCCATTCGTTCACGCTCGACAGATACATTCAAGATGATTTGTGAGATAATCTCAAATCAAATCGGGTCAAGTATGTATCGGATCGGGTTGGGTTGGGTTGGGTTGGTCGAACCAAAACACAAATCCAACAACATCTATACATATTTTTATCGCATCAAATAATTATTTTATTGAAAATATTATTATTTAATATTAAAACTCAAAATCAAAATTGTGAAGAATTATTTTGTTTAGGCTTTAAAATCATTCATATTATTTAAAATAAAATTTAAATCAAAATCAAACAAATCATCATTACTTAGAACTAATAACCACTGTAATTTAAACTTTCAGCATTAATACAATATTTGTTGTGTAGATTGTTGTTACTATTATTTTATTTTATATGTATTTCGTCCTAATACATTAATTCATACGAATATATATATATATATATATATAGTAATGTTTTAATTAATTTAATTTAAATTAAGTTGTGGCCCGGGCCCTAATCGAAGCTCAAGATCCAATTTCTGATCGACAATATCCCTAACTTGTAGCTTTACCTCTTCCATTTTTGGCAGCTCCATTTTCCGGTGGCCGGCGGTGACGGAAGAATATTCCGGCGGATGGCGGTTGATTCTAGAAGCTCTGTCCTTCCGGTGGACATTCATGTGTCCGCCGAGGGCCTGCGCGTTCGGAAACCGTCGCCGGCAGAAACTGCATCTGTAATTAATGCAGGCGGTCGTTATTGTCTTCTTCTTCGTCGTCGTTGTCGTTGTTGTCTTTCGGGCAAGATTTCGATCTTCGTCGCCGTTAAGGTTGGTGTTCCATGGAAATGGAAACATAATCTTCATAAGTGAAAATCTGCTGCTGCTGTCCATAGACTTTCTGAAATTATTGTTATTGATCGAAGATTTGTAATGATTTGGACACTGAATTGAGGATTTGTTTGTATGTTTTATTTGTAGAGGCTGCTATGGTGTTGGCGTGGATTAATTAATACATAAAATATAAAAGAACAATACATTACAATAATATATATATATATATATGTTACTCCTTGGTCCAAGCTATATTGTTTTATTTAGTTATTTAGTTTAAGATACAGATAATTAGGTATTGTGTCATTAATAAATAATTAAAAAAATATATTAGTGAAAATAATTATGATTTAATAAAAATAATTATAAATTAAGATTAAGATAACTAAATAATTTAATTAAAATAAAAAGTTTATAAATTATGAATTTTAAAATGTGATTAAAGTGTATAATTATATTTTTTTAAGAAAAAAAGAAAAAATAATATGAGGCGGACGAAAATAAAAAGAGCGAACAAATTAAGTGGGACGAACTGATATAAAATATAAGTATACTAATAGCAAAAAGCCAAAAATGCATGGTAGCATATAATAATAATAATAAATAATTATATATATTTTTAATTTATAATTTTCAATATTATATTGATGTTGGTGATTCTGGTTGGATAAATATACTCCCTTCGTCCCATAACAAAGTATCTATTTTTTCATTTTAGTCCGTCCCATAACAAAGTATATATTTTCTTTTTTTTTTTTTTTTTAGTAACTGTACTATCTGCTTAACATTACAAATACCCTTACAACTTACAATATATTACACAAATGTCAGTACCTTTATATCACACAAACTAACAAGGTTATTTTAGTCATTTCAACTTTATTCCTATTATATCTCAATATAATACTAATATATATAAAACTACGCGTAAAAAGTAATTGGATACTTATTAATGAGACGGAGGGAGTATTAATGATCATTTTTTTAATAATTTAAACTTTTAATTTAGTGAGATGATAATTCTGTGTATCCGACAAGGTATCAAAGCCTTAAATTTCGAGTTCGAATCACTACCTGTTTGCGGATATATATTTTTAATATATTGACTGTCTAAGTAAATGTAGCATGTTCGTAAATATGGTTAATCGATCAATTTATTTATTTTTTAAAAAAAAAAATGAAAGAAAGGGAAAGTGCAATGGAATTAATTATGGTATTAGGTCAAAAGGAAGCGTGCTAATAATTTGGAGTTGATAAATCCGACCAAGCCCAGGTGTGGTTTCATTTATTATGTACTATTAATTAATTAATGCGCGCGTGCCTGCATTGACACCCAATTAATGCAAACGTCAACGCTATTGGTCGTTTGCTATTTTAGATATTGGTAAAAGTGTGTTGAGAATTGTTAAAATATTTTAGTTTGAAATAATTGTTTTTATTTCTTAAGTATTTTTACAAATGAAGTGAGATCAATTTCAGTGGACAGAAGGCAATATTATTTTTCAAATATTTTCAAAGAATAAATAGTATATATTTTTTGATTTAGTATTGATTTCAATTAAAGTTTTTATTTAAATAATAGTCCTTCCTTCAGTTTCACATCTATATAAATATTAGTATTATATTAGGATAGAGTAGAAATAGAAGTAAAAAGACTAAATTAATCATATTAGTATTGTATGATATAAAGGTAATGATATTTATGTAATATATTGTAAATTGAAAGGATATTTGCAATGTTAGTTAGATTGTATAATTGGACAGACCAAAATAAAAAAATGGATAAATTATTAAGGGAGGAATTGTGTATTTCTTTCTATTTCGAAACTAATTATTCATTTACTTTTTATACATAAATTTTTTAATATTATAATTATATTTGTATATAAGTACAATATAAAAAATACAAAAATACACCTATAATAAAGATAATGATATTTCATAATAATAATAATAATTTTATCAATTATATAATAAAGTATTTACACAATATGGGTTTATGTACAATAAAAAAAATTGTGGGCCAGGATGAAAAATAATTTTAGCCCAAAATAAAAACATTGGCCCATTTATTTAAACATTTTTATAAATCGGCATATTATCATTTGGATTAAAATATAAGGATCACTCATTCAATATGAAAATAGCACAAATGTAAAATTTAGTAGAAAAAAAAAAACTATTTGATATAGTATTTTTTTTTAATAGTAAAATCTTAACTAGTTAGTCCTGTGATTTTTATTATTTATTTATTTATTTATTAATTAATTATTTTTTAAAAAAGACCCTTGAGAAGGAAAGACTAGTATTAAATTAAATTAAATTATGGAATCAAATGATAATAGTAATAATTCCTGTAGGTTTCTTTCATACTTTAATGAATTGAATATCTTGGAATTTGGAAAATACTCTTCAGTTTATAATTTATAATCTTACCATTCCCTTTCACTGCATTAAATAAAATTTTTAATAATAAATAAATAAATACTTATAAATTAATAGGTTGGAAAGAGACATGGATCTGATACTCCCATGTGGTTCTGAGATCTCTTTTATTACAAAAATAAAAATAATAATAATAAGGACTTAAAATCTCTCTGCCTTGGATCAGAACCATTTTTTGCATTCTTTACTTTAAGAGGACAGACAATTCTCAATTACTTTAAAATTAAAACCCTACCTCTTTAATTTCGCTTTTATTTTATTTTATTTATTTATGTGGGGCGAAATTAAATTTCAACAAAATCAAAGTGATGATACATATATAGGCATCGATATAGATATGTATATGTATATATGTGTGCGTTTCGAGGTAATTAATGTCAATGAGACATATTAAGGTAGTGCAAATACGCTCTCAGTATACTCCTTCGTCTCATATTTATATATCCATTTGCTTTTTGTACGGAGTTTTAGAAATATTAGTATTATATTGGGATAAAGTAAAAATAAAGGTAAAAAGACTAAATTAACTTTATTAGTATTATATGATATAAAGGTAATGATATTTGTGTAATATATTGTAAATTAGAAGGCTATTTGTAATGTTAGGTAGATAGTACAATTACTAAAAAAAAAGAAACAAATACTTTGTTATGGGACGGACCAAAATAGAAAAATGGATAGATTGTTAAGGGACGGAGGGAGTATTTATTTACTTTTTACACGGAATTTTAGAAATATTAATATTATATTGGGATAAAGTAGAAATAAAGGTAAAAAATTAAATTAATCATATTAATATTAATATTGTATAATATAAAGGTGATGACATTTGTGTAATATAATGTAAATTGAAAGGGTATTTGTAATGTTAAGTAGATAGTACAATTACTAAAAAAAAGAAAAAGAAATGAATACTTTGTTATGAGACAAGCCAAAATATAAATATAGATAAATTGTCAAGAGACAGATGAAGTATTAGTTAGAATTTATGTATCCCTTTATTTTTAAAATTTTAGAATATTACTCCCCGGCTTATATAAGAAGTAATATTTGAATTTCGAGAATTTAGTTGGGTAGAATAAAATGAAAATTATGTGATGTGATGAGATATAAATTTGTATATTTATTTTTTTATTTGAATAGTGTGATGAAATAAATTGTATTAATTATTTTATATTTTAAAAATATTGCAGAATATGTGAAAAAAATACCAAAATAGAAAAATATTAAATAAGACAGTATTTTACCTGTGATGAGTAAGTAATATATAAGAATATATTGAACAAAATGTTTATGAAAATATAATTGATATGTATATATATATATATATATTGTGCATGGAAATTAGTAAATCCCAATTATTTACAAAGAATTTATTTCTATTTTTAATATACAGACTCAACAACATATTACAAATATCTTTATATTTATATTTATTTAATTTTTATGATTCTCATTATTCTTTCTAACAAAATATATTACATCTAAACAAGTATTAAAACCAAACTTCAAAGAAAAAAAAATAATAATATCATTAACCAACTCAAGAATTATTATCATTTTGTATGAGAAACAAACCGTAGCTAGGGTTTGTGGTTTGTATTTTTATAGTATATTGCAATTAATTAATTAATTATTAATAAATAAATTAATTAATATTGGGGTTGGGTTTAGATATAGAGAGAGATAGGGTTTGATGAGGAATACCAAATATTCTTTATTCTTTCTGAGTTAATTAGTTACTAAGAACTATATATATATATATTCAATAATGGAAACTGAAAACTGCAGTATTATATATATATATATATATATGATATGGATGTGAAGTGTGTACAGAGGAAGAAACAAAAGAAGCATAGTAAAGTGTGAGTGATAATATTATTCTCTCTGAATTAATACAAAAAAAATAAATAAAATAATTATATATATATATATATAGGAATACTTAAATCCACTGATTCTCTTTGTAGTTGGTGCCAATTTTTGGAAGGATATCATCATATTGGGAATTTATAATTGAAGAATAATTAACATAATAAGCTATAAATGAATGAAGGAACCAAATATGATAAATTAATATTATAATAATAATAATAACAAAATAAAGAAAAAGGGAATCCATGTTGTGTTGTATATGTACCTACTTGAGATTGCCATATATATGATTTATTTGTATTTCTTTCTCACTCATATATAGTAAAAAAAAATAAAAATTACAATTTATAGATCCTTATTAATTATCTCTCTCTACATATATATCTTCTTCTAAGATGGCTATGTGTTTCTTTTGGTGAGTCTGAGAAAAAATTAGTTTGGATGGATATTAAAATAATATATCATTGAAATATTTTGTGAGAAGAAAAAAAATATACTTCTTCCATTTCATAACTAATTATTTATTTTTTTATTTTAGTCCAGTCTCTTAATAAAGTATTCATTTCCTTTTTTAGTAGTTGTATTATCTACCTAACACTACAAATACTTTTACAACTTATAATATATTATACAGATGTCATTACATTTATATCGCACAATACTTTAGTCATTTCTACTTTATTACTACTACATCTCAATATAATACTAATATGGGACCGATGAAATATTTTTTTTCTAAAAATATAGAATCCGAATTATAAAAATTTGAGTTCTGATGGTAAAAAAAAAAAAAAAAACCCCTCAACTTGTAAATTAATCTCAAACACTATTTTGAACACACATATATATACACACTAGTAAATCATTTACTTACACAAATTGAAGATATGAACAAGAAAATTCGTCATTTATATATATATATATATATATAACACTAACAATAATCTTCCATAAAATGATCATGGAGGCTTCATGATCTTCAATTCTAACCATAACAACTAAAAAAATAAAAACAAAAGAGGAATTCATTTGTGTTGAGATAATTAGAAACACACACAAACACCAAATCAAAGTAACAATTTTTTTTTTTTTCCAATTCTTCCAAAGTTAAATTAACTTTCACCTTTGTAGACCATTCCCAAGCCTCAATTCAAGATCCAAAACTTCCCCCGAAATGGAACCCGAACACGATTTCGAAACCTCCTCCAATCGATATCGATCCAAACCCGAGTCTTTCCCCTCAATTTTCCTCCTCTTGCAACTATCTTCTTCCCCGCGATCACTCTCCATATTCGCGCGCTTTCTACACACCACTAAATTCAAGTCCATCGAGGGTTTCTTGATCGAATCGACAACAAAACAACGATCGATTTTCTCCGAAAACGACGAAATTTTCAAGCCCTTATCGCCATTCCCGACCGGAGGAGGAGACGAAGAAACCCTAATTACTCGCCGGAGTGGAGGCGATTTCAGCGGCGTCGAATAATCGGAATTAAGAGGCGTGTTGTACAAGAAAGCAGCTATATGTTCAGAAGAGTAAGGATTCGAAATCTGAGGTCGACGAAGACGATGAAGATGGTGATGATCAGATTCAAGAACTGGAGATGATGACGATGATGATGATTGCTTCAATCGAGCTCTATCTCTTCTATGGACATTCATATGGCCTCCCAAAGCTTGAGCAGACCTAAATTCCCTTCTGCAGAAGCTGCAAGAATAAGATCTGGGCGGCCATACGCATCCTCCGAGAGCTCCTGCTGCATCTTCTGCAAACGCCTGTTCTTCCCAATTGGAATCGCTGTAAGAAGAAGAATTCATGGCTGGGGCTGAAATAAGAGGGCTGAAATTAGGGTTTCTGGAATTTCCCCAAATCCATTGCTTCGTTTGCTCCATTTCAATCGAGTAATTGAACTGCAGAAATTGATTGATTTAAAGAAAACCTAACTGGAATTTGGGGGTAATTCTAGGGTTTGTTATAAGAGGATCGATGATCGATCGATTTCGATGAAGGGATGTTTGGCGAGGTGTCGACGTCTGGATTAATGAGGGGGATGAGTTAATTCACAGTGCTCGAATCCATGAGAGAGATGAGAAGATCGATGTAGGAAAGAAAATTGAAAATGAAATGAGGTGTTCTATTCTAAGTTTTCCTGTTTTCATGCAGCTAATATTTGTTTGTTAGTAGGGTTTTTTTATTTGTCTTAATTTGGACACATTAATTCACTATTTTATCTTATTTTATTTTTTTATTTGTTTTTGAATTAGGGGAGGATTGTATTTAGATTTATTTTGAAAGTAAGTGGACTATTTTTATTTTTATTTTTATTTTTATTTTTATTTTTTTAAGGGTTTGGATTTATTTTTGCACTATCTATTAGTCCTTTATTATTATTATTATTATTATTATTATTATTACTTAAAAAATGGGTAGGATATGTTTACTTATTAGTCAAACCAAAATCTATTTGCTATTATGTTGGATTCATAATAAAAATATTACATTATCTTATTTTCTAAAATATTACATCAAAATATATATTTTTTAAAAAAATTCAAAATAAAGTCTCAAACTTAAATCAAAACCAAACACACTTAAATTTAAACATTAATTCAATTCAAATTTTTTATTATTCTTAAAACTTAAAACTCATACAGTAAAGGGATATGCTTTTAGAATTCTGGATTTTTTTTAAAAAAAAAAAGTGAAGATAAAATACTATATATTTAATGATATAAATTTATTAAACATATTTATTCTATAATATATATATATAAATTTATTAAATGTGTATACATAATTTTTAAATAGTTAAAAGTGAGTAGAAAATATTCTTTTCTGTCTTTTATAAATGTGCTCTTTTTTATTTTCTTGTTTCTCTTAAAAAATATTATTATTATTTTTTATTTAGTACAATTTTGTTCTATTTTTTATAATTTTCTTATTATAAAATCAAAAAATAACAAATATATATATATATCTCAATCAAAACTTCATTACATTAAATTAACTTGTGTCGAAAAGTTTTAAGCACAAATTTGAGAGACAAGTGAGTATGCTTTTTCATATAAATTTTTTTTTTTATTTTCTTCTAAAAAAAGACGCGTGTTTAATGAAAAGTTTTAGAACAAGGTTGATATAAGATATGATATTTTATGAAAAAAATTATACTATCTATATCCGTCTCTAAGGATCTCATTTACTTTTTGCGTATTAATTTTTTAATATTAATTATTATATCCAAAAGTAGTACAAATTAAGAAAAAATTACATAAATACTTCTATTGGTGTCTTATAATACTAATAAAATGACATTTGTACAAAAATTATATAAATATAAGAATATTTTAAATGTTAAATACAATTACGCAAAAGATAAATGTGACCTTAAAGGCGATCGAGTGACTATATATCATTGTTTATGAATAATATAAAAAAAAAAAATGTGTATATAAGCGGTGTTTAGAACTTGGAATTTGGTTATGGCGTGTTTGATAATTAGTTGTTAGCTGTTAGCTGATTCAACTAGTTGATAGTTGTTAGCTAATTCATTAGCTGGTTTTACTATCTGATATGATTAGCTATTTAATTTGTATGAAAATATTTGGTAAAACAACAGTTTGATATTAGCTGTTTATACGTAAAATAACAATTGAGGACATTCTAATACAGATAAAAACTGTTCAATAAACTAAAAATTCTCGGAAAACTCTTTGTCAAACACCCTCTAAACGTGGGTTCCGTGTGGGTCCCTGCTGTAGAAATTCAGATCATGGGAGTTATTGACATAATAAATTAAAATGTGGAATTATGGATTATTTAATTTATAATTAGAGTCATTTCATTTTATACTATATTAATTAAATTAATTCGAATTTTAAATATTCTAATTACATTCTTCTGTTATTCCAATGTAGTGAAAGCTTAGCAAGAGAATTGATTAGGTTAATATATATATATATATATACATGCACGTTGGCTGACGATATATACAACACATATATATATGTATATGTTATTAAAAATTATTTTATTTAATTTAATTACCCTAAGGACAAATTAACTTGAAATTATTTAATTAATAATTAACAGATTATATTAATTTTCCAGTCTGGTGAGGATAATATGATCATCTTAATTGTTGGAATCATCCCACTGTCCATGCACATGCAAATTCTTTTCAGGCTTATACAGCCTAATTTATATTATAATTTTTATAAAAAAATAATGCTCCCTTCGTTTTATTGAAATGTTACCATTTTCTATTTTCATTCGTCCCAAAACAAGGTTATCATTTTCTAATTTAGTAATTGTACTACCTACCTAACATAATAAATACACTTTCAACTTACAATATATTATACAAATATCATTATTTTTATATTACACTATACTAATAGAGGTATTTTTGTTTTTTTACTATAATTCAATATAATATTAATATTAAAAATCTACGTGGAAGAAATATATTGGGTTTCATATTCTAAATTATATAATACATATGATAATCAAGGAAGAACAAATCAAAATCCAATTACGTGTATATATTGAAGCGATTTTGATGAATGTTTGTTTGTGTTTTGAATATTTTTAGCTGTTATGCAAATAATATTTGAATTAAAATAAATAAATAAAATATTATATTATATTAATATGCAATCCTATTTAATTGATGGTGTATTTGGTACAAATAATAAATAAACAGAAGTAGATATATTTATCTTGTTTATTTCAGTAACTTAATAAACAGAAGTAGACGTTGAACGTGACGGTTTGAACAGTGTCGATTTAATAAAAGAAGATAAAAAACAAATTGTCTGGAGGTTAAAAAAAACGAAAACTGAGAGAGAGAAGAGAGAAGGTGAGACCGGTTTGGTGTGAGCTGGTGGGCACAGTGCAACATTGTGTGAGGTAGAGAAGTATAAACGATCATGAAATTTGAAAATATAGAGTGATGTATGATTAAGAAGAACAAATAGGAAAAAAATATATGATTAGAGTTTAAATTTTAATTTTAAAATTAAATTAGATAATTACGAAGAAGAAAAAATATAAATTTAAAATTAAACTTAATTTTAATTTTAAAAATTAAAATGTAAAAATAATAATGAATAACATTTTAAATTAGAGCCGGCAATAGGTCAATTCATGTCGGGTTGAATACTTTAAACGGGTTAAATTACTCAACCCTAACCCAACCCGTTTATTATCGTGTTGAGTTCGAGTTGACTCGTGTTGACTCGTATACATAATTAAGTCGAATTTCTTGATTCAAATTAAATAATTTTTTATTGTGTTGTCGTGTTATGTTAGTTTTTATTAGTTTGAGCGGTTGAATTATTTAAAATTGAATTTAGTTTAAATTAATTTATGAGAAAATTAGTAAATTATAATTATTTTACATATATAATAAATATATTAATCAATATTAATATATTATAATCAGGTTGTCGTATCGGGTTCGAGTTGAAAGTCTCAACCCTAACCCGACCCGTTTATTATCGTGTCGGATTCGTGTCAATCCGTATATATAATCGGGTTGAAATCTTGAACTCAAATCCAATTATTTCGTGTTAGGTCATATCGAGTTGTCGTATTGGGTCAATTTTTGCCAGTTCTATAATTTATTTTAAATTATAGTTGTTGCTTACTCTTCTCCTGCTGCTATGATGAGCGGTTCCTGCTGCTATGATGAGCAACCGCTGTTAGTTAATATCATTATATTAAATTAAAATACACTGACAAAAATCCTTTACATGCAAAAAGTATTGTAAACCAAAAGATAATGAAAAATTATTAAGCGGAAATGGAAAGTATATTTTTACTAATTGGCAATTGTAATTTAAGAAAAATTATGGAGGAAATTAGTGCCTTGTTGATTTGGAGATTCAATCCTCTTTAACTAAATATAATGAATTTATACATGAAATGTAAGTGTGTTCTTAATTTATTTTAATTTTGATATTTTTAAGTGAAAACAATTATTGAAAATTAAGTATTTTATAGAAATATATATATATTTATTTAATGCAAATCATAGAATAATAGAATGCATATATATTTGTATTATATAAATGGAAACAAAACAAAAAACAAACACGCCTATTATTTTATTAAAAATGAAAGGCTGTTAATTGCAAAATATAAAAGATAACATCTCATTATTATTTTTTATGGTTCAATAAATTTACAATGTACTTGAATATATTAGACAAATTTGCACTCTACTGATATCTTATACTGTGCAATATATTATAAATGTGGTCCAAAGTATTTCCCATGTAATTCAGAAATATCTTTTGTATGTTTCAATAGCACCATTCTGAAATAAATTTAAAATATAATATATATATATATATAAACCCTTTTTATAAAAGTACAATTTAGTTCAATTTCCATTTTTAATCCAAGATTCGATACATAGTAATGTTGGAAGGAAACAGAGATAATCACAAGAGTTGTAAGAAAGATTCTACAGATTGGAAGTACTTCAATAAAATACAACACTAAAACAAGAAACACTGACACAAGTCACATAGAAAAATCACTACTGACAAAAAACACTAAAACAAGAAACCCCTCAAAATAAATAAATCCACTGAAACAGTAAATATTCCAATTTAACAATTTACCATCAGCAATAAATTATTCCAAAAAAACATATAAGGCACCAAACTCAACAATTAATCTTGGAAACCAATTCTTTCGTATATAAATAAAAAATAAAATAGTAACAGGAACACATAAATATGACACAATTAATCTCAACATATATATCTAAGAGTAAGTCAAAATAAAATAGTGGTCAATTTCGTAAAAGCAAATCCAGAAGAAAAGACACAATAGAGACACCCAATTTTCTGCACACTTAAACTAATACATAAAACTCTCAATAATGTCTGTCTGTCTGTCCTCAAATGTATATACTAATTATATATATATATATATACATAAAATATGGTACACAGAATATTGTCACCATTAGGACATTCCACTGAACACGCATGTCTTCATTCTCAACTTGTAAGAATAAAAATAAATAAATAAATAAACAAAATGCCTGCTGCCAGTTGACCCAATTCAACCCCCTCTAGCTAGCTACTGTTCAAATTCATTTTTTCTTGTTTTTCTCAAACAAGAAACAAACAACACTACACACATCCATCAATCCATTTTCAATAATAACTAATCAAGACTTATGGGTCAGTGATATATATGATAATGTACATGTAATGAATGTGACAGTAATTGATTTAGCCTCTAGGTGTCACATATTCAAAATTGTGATCTAATAAACAAATAATCCGAATCTTGTTTTGTCTGATGAAAAGACAGGTAGGTAAACAGTATATACCCATAATTATATGAATATTTTAGACAAGCTATCATTGTACCCTCCTCGTATAAAATTCATATATCCCCTCTGTGGGGACTGTAAATTTAAATTAATTCTGCACTTACACATTGATTCTTAGAGATTAGATTGAATTTGTCGGCACATAATGAAACAGGTAAGTTCATATCATCTATCCTAATGAATGTATAAATATGTGGCTAAGATTGATGGTTTTGAGAAGAAAATCAATCAAGAATTTCTAGAAGTTCATACAACTAGAGCTGTTGATTTAATTACACCCAAACCACACAATAACAGCATCAGTAGTTTAGTTTTCTTGGTTCTAGAATTTTATGCAATTTAATAACACAACCAACAGCACGTACAATACTAGATTATCGACACCGGATAGGATGTAAAAATACGGACGTACCCAGGATGGGATCGGAGGAGTTGCTAGCTTCATTGCAAGAGTTTCATCAATGGCCAGAATATGTCGAGGCGATGGAAGCTTCCAGAAGTCTGCAGTCAATGGGATGTGAGTCGATGAGCTACACAATTGCAGGCGTGCTTGTTTGAAACTAATGAATTTGTGATGCTCAAATTATGTAACTATTAAATTGCAACTAGACGAAAGTGATACCTCAACAATAAAGCGGGCCATTGGGTTGTGACTGCATTTCTCCATCACGCCCTTGAGGATAGTCAATTGCGAACGATGAATCACATCAGCGATTTGCAGAAAGCGACCGTGGTCACTACACAGCATCTGGCGAAACAACATGATTAAATTTAATGCAAGTGTATCAAATACTAAAATGGAAAAATGCCTTTCATTTTCCAGCCTTACGAAAGATAACAAGAATGGTGTTATTGGTTATGATCACTAGAACACACCTCGATAAGCATATGGCCGGGGCGGTCAAGATCTTTCACAACTATGGGGCACAACTTTTGATCACTTCCTAATTCTACAGCCCAGCTCGTGCCGTTCTGATGGCTATAGTTGGCTTCACCTGTTCTCTCTGTCTTTCGATCAGTTTCCTACGACGCAAAACAATAAAATGAGCACCACCATAAAAGCTGTCCTACGGTCGAAGAAATATGGGGACTCTATCAGAACGGATAACAGTCATGATTTTTTGAAAGCAATAACAAGATCCCTGTGACATCCCGGGGTAGTCTTCCAGAATAATATAAAGGTTTTGTTTTGCAACACTCATACCTCTTCAAAATCTTCTTGTTGTCTCAACTTATCAGCTTGATCAGTTACGCTTCTTAAGAAAAGCATATGCTGTAAAGTCTTGTCAAGAAGCCCGTCAATGCTACACTGAATTCAACATGGAGGATACATCAATAACAATCTGAAAAGATAAAATACATTAAGTGAAAATACTTAAAATGGCATATAGTGATTACCTTCTCACTGTTTGGGACAAGCTCCCTAAGCTCTTTGATTCGCTCTTGAATCAGTTGTCTATCTCGTGGCCTAGATCTTTGATTATTCCCAGCATGGGACCGTCTCTTATTAGCATATGATGGCCTTGATAGCTTCCCCACTTTAAGAGAATCGGATCCTTTTCTATGTGGTGGTTTTTCGTTCAACTCACAAACATTGTTTCTGAAAGAAGATACCGAAGATGACAGATTGGATGCAGATATTGTTCCAAGGCCAGTTAATCCAGATGCAGAGAAGTTGCTAGGAAGTTTATCGTGTTCTAAAGAAGCACTGTCTTCTGATTGGCGACGTCTTTTGGAGGAAGTCAAATGTTTCTCTGAGGGCATGCTAAAACAAGTCAGATCAGAGTTATTAGAGGAATGATTATCAGAACTGTTGCTCGAATTCGTAAGAAAAGCTTCTAAGAGGTGCTCCACTTCCAGTTCTTTCATGTGAAAACCAACAGACTCCCCACCGGAAATGCTCATGGTATATTGGGGCTCTACATTACCATTTGACCAGTAATCTACATCATGACTTGAGATGCCCATTCCATAGGTGCCTTCGTATGGATTACCCATTACAGCTGCTTCAGCTGCTTTTTGAAGCTCACAGTCCTCAGAAAAGCCCAAAAAGTTGTTTCCACTGTCATAAATACCACTATCAAAGTCATTGATAACTGAAATTGATTCTACAACACCTTCATCAAAGTGAATGTCCTTCAATTCATTCATGATATTCCCATATATCCTCCTTTCAAAATTGTCAGAATATGGATCCACATTGCAATCCTTTGCTATCAAAGATGTATAATCTTCACATGATAGGTGACACGATGATCCGGCTACATGAATCAAACCCAATGAGTGCTGACTATATTCACATCCAGAAGCATTTCCAAGAGTATCTGTCCCCTGCCTCATGGATGTATTGCAAAAATCTTGAATCATGTACATCGGCATCATATGATTGGCAATTAAGTTGCAATCCTTTGTCCTCGAAGAATGAATGGCACTTTGACCCTCCAGTATCATCTCGGAGGTAAGAGTTGATGGTTCCTCTAAGTTGTCAATGAATGTAGACCCAAAAGGGAACTGCTGAATTGGATATCTCCAGCCATCTCCTTCTGGTTTGTTAAGAGACTCGAACTTATCTTTGACATTTGCAATTAATGCTTCATCTTCCAAAACCTATTTGATCATTAGAAAACCAAAAGATCAACAAAGCAAAGGCAGATTATTTTACTCCTACTCCCCAACCTACACAAAAAATTACCTCAAAGAAAGAAAGAAAACGATGTTTTGATCTGATACAATTTGAATCGTAAAGAACCATAACTGGACAACAGAAACAGAATGATATATCATATATATCATCCATAAATTAGAAAACATTTGATGAAAGAGAAACACAAACCATTTCATTTGATCCAAGCTGGAGAACCCCATATGGAATAACAGGCAAAAGCAGAATTGTCTGCATGAGCACAGATACGAATCATTATGCCTTGATTAAATAGTTCTTATTCAACCCACAAGACTTAATGCCAGCATGAAATTGAAGCACAAGATTCATAGGTCATTTGATACCTTAATGCCAGCATCAAATTGAAGCAACCATTCACTTGGACACTGTTGAGAAACAAAGGGGGCAAAAAAATATTTATTTCATGATTGACATAAAAGCAAATGAAAATCACAGATTTGTATTAAAAGGCTAACCTCAGGAACCAAATCAAATATGTTGGTTGCTAAGGCGTCTGAATAAATCCAGCGAGCATTCCCTGTTAATGCCACTTCGCCAATAATCCTGTTCATTGCAGAACAATAGGAATTTATAAAATGACATATGGTTCCTCTATCTAATTTTTAGGGCAAGCAATGCATTGCATTATGAATGTGCTTGCTATCTCTGCCTCCTAATGTTCATGAAGATCATTCCCTGAGCATAAAAAAAGTGTAAACAAGACAATATGGCAACCATAGACCACGTGCTGTTGAATTGAGGCATGAAACATCGCTTCCCATGTTTTTACGCATGCAATGACAAAGCTGAGTTTACATTCCATAAATATTTTGAATTAAAAATACCCAGCCAAATATATAACTCAGTCTGTAATGTCAGGCAATTCATTGGCTTGTGACAAGCAAATCAAAGATAATCAAATTCAACTTGTCACGATGTAATGAAGCTTTGGTTGACATCACTTTGACAGAAAAAAAAAAAAAAAAAAGGAAGAAGATTACGCAGGATAATCTAAGCCTAAGTTTAAGACACAAGTATAACACATTAAAAACTTAAAAGATAGTATCACAACACGAAGGATATCAGCCACATCCCTATCAATTCTAGTTGCAAATTACTATAAATAATGAACAAAAAACCTACCCCTTTCCGACTACATGAGAAGCTCTTGACATTTCAGCTACTGCCAATCCAATGGGATAGTCACCTGGAGTTTCATCAAGCATACTTGAAGTAAAACCAGAGGGATTGATCATATTGGATCTTTCCAAGTAAAAGCCTTCTATTCGTTTTTCTGTGGGATACCTTGGCTTGGGATTATCCCAGAAGCCATCTTCCCATACCAAAATCCTGAAATTTAAACAACATTTTATTTTAATTTCACATCAGAGGGGGAAACCATCTTATTATGGTGCAGGAAAATCTTAGAGTTCCACCAAAAATATGCTTCCTGGTAATGATTCAAGAGGTGACCCATAAACTCCACCAATGCAAGCACATACATATATAACAGATTGCTCTCTAATATTGATACACCTAACACAAAGTCATTCGAAGTTTTCAAATATTTATTTTGAGGAACCAATGCGTGATGAAGGTAAATATAGTGTCCTAGCATGAAAAAGAAGAGAATTGAGAATTGTAATGGGAAAGTCTTCATGAACCATATTCAGCCAAGGTACGGAGACAGACAAAAACAATAGTAAGTCAAGAGTTGACTTACGTTTCATGTTGATGCTCAAGCTTCCAGAAAACTGCATAACTCCAAGGTGAATTGCAGCAAAGGCTGTGCAGGAATGGCCGCAAGAAACTAGTCCCCATCGATTGTAGGTTATAAAAATAAATACTTTTCCAATAAAAACAAATAATCAACCAATTAAACCAGAATAACTACTAACTTCCTCGATATGAACCTCTGCCTGCTTGGACAATAAATAAACCAGCTCTCCGTTTCATAGGTGGTTCCATTGGTTTCAATAACTCCAACATTGTAGACCCTTCTACCACTACGAATAAAGCTGATCGCACAGTGTAAAGATTACTAAAGGCTAAATAAATAGCAGGACAGAGCATAGGCTTTCTTCCCAGAAATCTCCATGATCTTGTCGGCAATTGGTTTGTAGAAACTGATGGTGTGTAACAAGATCCAAACTCAATCAACCAAAAGCATCCAAGAACTGCTTTTTGTGTAAGATAATGACTAGCACGAAATCTGCTTCTGTTTTAAGAACCAGCAAAACTATAAAACTTGGAACCACAAAGTACTAGCACAATTAGCTGCAAATGAAAGAAAATAAAAAGGAATTAGAGAGAGAGAGAGAGAGAAAAAAAAAAAAAAGTATTTACACTTTAAACCAAATTCTAAAAATCAGGGAATCAGTTTGTATATGTTTCTGTCTTTTTCTCTTCCAGAGAACAAATATTAAGAAAATTTCTTCGGAAACATGAAGCTTATGCTAACAAAACTTCCTTTCTTCATAAAGTCATTCAGAGTGATAAAATTCTCTTCCAAAAATCATACCTACCTATGTTCAAATGATGAAACCAAGACCATGGAAATATATTCATTACCTTAAATAATAGATTGAAGCCTTGATCGAATGATAGCAACGGAAAATCTTAATTTTAATCATGGACTCTTTTACAAAGTATCTATCTTGACAGGCAAAAGCATAAAGTAATCAGAACAGAATGGGTTACTTCAATCAAACAATTCAGTAGAGCTTCAGTTCTGAACCAAAAGTAAATCAAATGTCAAAAGCACATCCACCAAAAAATTGCAGAATTTCACTCGCCAATACTAGACAACAAATTTTCCCCAAATCTCAATTGCATATTCACTGAAAATCTTCAAACCAACACGTCACCAAGGAATAAATGCATCAAACAGTAATAAATAATAATGCACAAGTACATCCACCACAATATATATATATATAAACGATACAGGCAAAGCATTCTCTATTTACCCCATTCATCGACACCACAAAGCGTGAAAACTCTAATTTTAATTATAATAAAAACAAAAAAAAAAAAGGCGAAATTCATCGTCAAACACGAAGAAATATGAAACTTACGCTGAAATCACACTTCAAATAACGGAATCGTGATAAAGTTCGAACTCATTGGCCTCCATTTTCCAACAATTCGACGCAGAATCTTGGCGTTCTCACTTAGGCACGATCACAGACTCTCAACGGAACGAAGCAGCGACTTGCTTTTGCGCTTTTTGGTGGTTAGACTTCGACAAAAAATGCTCTAAGTCGCATTGCATTACAATTTACACACACATAAATAGATAAATAGATACATACATATATATATAATTAATTAATTAATTAATTGCGACAAAAAAACAAAAGGCAAAAACTGGGCGAATAGTGATTGGCTGAAGGCCTTTTGCTTTCCATTCTTGTCGTTATCCGGATTTCAAATCTGTCCAAAATTGGATTTAATGATTCCTCGAGTGAAGTGGGATTCCGGGCCCACCAACTTCATTTTAATTTATTTTAATTCAATTAATTTCTCATTATTCAATTACCTTAATTTTATGAAATTATAATTCAAAAAATACCCTCTTCATCTACAGAAAAATATAAATTGTTATTTTCATTTCTTCGTATACGGAAATTTCTATAGTTCATGATTTTAGATAAAATATAATTAATAACTAATTAAGAATATATAATAAAAATAATTATATTATAATTAAAATTAAAAAATTATAAATTATAAAAATTAAAATATAATTATATTTTTTAAAAAAATAAATTATATAAAAAAGACAAAAATAAAAAATATAATTATTTCATGTAGACGGAGTATTTCCTTTGTTTTACATATAATAATAATCATAATGACTTTAGACAAAAAAAAAATTAGGAATGTTATAATTAATAAATAATTAAAATTAAAATAATTAATTAATTTAATTAAAATTAAAATAACTATAATTATAAATTTAAAATATAATTAAAAAATATGTTATTTTCAAAAATAAAAAGTGATAGGAACAGTAACATAATATGTGGAACTGGAGATAGAATATTTTTATTTACTTTTCGATAAATTTTCAATTTTTTTTTTTAATTTTTTCTTTCATTAATAATGCGTCACCTAATAATAAATGTCCAGTTTAAAGTAATCACGACCACGATAAAATATAACTATTGACCTAATCTGCAAAACGACGTCGTCGCTCCGATTATTGTATATAAGTCAGTCAACTAATTCTCTATCCGCTGACAAATTAATGAGATTTTTTTTTTAGTTTTTCAAATATTTATGTAATAATTCAAGTTTTTCAAATATTTATGTAATAATTCAAATATAATAACTTTTCTGCTAAAAAGAATTATGATTTTATTGTAATAAATATTTTTAAAACATCTATTATTATATTTTTTTTCAAATTATGATACTTTCTTTGTCCAATTTTTATTGTCCTAAAATATATTTGCACCGATTTTTTAGGTGATTGTCTTTTTGTTATGAATGGACAAATTTGCTCCTAAGTGTATGGTAGAGATTAAAAGTAATAAATAAATAAAGAATAAAAATATAAAATTTGTGTTTTGAAAAAAAATAAAAAAATAGTTGTTGGACGTTCCAAATAGGAAAAAAGGACATTAGTTTGTGAACTGATGGAGTATTAGATATTTTTTTAATATATTTTTAATATTTGATATAGTATTTGGTGAACTGAAAATATAAAGAAAATAAAATATTTTTAAAATAATTATTTTATAATTGAAGAATTCAAAATATAAATATATGCTTTATGAATTTACGGAAGTAATATTTGACATAATAAGAATATCAAATAAATTTGGTAAAGAAGGTTTTTATTACTCCCTCCGTTCCATTGAAATGTTATTATTTTTTATTTTTGTCCGTCTCAAAACAATGTTATTATTTCCTAATTTAGTAATTATACCATCTACTTAACATAATAAATATCATTTCAATTTACAATATATTACATAAATATTATTACTTTTATATTACACCATTCTAATGGAGGTATTTTTGTCATTTATACTATAATCTAATATAATATTAATATTCAAAAAATTTCGTGCAAAAAACAGACGTTACTTTTCTAATGGGCCGGACTGAGTATTATTATTATTATTTTATTGAAAGCAATTAATATCGAATTTCATTTCATTTCTAATTTAGATATTAAATTATTATGAATTTACAGTTAATTAGATTTAAAAAAAAAAATCGGAATTACCATACATCTGCCTATTTTATTTAATAAAATTGATAAACAGTCATTTTCATATTTGACGTAATGCTGGCACAGTCTAATAAATAAAAAATAAAATAAAATATAGTAGAGTGGGCCGTTGGTCGCCGCCCAACCAACAGTGATATCTGCATTTAATGATTAATAATGAACTAATCGTCATTAATTTTTAATAATTAATTTCTACGTCATATTTATTGATGCATTAGTCAACGAACAAAATTTCCACCATAACTTTACCAGTTTACCTTTTCTTTTTCCACTTCAAAACGCCGTCGTTTTAACAAATATAAAGAGTGCAATAGTGCATTGACGTGTTTTTGTGGCTTTAAAAAAAAAAACTACAAAATAATTATACATTGAAAGGTAAGTTATACTAACATTTCCTTGAATTTTAGTATAAATATATATAAAATACTTGTATTTTATTTATTACGTAAAAAAAAAAATTGTGTTAAATTAAAATATACATAAAATATCTTCTTCGTTCAAAGTTAATATTCGGTCCGTCCCTTAACGATCTATTTATTTTACCATTTTGATCCTTCTCATAACAAATTATTTATTTCACTTTTTTAGTAATTGTACTTTCTACTTAACATTACAAATATCCTTCAAATTTACAATATATTACACATATGACACTACATTTATATCATACAATACTAATAGGGTTAATTTAATCTTTTTACTTTATTTCTACTTTATCTCAATATAATACTAATATTTCTAAAACTTCGTGTAAAAAGCAAATGAATATATAGATATGGGACGGATGTGATTATAAATACGTATTTAATTATGCATGTTTCATACAAAAGTTTGGTTTTGTTCTTTTAATAATTTTTTCTTACATATTTTTTCAAAAACAATAATATACTTATATACATTCATTATTTTTATATTCTTTACATAATTCTCAATACTATCAAATAATAAAAAAAAAAAAAAATTTAACAATTTCACAAAACAAACATACCCCTTATTATTATATCAGGTCAATTAATTATTTCAATGTAAACTTTTACTCAAAATATCCAAATCAAATCACTCATACAATTTATAAATACTTTTAATTTTTTTTAAAAGTATGATATTATATTAAATGATGTAAATAATTGTTTTACCTAAAAACTTAAGCTATTTAGAACGTATTATTTATTTATTTTATCTACATAACCAATAATTGATTTTAAATTCAAATTACAGCAAAAGACACCCTTAATCATACAATTATTTAAATTAATTCAAAACTTAACACATCAAAACATTGCTTTACTTCTAAAATTTTTATAATTTTAAATACATAAAAACATTACTATCACAACTAATATGTTTTTAATTTAATTTTTTTTATATCCAAATCAAGTCGATAATACAAAGTGCAAGTAAAACATCAATTAGTAATTAATTAATCGAAGTCAGAGTAATAAATAAATAAATAAAATTTAAAGGGACAAGTGGGTAAGCAGTGCGGTGCATGCACCACTATGCTGGTAAAACACGTGGCGGAATATGATTGGGTGGTGTTGGATTATAATGTACGCCAAGTAGGAGAGGAGCCTGGCCCAGCAAAGCCATCGACATCATTAATAATTATCATTATTTATAAGAAGAGAAAATAAAGCAGTATTCGTTTTCCATCATTACATCACTCTACAAAAAAAAAAAAATAATAATAAATAAATGTTTTTTTTTATTAATAATTTTCAACTAATAAAAAAAATAAAAATAAAAAATACGCTGAGGTGGTTCTAATTAATTTTTAAACCGTCAATTTAATTGTAATAATTATAATCTAGTGGCAGTGATCATTTTTATTTAAATTTAATTATGTAGGATTATTTGTAGTACATAGCCAAATAATAAAATATATTTATAAAATTACACTTGTCTTATTTCAAATGGTTCATTTGATTTAGGAGACACTTTAGAATATTTAATTAATTAGCAACAATAAATTTTGATATTATTTTATTATTATATTTTTATAGTTTTAAAATAAAAATTTTAAGGAGAAAAATTATTTTTGGTCTCAATATAACTAAAATTTATTAATTTTAGTCCCCATATAACAAAAAATCATCATTTTTGTCCAATTATAAAATTTTTATCAATTTTAGTCATAATATAACCAAAATTCATCATTTTTTGTCTCAATATAATCAAACATTATCTTTTTTCTGTTCCACCGTCAACAAACCGACGGAAAATATTGACGTGAAAACATTATCTTATATTTATATTTGAAAAAATTGCACAATCTTGCAAGTACACGTCAGCATTTTTTGTCGGTCTGTTGACGGTGAGACCAATTAAAGATAAGATTTGATTATATTGGGACCAAAAATATGAGTTTTATTTATATTTGGACCAAATATGATGAGTTTTGGTTATACTGAGACCAAATATGATGAGTTTTGGTTATATTGTGACTAAAATTGATAATATTTTTATATTAAGACCAAAATTGATGAATTTTGGTTATATTGGGACCAAAAATAATTTTTTCCAAAATTTTAATGTGTAATTAAAATAAATTTAAAATATGTGTTTCAATATTTAAAATATGATATCTTAATAAAATATATGTAATATGAATCAGTGTGGTTACTTAGAGCATTTTGATTTTTTATTTTGATTTTGAATAGTATAATTTGAATTGAAATAATTGTTTGATGTGCTATAAATATGTATTAATCTGATGTTTTGAATGTAACATGAAATTTTGTTGTAATAAAATAAATTAATAATAAGTGTTTGATTTAATTTTTTTTTAAAAAAAAATTGAAATAGTAAAATTATGTGGAAAATTGTATAAATAAATCCACTCAATATTATTTTGTAAAAAATAAAATTTCAAATAATACAAATAAATAAAAATATATATTTATTTATAATCAACATAAACTAAATATATATAATTCTAAATATAGATAAAAATATTTGTATTATTGAAAACAAATAAAAATATTTGAATATTAAAAATAAAAATGCAAATAAAAAGATTTTGAATGGATTTTAAATTATAATAGAATGATATTATATGTTATCAATTGAAGAAAAAAAATTGATTTATATTTAACTCTAATTAAAATTTGTGTTATCATGTTTGAATATAAAATTAGAAAAATTATTTATTTATTTATTTATTTATCTTTTTTATTATGTGGAAATCCGCAGTCGCCATTCGAAAGTGCACTGGGTAAACTTCTTAGAAGAAAATATTGTTTCGAAGGCATGAGAACTTGTAACTGATATTCTTTTGAAAACATATATAGTATATAATAGATTTTGAATATTATTATTATTATTATTATAAAATATTACTCTTTCTATCTCATAAAAATATACTCCATCCGTCTACAGGAATTGAACCATTTGATTAGGGACACAATATTTAAGGTAAGGATGTTTAATTAGTTAATAATAATTAGTTATGTATTATTATATTATTTTTTGTATAATTAATAATATTTATATTTTTAAAATAAATTTAATATATATGATTAAAAAATTAAATATATATTTAAATATTTAAAAATTATATAGCAATTAAAAAATATATGCAATATGAATATCATTTTGCAGAGAATAAAATCTTCTAAAATACAAGTAAATAAAAAAATATTTTTTTTTATTTATAATTAATATAATTTTATAAAAGATGTGTAGTTTTAAATGTAGATAAAAATATTTATTTTTTTTTAAGAGAAATGTATAAATAAAAGGGTTTTGAGTGGGTCTATGTCATTTATGATGTTGTATATTATGTAGTTAATTAAGTTGATTTATATTTGTTAAATATATTTTTGTTTAATCATTTTTACCAAAAATAGAAAATTGTCAATTATTATGAGACATACAAAAATAAAAATAGTGTCAATTGTGGTGGGACAGCGGAAATTCTAACAAATTTTCAGTACAAATTCTAATGTGTGACATTTCGATTGCTACTTTTGGTTATTTTTTATCTTTTATAATAAAAATATTATATTATTTTTATTTAATAAAAATAATAACAATATTTTTTTAAAGAGACATAAAAATAATAAATCGATACATTTTTAGAAATAGCTGGATTATTATTATTATTATTATTAGTGCATGCTGGTGTATTTATTTATTTATTTATTTATATTGGGCTGCTTTAATTGAAGCTAATGTTTAGCTTTTTGAAGGTAAAAATGATGCGTTGTCTGGATTTCTGACCATCCCCAAAAGTAGTCATCATCATATACCATTTTCTCTATCTATAATGTATGATATAATAAATTTATTGAGACTAAATAAGAAAATCTTATTTAAATTATTTAGAATTTAAATATATATTGAATTAAATACAAATAATATTGTTTTCGTTTATTCGCAAAATATGAATTTTGCTATTTATATTTGTCAAAACACATTATATATTTTTAGTAAGTACAAACTCTATTATATACTCCATCCTTCAAATTTATGTTCATTTTTCTTTTAGAGTTGTCATATAAAAATATTCTCATTTATTTTTTAAGTAAAAAATGATTACACTTTTGTATTTTTTTTTTACTATAAAATGAAAAAATAACAATTATTACTTACTTTTATTAAAATTTGTGTCTGGTCAAATGAGCGCACATTTGCATCACGGAGGAAGTATTACAAATATGTTAAACTTATAATATTTAGTTACATTATACTCCCTCCGTCTCAAACACGCTGCAAAATTTTCTTTTTTGTTTGTCTCAAATTCACTACAATATTTTCAAAATTAGAAATAATTAATACTCTCTCCGTTTCAATACAATAATCTTGTTTACCATTTTTGTTCGTTCCAAAACAATAGTCTCATTTTCATAAAAAATCATGTCAACATAAAATTATCCATACTTTTTCATTATTATTACACAATTGCTACTACTTTTTACACTAACATACTCACAGAGGCAAACAAATCATTTATCCTTATTTTTTACCAACTATCAATGTAATATCAATATTCTTTAAATCTCGTGCCAAACACAATAAGACTATACTTTTGGGACATAGGGAGTAATATTTATATACATATATTAATATACAATTCACTTTATCTCGTTACATCACTCAAATAAAAAACAAATAATTATTTCTCTCTCCAATCACATTACTTAATATCCAAATTATCTCAAATTACCGTACTTAATACTCTCCACCTAAATTTCTTTGCCAAACACAAATATTGCACGGTGTTTGAGACCGAGAGTATTAAAATACAAAGACAATAAAATTTTTATAAACAAATTACCTGCCCGATTATTATTTAAATATTATATTTCTTAAATTTAATATAATAAATTAAATATATATTTTTATGAAATACAGTATAGCATTTAAATAATGTTGTAGGAATAGTTAAAATAGCATATAAAAGGCCAACAATGATTTTGTGTAATGAATATTACAGAAGTGGGCTTACAATCATAATTGGGCCCATAATGGATATATATTTAATAATTGTAATTAATTATTTAGTGCATTTAATTATTAATATCGTGGTCAAATAGTAATTACTCCCTCCGTCCTCAGATACCATGTCAATGTTGCTGTTTCTGTCCGTTCCACATACTATGTTATTTTCTTTTTTTGCAAAATGATTACACATTTTAATCTTATTTTAAATTTTTTAATTTTAATTTTTTAAATTTTAATTAAACTAATTATTTATCTTAATCTTAATTTATAATTATTTATATTATAGAATAATTATTTTTACTAATACATTCTTAATTATCTACTAATTATACCCCTCCTAAAATACCGTGTCTAAAGTGTAGCTGACACTCGATATTGGGACGGAGGGAATATTAATTAAGCTTGTTTTAAGATAATCTTTGTTGGTCTGGTGTTGGGATCCCGGAGCTCCCAAGAAGCAGTAGGGCGCAATGGGCCACCATAGTAATCTGAATAATGGCTATCAGATGGATAGCAATCATAGTAATTTAAATTTTAATATATTTTACTAATATTTTAAATTTTATAATAGTAAATTTTTTAGGGTCAATTGCATTTTCTTATCTGTTTTTTTACTAATATATTTTGTCTCGTAACAAAATGTTTATTAATTTAAAATATATTTAATAAATATCAATCAATTTAATTAACTTTATAATATATAATATTATATATTTTATCCGTCCCATAACAAAATATTCATTTTTTCATTTTAGTCCGTCCCATAACAAAATATCCATTTATTTATTTTTAATAACTGTACTATCTACCTAACAGTGCAAATATTCTTACAACTTACAATATATTACACAAATGTTATTACATTTATATCACACATACTAATAAGGTTATTTTAGTTATTTTTATTTTATTTATATTATATCTCAATATAATATTAATATTTCTAAAATTATGTGAAAAAGCAAATGAATATTTTATGGGACGGAGGGAGTATCATATATTATGTAGAAATCACTCAAACTCTTTTATTTTTATCTGTTTCAGGAGTAAATAAATATTTTTATTTAATTTAAAATACTCTATTTATAAAATTAATTTATATTAATAATAAATAATGTAATATAATTTATTTATTTATTTATATAATATAAAATTTTATAGTCTACAACAAACAATTCTAATACCCCGCAAACCAGGTTCGACAGGAAAATCACATTTGACGAATCACGGGTTTAGGGTTTATTCCTTACCGGACAAAGCAAACTAAAAGAGTGTCCATTTTGCATTTCAATTCCAAAACTATACTATGTAATGTGTCCTTAATAAAAATAGATTGGGTTTATTCCATTAACATTTTTAAATAAAATAAATTTTCATAAATATTATTAAATATAATTTATACAAAATATTATTTTTTATATTACTAATATAATTTTTAATAACTAATATAAAAAAACATTTACATCTAAAAAAAATATATAAAATGAATAAACTCATTATAAAATATTATATCAAAATTTTATTTAAATTAAAACTCAAATCAAATAAACCCTAATTTATAATTTATTTATTTTTTTAACAACCACTTTAATTTAATTTGGGAAACGCAATTTTGTCTAGACAGTGCTTGTACATGAAGAGAGTGAGTTTTACAAAAAAAGGCTAACTGTTATCGCACTACTCGACGAGTTTCGTTAGTTATTCAATTTATATCGTAGTAGATAATTATTTTAATTTAAAATTTTTATATTCTCCCAAATACAACACAAACGATCAACGTGGACATTGATAATTGATTTCTGATCAGCACCATCTTCCTCAAAAATCGTCGCCTGGTTTTGAAAGAAACCCTAGAAAACCATCCATCTCATCCATCCATGGCGGACCTTAACTGTCTCCTCTCCCCTCCATTAAAATTAGGTTATCTCATCTCATCTTCTTCGAGTTCCCCTCCCGACTCGATCTCAAGGCATCGGGAATGGGAATCACCACACTTGCAGCTGGCTCGCTCCAATCTCCCAAACAGACAACCATTTCCAAATTCCACACATATATATATATATATATACATGCATATATTATTTATATCATATATAATGGATGATCTCGCTGCTGTGGCACAATTTCCATAATGCTTCGTCTTCAATTCCACCCATTCCTCCTTCACTTCATTCTCTTCTCATCGGCTTCCGCCGCCGCCGCCGAACTGCGCTGCGGCCTCTGCGGCGGCGAGACGGCGGTGCCGTACCCATTCAGCACCGCCGCCGACTGCGGCGACCAGGCCTACAAACTCCACTGCAATTCCACAACCGCCGAACTCCATTTCATATCCAACACGGGCGTGTTGTATCCAATCGAGTCCATCTCCGCCGACTCCCGCCGGATGATTCTCCGGCCGCCGTCCCTAATCCCCGGCGCCTGTTTATCCGCCGATTTCGCCGGCGGCGGCTTCCGCCTCGACGAATCGCTGCCGTTCGAAATCTCCGGCAGCAACACGATTCTATTACTGAATTGCACTGAAAACACGCGGCATTCGCCGATCGACTGTTCGAACAATTCCCCCTGCCGGACTTACACCGACAACGCGCCGCCGGCGGCCGCCTGTAAGAAGGCGGCGCCGCCGTGCTGCTCTTTTCAGACAGGCGGTTCGGACAATGCGAGCATTGTCCGAATCGACGCCAATGGCTGCTTGGCATACCAAAGCTACGTCGATTTGGATCCGGCGCGGCCGTTTTCGGAATGGCCAGCGCCGAGTTTGGAAGTGACGTGGACTGCGCCGTTAGAGCCTGTCTGCACGACGTCGTTAGACTGTAATGTCCTGCCATTCTCCGAGTGCTCGCCGGACCCCGCCGGCGGCCGTCAAAGAAGGTGCCTCTGTAAGAACGGCCGGAATTGGGATCCTGTAAATGGCGAATGTCAAGGTTTCGACGTCGAAAGACTTCATTTTTTTCTTACAATATGAACTCTTTTGTTAGCAGATTTGAGGATATAATACGATGTCATTTGCTTACCGTAGGATGTCGTAAAGAGAAAGGCTGCAAACGCCACAAGAGCCAAGGTGCAATCTATGGATGTAAGTACGAAACTTCTAAGATAATTAGTCGAATATAAGGGTGGAAAAAGATATCGAATTACTCACTCCCCTCTGTCCCTTAAAAATAATACTATGCTAATTAACATAATTAATATTTTTACAACTTTTAATATATTCCCTTATTTTGTCCAATTGTGTACTCATTAGACAGGTTTAAAAAAAAAAAAAGGTAAAAAAAAAATCACTATGAAACGGTATGTACCGATGTTGTACGAACAATTCGATATACCGAATTATATCAATATGGTACATATACTGCCATATAGAATTTTTGGTATATCGATTTTCTGGTACCGTATCGGTTATAAAAAATCTCGATACGACATACTGCATGCGATATAAAATTCGATATCATACCGAACTAGCTCTAGTACTAATCCAAACTTACATTTACCTGTTGATCATAACACAATCCATCGTATCTCCAGCCGCGGCAGCGCTGATTGCGATCCTAGCCGTAATCGGATTCATCGTGTCGCGACACCGGCAGCACAAAACCACCATCGCCGCGGCGAGGAAGTCACTAATCAAAGAGCGCGAGGAAATCCTGTCCGCCAGCGCCAGCGGGACATCGTCGAGGCTATTTTCGGGGAAAGAAATCAAGAGAGCGACCGACGATTTCTGCAGCAAGAACTTACTCGGCTCCGGCGGGTTCGGCGAGGTTTTCCGGGGAATCCTCGAGGACGGCACCGACATCGCCGTCAAGCGAGCCAAGCCGGGTAACGCCAAAGGCACGGCGCAAGTCCTCAACGAGGTTCGGATCCTCTGCCAGGTCAACCACCGCAGCCTCGTCCGATTGCTCGGCTGCTGCGTCGACGACCTCGAGCAGCCGCTCCTGATCTACGAGTACGTCCCGAACGGAACGCTCTTCGACCACTTGCATCGACCCGAAACCCGCAAGAAAACGCCGCTGACGTGGCTGCAGCGGCTGCTCATCGCCCACAAAACGGCGGACGGCCTTGCCTACCTCCACTCCTCCGCCGTGCCCCCGATCTTCCACCGCGACGTCAAATCGAGCAACATACTCCTGGAAGACAACCTCGACGTTAAAGTGTCCGATTTCGGGCTGTCGAGACTCGCCGAAATTAGCGAAAACGATTCGACTTACATACACACCTCGGCTCAGGGCACGCTCGGGTACCTCGACCCCGAATATTACCTCAATCTTCAGCTAACTGACAGGAGCGACGTCTACAGCTTCGGCGTCGTGCTGCTCGAGCTCCTCACCTGTAAAAAAGCCATCGATTTTAATCGAGAAGAAGAGGATGTTAACCTGGTGGTGTACATGAAACGGATTTTCCACGAAGACAAGCTCTTGTCCGTAATCGATCCAATCCTTCGAGATGGGGCGTCTGAAATCGAAATCGAGACAATTAAAGCTGTTGGGAACCTCGCCGCCGCATGTCTCGACGATCGGAGGCAGAATCGTCCTTCGATGAAAGAAGTCGCCGAAGAGCTCCAAATCATCATTAATATCATCGCGGCAAACGCTTCGAAAACATAGTCAGTTGCAAGAAATGTAAACCGAATACTACGAAAACTTCTTCTTACCAAGGAAGATCGAAACATCAAACAATTCCAACAACCAACGAAACAAAGAGTTATAATATCAGCAGCAAATCAGATATACAAACGGCACACACAAAAACATTTATAACGACGCTAAGATCCAAAACATCACATGAGAAGAAATCGCGATAAGAAACCACGTAACAAAGGCCAAAGCTACGGAGAACTCGTATCTGCTACACGGGAACTTTGATGGACCTGTACAGAACTTCAAATCTTTCGCATACAGAACTGCAATCCCACCCGACGAGCAAGCAGCAGCAAGCGACAACGTAGCTGTCACCTACATTAACAACAACATACAAACCGTTATCAAGAATTCAAAACACATTACAAGGAAACTAAAACAACGGTGAAAAGAAAGTGTACCCAATCGCCAACTACGAATAGGCTAACTAACACCGGGTTGCGAAGATCTCTTCTAACGCGCAGAGCGTAGATATCAAGACAAGCAAGTCCAAAGCTCCACAATGCTTGAAGCCCCATCGAAGCAATCAAATAGCTGTATTCGAAAACCAAAGTAAGATTCATTCCCTATTTGATGATAAGGCAGAATTGTTCACAAGAAACTTCATTCTTTGTGCAGATTTTCGGAAAATCGAAGCAATCAAATAGCTGTATTTGAAAACCACATAAAGATTCATTCCCTATTCGATGACAAGGCAAAATTGTTCACAAGAAACTTCACCCTTTTGTGCACATTTTCGGCAAATTGAAGCAATTAAAGAGCTGTATTTGAAAAGCACCTAAAAATTCATCCCCTATTCGATGATAAGGCAAAATTGTTCACAAGAAACTTCACCCCTTTTGTGCACATTTTCGGAAAATTGAAGCAATCAAAGAGCTGTATTTGAAAACCACATAAAAATCCATCCCCTATTCGATGATAAGGCAAAATTGTTCACAAGAAACTTCACCCTTTTGTGCACATTTTCGGAAAATTGAAGCAATCAAAGAGCTGTATTTGAAAAGCACCTAAAAATTCATGTCCTATTCGATGATAAGGCAAAATTGTTCACAAGGAACTTCACCCTTTTGCAGATTTTCTGAAAATTGAAGCAATCAAATAGCTGTATTTGAAATGTACTTAAAGATTCATTCCCTATTCGATGACAAGGCAGAATTGTTCATAAGAAACTTCACCCTTTGTGCAGATGTTCGGAAACTAAACTACAATTGAAGAAACAACATAAGGATTCTCGACTTTTAAAAACAACAAATGTAGATTTTCACAAAATTGAGACCATTCTATTAACAAACAAATCCAACAGACATTTAAAGACAACCTAACAATCCCCAATTTTCACACAGCCATAACCAAGTTTGTAAATCCATCCAAATCTAGATAAACCACAAAATGAAACATTCATTTTCAATCAAATCTGAGAAACAAATTATAGACAAACAGGATGCAAGAGACTATGATTAGCTAAAGTACCACAAAAGGCTAAGCACGTACCAATAAGCAGTGTAATTAGAAAAACCAAGAGCAGAAACCATAACTCCAATCGAACTCGAAGCGAACAAAAACTGGCCAGATCTTAACAGCAATCCACTCACTGTTCCCGGACTACCCAACAATTCCTTCATCTTCTTCCTTAAATTCCTCGAAAAGGGCCCTTTCCCTAAAAATCCAAAAAGGGCCCCCTTCAAACCCTAGATTTCCGCAACATTCAACATACTATTCCGCGGTGAAAATCGCCGCCGTCCGGCGTCAATCGCGCACTCTGATTTGTATAATATCCCAATCTCGAATCGAATTCGAATATCAGAGGTCAATTTGCAGATTCATCCCCACGATTGCGATAAGAACAAAACTGCTTTAAAAATGGCTGAATCGTGAATGGGCTTGGGAGTATTGTACTCGTAATTATTGGCTAATCGGATTAAATTAATCCGTAGTCACGAGTTTTGAAGCAGTGGATTGATTACGAGCTGTTGGCCATCTTCTTTGAGCGAATTCGATTTCGATTTTGAGCTGTAACAGTTTGCTTTAGCAGTTGGGCTTTGTGGGGGTTATTATCTGCTCCGTGGAATTAGATTGCCGGATGAATCTGGACCGTTGATTTTGTGGACCTCGGATTGTAAGGTTTTTGGGAGTGAGGACCCAGGACCTTCTGGTTATTTGGTTTTACGTTTCTATATAGTTTTTGGTGAGTAAGTGTCGGAAACCTACTTGAGTGTCGTTTTGCTGAAGCTGGAATCTCTTTCTGCCACGCTGGCATGTGGTCCCACTTTCTGTCGGGACAAAGTTTGGATCTTTTCGGTCGTTTATTATTTGTACCCCATTACATTTAACTAATTGCCAATTTTGCCATAGGTTTTAGATATATTGAATTCACATGTGAGATATATACTCAAATTGTGGGTTAGTTTGAAAGATTTTGATTGATTTCTTAAAAAATAAAATTAAATATTTGTTTTTTATTTTTTATATTACATTAAAATTAAATTTTAAATTAAAAATATTATATCAAAATTTATTTATATCATATTATATAATTATTTCAATTCTAATTTTTACTGCTAAAATCCAAAATCCAAACAAACATACGGCAAGGGTTAAATAGTAAGTCATTATATTTTATTTAGATATTTAGTTCACATCTGACATATATACACTCTAATTATATATATATTTTAAAAAATACTTATATTAAATAATTAAAATTTTTCACAAAATGTTAAATTAAATATTAATTTTTTATTTTTTTCAAAAAATAAAAAATAAGCTACTTTAGTAGTAATTGTTTCTATTGCAATTATTTTAAAGTAAACATATTTACTAAAGTAATCATCACTTGAACGATAGATTATTATTATTATTATTATTCGCGGAAGCGGATTTTCTTTACCTAATTAAATGTTATTATTCATAATTTTATTCTTTGAAAAAATATTAAATTAAATATTTATTTTATATTTTTTAAATAATATAAATAATAATTAAGACCCAAAATATTAATTATATTAAAAACACATTATTATTATTATTATTATGATTATTATTATTAAAATTCAAAATTCAAATTTAAATACAAAACAAATATGAATATTATTTTGTAAAATTTTACCCTTTTTTTTTTTAAAAAAAAAAAGATAAATTGTTGTCCCACAACAAATATATATAGGTGTTATGTTATTATTATTATTATTTAATAACGTGAGAATCCAAAGTCAATATGTAAGATGTATTATATTGATATAATGTGTTGAGACTAATGATAATATGTGTTGTGCTAATTATTGTCACATATTGTCAAGTCCATTTGTTGTATAATTATTATATTAATGTAAATTTTTATTTTTGACTTATAATTAATGTCATGTTGTTAAATGAGAAAATCTAAAAATAAAATAGTAAATTTTGGATAAAAAGCTCAAATTTGATTTTTATAACTTGAGAAAAGGAAATCCTAAACTATTATAGAGATACGAAAAAGTAAATGATGCAATAATTTAAAATGATGATCTCTAATAAATTCCTTCAAAAAACTAACGTGTGATTGAAGATGCATAATCTTTTTTTTTTATCGCCATTAGTTATTTAAAGGAAATTGAATGAGTAGTTAATAATCGATGAAAGCAGTTATTGGATAGTTATGCAGTAGTTTTATATGGTTTAAAAATATCAAAGATCCGGCCATTTACAATCGGTGATCAAGATTCGAACATAAGACCTAAGCATTTGATATCATGTTAGCTGATATAAATGAGTGTTAAGATACACATTATTTATTTATTTATCTACGAACGGGAGTCAACTAACATTAATATTCATGTTCGATATCAAATATATATATTGGAGGAAGTATTAATATAGATAAAACCATATTATATATGAACGAAATTGATCGAACCAATGGACAAATCAAATCATACAACCGGAAGGAAGCTGTAGGAATGCAAATTCAAGTCTCACATTGAAAAATTAGTGAAAAATTTAACACCTTATAAATCCCACCAAAACTCCACTAGTCTTGAGTTGATCCTGTCCCAACAGAAACATCATTAATTTTGTCAACCAGTAAAAAGAGAAGTTAAATCGACTCCAAATACCATATTCGATATCACACCAAATCCCAGCTGTCCTACCAGAGCAAACATCGACTTCCTCTTCTTCCCAGTACTACCATTTCCATTACCATTACCACCCACCTGCTGGTAATAATTAATAAAACCTGGATAATTATAATTATAATTATTATAATAATAATAATTCATTTGATCACCATTGTTGTACGGATTAAAGAAGTTCCCATTTCCTCCAGGCCCGAAATTAGGAATATTCCCATTTCCATACCTCCTCGGAACGCCACGCTGACGTGTCACGGCAGGGACGACGACAGGTACGAGGACACATTCTAGGTGGATATCAAAATTACATCCCCGGCACGTGTACCGCCATCCGTCGCACGTGCCTCTGCAGACTGCGCAGAAACTAGGGTTTCCCGGAGAGCTGAGGTGGAGGGGATGGACAGCGTGGAGGGCGTGGCTCAGGAGGTCCGGGAGTTGGGTGCACAGCGGGTGCACGTCGAACTCGCACTCCTTGCACCGGTAGAACAGCCCCTCGACCGGGTCGGAGCAGACGTCGCAGACCCGGTCGAGCCGGCGTGAGCCGTCCGGTTTGCGCATCACCAGCGTGAGGGCGTGGGCCGGGTGCATTGTGGAGGCGATCAGTTGGAGGGGACACGTGGCGCAATATTCGTGGAGGTCGAAGTCGCAGCCGTGGCTGCACCGGAATTTCCTCCCTGAGCCGGTGGTCCGGCAGCCGTCGCAGAGGTAGTCGGCGCCGTCGAGGGGGGTTAGTTGGTGGCCTGGATGGGTGAAATGGTTGATGGAGTTTTTTGGGGGGATTGGAGCCATTGGAGAAGTTCTCTGGTCTGATGGATTTAGGGTTACAGATCGAATTTAGGGTTTGGCTGTTTTGTAAGAGTTGGAGACGAAGACTTGGTTGACTTTGTTGTGAGGTTGACTTTGTTAGATTGGATTGGGATCGGATGGGACTGCGACTCCACATTAGATCACGGCCGTTAATTGGTGTAACGTCATTGAATGAGTGGTGTAGATCGAACTGGGCGTTGGGGTCCGGGGGGCTCGTAGAATGTGTGTTTTTAAAGGGTTGAATTTGGTGTTACACTATATCAATTTTTTTAATTAGATTTTTTTATTAATTTATATATCACATAAAAAGTAAATTATCATTTAAAATATCATTCAAATATTTAAAATATTGTTTCGATCCAAATTTTTCTAGTCCAAACTCTAAATGCAAATTTAAATTTACAATAGTTGGAATTAGATGTATTAATAATTTTAATAGTAATTTTATTATTTGAATCCAATTAATATATTTTTAAATACTTATTGAGATCCAACTTTGAATTGACTTGTTAAGTACATCCAATAATTTTGAAAATATAATGATTTAAACTTTTTTTAGTACTATTTATCAATATAATAATTAATATTTTTCACAAAATATTCTATTAAATATATATGTTATAAAATATTATATCCAATATATAATTTTTTTATTATTTTTTCAATTTTTTTGGCTAGAACTTTAAAAATCTCCCAATAGAATCTAAAATATAAAAATATTGTAATGTTATTATTTTTTAAAAATATAATCAAGAAAATAGACCTTGTTGAATTTGTCGACTACTTATTTTGCAAATTGGCGTGTATTGAAGTCCACGGCAAATTAAAGTCGTGGTTGTTGACAACTTCAAAAACGCAGGAGAGCAAATAGCGACTTTAGCGAAAACCACGTGAGAAACACGTGTACATATATACCAAAAGTGAACAATATGCAGATCCATCGCGTGCTTTGGTGGCCGTTCGATCATCTCTCATTTCATCTACTCTGTAACTTCCCCTGCACCTCGCCGCACCTGATTCCACCTCTTTTAATATAATTAGTAATGTTAAAAATTGTATTCTAATTACGCTCCATGAATTTAAGAAATTAAAAGACCTAATTTGCTCATCTCTTTCACCTTCTTGCTGTTTTCATGGCGAATTGGAGGGAGTCTTATGTTTTTAGGGGCGGTTTTGAAGTTTGTTCATTCAATTTTTGAATTAGGTTCAGGGAAAATTCTCTTCCTTGTGTTGGATTTTATCTGTAGGTGTTCGGGCGAAGCATTCGTTGATCAAGCACTGGATTTACGCATGGCGTAATCTTCCGTAAGTTCAATTTCTGTATGTGAAAATATGTAGATGTAATGTATTCATCAGTATTAGTTAGATTACCAGCCTCCTTCTGTTCGATCGATTTCTCTCGACATTGACTGCTGAGCAACGGAATTGGACAATGAAATTGACGTTTTACATAGATGATTATTATATATTTCAAGTGTATTTCTTAATTCCTTTACATCCTAATCCATTGACTATGAAATGCAAATTGCAATGCTCTGGTTCTGCTTTCATGCTGTAAGCTGTATAATTTTTCTTCTTGTTGAACTATTCTAGCGAGGTTGGGAATAGAAAAACATGTCAATAGAAAATTCTATATAGCCCTTCCATGGCTGAACCTATTATTTAAATGCCAATTGCACAATCTAAGAAATACATGGAAATAGATTTCTACCTGAAAAACAGTTAGTATCCTTTCATGGAAGTGTGGCATCTAGTATTCTGCCTCAACTATGAACTGAATGAATTGTGACTCTAACAGTTAGGCAAATACTTCGCCTCAGCTTGTAACAATGTCAGCACAACCCTCACCAGAGAAACCATAAAAAATCAGCAGTGGTGGACTTAGTTCTAAAGGAAATCAGATATTATGATTTGAATTTCATTTGTTTATTCTTTTGTTACGAAATAACTGTGAAAAATGGAAACCATTTCCTAAATATGTCCAAAGTTGGTTCTGCAAGATCATAGCAGCAGCTGATGCTATATATAATTTATTGGAGAAAGACAGGGTCGAATACTCATCAAATACGTAGAGTTAAAGTTCGGTTCGTATTGGAGTTTCAAACTTTTATCAACATAGTTTGAGATATTGTACCAATCTTCTGTGATGAAACTTATGTGCTGTCTGATGCAGAATCTGTGAATCGATACATTTGGTGGTAAATTCAGGCGAAATCGAGAAACAAATCTTCCTATCTAAAAACTTTCATGGATCAATGCAATAGTGCAAACATTGATTGAGTTCTTGCTGTTGTTGAATATATGTTAATTGTATTCATATTGATACCAAATAATCTATACAGGTGATGACGGAACAAAGGAAATGAGAGAATCAAGAAACCAAACCGACGAGGCTAGACGCCAAAATAAGCACCATCACAGCTACAAGCTCCGGTGCTGCTGCCGCTGTTGTCGCCCTGAGACCGTGGTTTGCTGCTAAGGCAGCAGCAAGTTAAGCCGATCAACAGCATGAAGCCACAAGCAGTGGCTAAAGCTTGAGCCCACTGTAAGTAATACACCATAATTTCTCTCTAGCTATTCATATGTTGTGTGTCTTATATTGAATCTCAAATTCTATGCCTTCATTGTGCCCCAAAATGGTTGGAGAAATGGTTGTATTGAATTAAGTCTTCTTATAGAATCGTGTATATATATGTTGTGTGACTGTGTGTGTGGAGAATAGGAATTGATGTGGGGGGGGGGGGGGGGGCGGGGGGCGGGGGGGGCACATGGGCCTAGCTAGAAAGTTAGGAAGAAAGGATTGGCCAGGCTGTGGGGAACGTTAATTGAAATCTATGTGTTTAAAGACCTGGCAAAAGATGAAATCTTGGTAATGTAATGCTATTTGATTATTAGGAGATAGATATTTGATGTAATGTAATGCTTGGAAGCAATGCATTACATTGCGTCAGAGTTGCCAGTGCTGTGGAAAATAATAATTCAATTTAAATTAGTAACACTTGATTTATTTCTTCTTCTCTATGTATGTGCATTATTTAATTGATTGTTGTGATTTAAACAACTCAGTAGAGCTGGCAAAGCTAACGAGAAGAATCTATGTAAAAAGGATGCCTTTTTAGGTGGTCTGCAGCAGCCACTAATGTGCTTACACGTGTACCCCAGTTTCCTTGTTTGAATTTACTTCATCTTCCTATTTTGGACATGTTCTTGTTTTCCAGCCACCGAGGTTTTCCAATAGTTCTACATAATCATTTTCCTCTCTTATAATAAAGTTATTATTTGGTAATTGTACTACTTCTTAGGTACAAAAAAGTAAACTTTCTTCCGTACAAAAAGTAAACGGTAATATTTCTACATGAGAAAATATACCTTATGTCTCATTTATCGTGTCCATTTTTCTATTATTTTCTATCCCACTTATTTTATTATTATTATTTTTTTGAAAATATATTATACACTTTAATCTTATTTTAATTTTTTTAAAATTTTAATTATACTAATTAATTATTTTAATTTTTTTAATTTAAAATTATTTTATAAAATAATAATTATTTTTATTAATACATTCTTAATAATTTATTAATTATATTTCTCCTAAATTTTCGATTATTCTCGTGTCTACGGTAAAACGGACACGAACGGAAAGAGTATAAAATATTATTTATATAATTTTCTATATGTCATGTAAATATATATATATATCCTAAATTAAAACACAATACAAACAAACCCTTGAATGTCGAAATGAAAATTAGGGAGACGGTTTTGAAACGAAGAGAGTAATAAATAATCCAAGTTGACAATACCAAACAAACAATTGAACCTACTTTAGAAACACCATCAACACTTGGTCAAATCAAAACACTAATCCGTTTGTCCTGTAAGGGATGGCGATGGCTCGGTGTGTAGGGGTTAAACTTGTATCATGGGTTCAAACCTCCAACGCTTCAAGTCACCTGCCACACATTGTTTGCCTAGTGTAACTTATCTGTCGGACCTAGTTTGCAGGGTATTAGGTTCAGTCGGGGGTTTATCCAGTGTACACTTTCAGGTAGTTAATTCCAAGCAGACAACGCAATAGTAATCGACACAGTATATCATGTTCGAATTTCAACCATTTCAACCACACAAAAGAAGTAATTGTTCATGTGCTATGTGCTGATTAGTCCTAACTGCATCTTACATATACATATTACTCAAATCAAAAGTCTCCCACATCAATAACTATTCATTCATTCATTAATTCCATCGTCAACGTCATATATTATTATGAAACCAAAGCCCAAAAACAAAGCAGAATCTAATCTAGAAGCAGATGCAGCACTAAAAACATTACCAAAAGATCGATCCATAGAAATAAATGGTTCGATCTTCTTCACAAACAATGGTGCAACCAAAGCCAACTCTAGCTCATGGCTCCAGATCCACTACAAGCAGTAGTAGTAAAACTAATTCTATAGGGTGAATTCTAGAAGCTTCCGTACCTTCCCCTTCGGCCCAACATTCATTCGGATTGCACCAAAACTCTGCTAGTTTTGCGGTAAACAAAATGTTAACACTGCCACAAAACATCAAGAAATGACATAATGTATTGAGGAGAAATCGGTAAATGTAGTTTGAGGCAGAGAAAACAGAAACTAACACGCCAACTATCATTCTTGAATTACAGCTCGCTGTAGTTGCGCCACACAGCGCGGAATTCTTCACGGAATGTGTTCAAACGAGCTTTTAGGTTTGGCGTCCGAAAGCTTGCATGGACGAGAGTGGCTTTGAGAAGGAGAAAGAGACACAGCCGGGTTATAGAAACAGTGAATAAAATGGAAACTAAAAAGGAACCTCGAGCTGAAGCATAGATTACCAATAAGACCAGCAGCGAGTGCCCATGAGACCGTAATAATGCCACAAGAGACGAACCAGAGGATGAAACTCACTGCAGGACAACAATCATTGATCCTTATTTATAAAAAGGGGGTGGGGTGGGAGGGTTTAAAAGACCATGAAAGAGGGTAATTAATTACCGGTAGAAAATATCAAAACAAACATCCATCGAGGCTGCCCACAAATATGTATTGTTCTTCTTGCAGATGGTCGCCCCCGAATTACAGGACTGAATAAAATTAAAAACAAACATCAAAGTGTGGGTTGAAATGATTAGAATTGAAGTGCTCCAAATGTATTTACGTTAGCGGAGGTCTCATTTTAGCAGCTAGATGTGGAGAAAACTGTCTGACAGTTCTTGTGGCCTTCTCACTAAATGTGCCTGCAAAGCTAAAGAAGCAAACATCGAAACATAAGAAAGCAAAAATGACAGTGCTAGAAAGTTCACTCTACCATTGTTGTGACACAAGATAGTGAGCTATTAATTAAAATGAAGACTTGCTATAATCCCATTTTACCTGGGCTATAGTAACAAATTTTACAATTTTTTTAATTCGCGATTTTCAGGATTTTAGAACCGAGACAAAAGGTGAGTTAGCATTTTTTTCCTGAAAATTCTGGTAAATAATTTAATGGGGTTGTTGGGTAGACAATACTCAGAACATGGAAATTGGATACAACACTTTTTTCAGTTATCCTCAGTTTACCTCACCATAAGTGACATGCTTGCTTATATGGAGAACAAAGCATTTTCTGTAGATTGAACGGTCGTGGGTTCTAGTAGGTGCGCCAAGGACTAATTATAAATTTTCATACTTGCCGATAATTAAAAGTCTAATTCATCATCAGGTTGTAGGTTTACTGTTTGATAGAGGATTTCTATTGAATCGAAAATGAGTCTGTCATCTATATTATATAAAACTAGAATGTACGGCAGGGAGTACAGCAAACTCAAGGTTGAATTCGAGGGTCTGTTTCTTTAAGGTCAAGTTTTGGTCTCAATCAGGAATTTTCTTTTAAAACATCTCAAATCAATTCAAATTCTTACTATTCCGGAACCACAAACTCAAACTTTAAAGACACACTGGTACTCTTCGTGAACGTTAACAGAATGTTTTGTGAAAATGGATAAACGCACTAATAGACATGTTTAAGAGAGCAGAACTTTTAAATGCACACCTATCATTTAGAAAGGCAATGCTCAGAGCTGTGGCTAAGGCAGCTAAAATTGACAGTGGCCTCCTTAGAAAGCCCAATCCTGAACAAACAGCAAAGATAATATCAGTAATAATCACATCATAAAACATGTTAGGTAAAATCGCTTATAACACACCATGTTGTTTGAAATGTTTGCACCATTCTCCCTCACGATGTGTTTCCAAAAACATTGTACAGATCTCCTTTTGAGGGGATTTTATGCAATATTTTCGAAAATACAAAAAGAATCTCATGCAATTTTTAAAACTGTACAATTCTGCGATGTTTTCTAAAGTACGAAGAAGCCTAATACGGTCTCTAAATTATGAGGGAGAACCATGCAGTTTTACAAAATTACGTGAGTCTCGTGCATTATCTAAATTATAAGAGAGAAAAGTGTAGAAAATATTGTGCAAAATTCCCTAAAAAGGAATTCTTGTAGTGTTTTCTAAATTCCGACCTCTTGTTAAGTTTCTAAATCTAACAAGAGTATGGTACAAACTTTTAAAACTCCAAGTGAATTATAAACAATTTTGCCAACATATTATTACAATCAATCAATACAAGGTTTGATCATCATTTAATCCTCTTACCAAGAATGAACACTATCATGATGAAATAGTTCGTCCGATAGCTGCCAAAACAAAAAAAATGAAAAAAATTCAAGCAAAATCATTGCAAGTCAGCAATACGAAGTAATTAATCTGAAGAAAAACAAAACATTTCCAAATCATTTCAATACCAACAAAACACAGTTTGTAATTCACTTTTAGTTCTGCACTTCACAAAATTCAAGATGTCAAGATAACGAACATCCTCGTCATCCTCACTACACACATATAGAAATCAGGAATATACAGTGATAAACACACGAACATACTCTAAATAAAACGAAATTAAAACTCTTCTTCTATATTCCGAAACAAAAATATGCGATTGTGCTTAAAGAGTATAAGGAATCAACCGTACTAATAAAGGTTGCATTTGAGGCGACTGTTCCATTTAGCATAAGAACGCGGCAAAGTGAATCTGGAGAAAAACTCCGAGAGCGGACGCGGCGGAGATGACCAGTCGACTTCTCGTAGCGCCTCGATCAGGTCCTCAGCTGTAACGTTGCCCCAATCCATCTAACTCCAAAAAATAAAAAATCACGGACAAATTTACCGCCACAAACCTCAGGTTTTGGAACAAAAGCGAAGAACAATCGAGAGAGAGAGAGAGAGAAGAAATCGGTTCGGTAGAGGAGAGTTCGAGAAACTGCGATTTGGAATAATCCGCCAATTCTCTCCGAAAATCAATTTGGGGATTGCAGATCGCTGCGAAGCTTTGAAGATGGCCGCTGAGACGCAGCTCAACTTCTTCAATTAATAATTAATAATTATATTCAACATTGGGCCAATACACATCATGTCGGCCCAACTTTTTAATTTTTAAAATGGCCCAATACAAATTTGGGCTGATTTATTTATTAGGGTTTCAAACATTAAAGTTAGCCCACCCACTGGCTCGTTTAATTGAAGTGTTTCCTCAAAAAATATGCTCGTGGATTTTAATAAAAAATAATTATAATAGATTAAAAAATAATAATATTTTATTAATCAGTGAAAGTGTATGAATTTTTGATATTTTTTTTCTTGATTTTATGTATAAAGTTATTATATATAATAATATCTTTGTAATTTAAATAAAAGTTAAAAAATATTTTGATATTAGTATATGATTATTTTTTCTAAAATATAAAAGAAATACTTTGAAATGAGACTAAATAAAATGGTAAAAAGATATTTTGAATTGAGACGAATAGAGTATTTATTATTTGAGATGTGAGGTAATAGTATTTTAGGAAGTATATGTATAAGCTAATGAAGTGATTTTATATATATATATATATTTATATATTAAATATGTAAATGATTGTGACACATTTGTGAATAAATTTAATTCTGAAAGATAAAAACAAAAAGTGTGTAAAAATTTTTTTGTTATAAATATAAAATATATATTTTATGGACAAATAAAAATAAATAAATATAAATTTGATGAAGATATAAAGTAATATGTATTTTTTGGAAAGCCAATACTCTCTCCATGTAAAATCATACACATACTTTTGAGTATGAGATAAGTTTCAATGTGGATGAGTAATGATTGACAATTTTTTTCTTCAATAATAAAAATAATACAAAAAAACTAAAAAATAAAAATAGATAGGAAATTTTATTGAAAAGAAAAACAAAATTATTATTATTATTTTTTAAAAAGCAAAAATTTGGATAACATAAATAGGTACTATTCTGTTACTTATACTTATTAGCAAGGGTTTTTATTTCAAGAGAACATATATATATATATATATATATAAACAAATACTCCATCCGTCTCAAAATTATAGTTTGAGTTATGTTTGACACGATATTTAAGAAATATTGATATTATATTGATAATGGGTAAAAAGTACAGGTAAAATTTTTTTTTGCCTTTGTGAGTGTATTAGTGTAAAAAGTAGTGACAATTTTGTAATAATAATGGTAGTTTTATAGTGATATGATTATTTATGAAAATAAAATTATTGTTTTTAGACGGATAAAAATGGTAAACAAGACTATTGTATTGGGATGGAGGGATTAGGCATTGCAAAAATTAACCCCACGTGATAACCCGACCCGAATCTGACCTGAAAGAGTTGGGTTTGGGTTGAGATTTTGGACCTAATTAATAATTGGGTCAAACCCGTTTAACCCATTTAATTAAATGGGTCAGGTTAAGGTCTACATTTTCGACCTAAAAATAACCCGTCTAACTTGTTTAATTAATATTATTTTAAATTTAAATATATTTTTTAAATTTTATCAATACAATTCAATATTTATGGCCAATTTCATAAAAATAAATAATAAAAAATAAAGGATTGTGTTGTGTACTATTATGTAGTGTTTGTTAATTCAATTCTTGAATATCGGTTTCATGATATGAATAAATAATTTTTTTGCTTTAATATGTATATATACTATGCATTTAAAATTTTTGTTAATATAAATTATAATTTTAAATTAAAATTTAAATATTTTAGATTTAAACGGGTTATATGAGTCAGATTCAGGTTGAGTCGATTAATAAAAGGTCAGGTTAAGGTGGCAAATATCAACCCATTTAATTAAATGGGTTAGGTTCAGATCAAGAGTTTTGTAACCCGTTTAAGCTGACCCGAACCTGAACTCAACTCGACATGATCCGTTTGCCAGCCCTAGGAGGGAATAGTAAATAGTTTATATAAATTTTATTGAATAATTCATCATACTCCCTCCGTCCCAAAACTATGGTCTTATTTGAATTTGACACGGTATTTAAATAATATTGATATTATATTAATAGTTGGTAAAAAGTATTAATAAAATATTTTTTTGCCCTTGTGAATGTATTAGTATAAAAAGTAATTGACATTTGTGTAATAATAGTGAAAAAGTAAAGATAATTTTACGGTGACATGAGTATTTATGAAAATGAGACTATTATTTTGAGATGAACAAAAATAGTAAATAAGACTATTGTATTGATACCTATAGAGTATTATATTATTTTATCTAAATTTAATTTTAAATTGTAACACACAAAAAACGACAAATAAAAGTAAATAAAATGTTCAACAGTGTGAACATTGTAATGAAGGGCCCCTACAGAAAGGTGACACGTGTACTGACATTTGGTCAACGGTCAAACACCACTGTCCTGATGATAGAATCTTGGTCAGTGTATTTATACTTGACCTATTTTTTTTTTCAAAAATTTATTATTGATTTTTTGGAATGATTATATTGAACAAACTAACATTAAATTGATTTTTCTAGTCAGCATATATAATATAATAAAATATTATTGTATACATTTTAATTTAACAAAGCACATAGTATATTTAAAAAATAATATAAAAAAATACTATGTTTATATAGTATTTTATTTAGTTATGTAATCAGTCCCATAATAAAATATTATTTTTTTAGTCTGTTTCATAATAAAGTATTTATTTATTTTTTTTTAATAACAGTATTATCTACGTAACATTACAAATATCCTTACAACTTACAATATATTGCACAAATATCATTGCCTTTATATCACACGTACTAATAAGGTTATTTTAGTTATTTCTATTTTATTCTTACAAAAAGCAAATGATTATTTATTTATGGAATGAAAATAGTATAATTAATGCATTATTAATTTTGTACGATTATTTTTTGAAACTGGATAATTATTTTAAAACAGACAATTTAAAAAGTAAAATTATTATTTTGGAATTAAGATTAAATAATACTTTTATTTCACACTAATATTAAAATATTTTTTTTTTAATTTTTATATAAATTATAAATATATTATTATATAAAATACTACACTCGTAGTGTACAGAATTCTATATTTATTTATTATCAAAACTTTCAAAATACATTTCTTCGAATCAAATATATATATACATGCACAATCAAAATCACAAACCCTAATCTGCATCCAAAAGAGAAAAAAGAAGTTACTATTAAACAAGATGGAGGCTCTCCGGCGTTTCCTCCTCCCCTGCCTCCGCCACACCGCCGCCGCTCCCACCAACTCTCCGGCCGTCGCCAAAAAACGCCTCAGCTCCTCCCTCCGCGTGGATCTCGACGACAATGACGAAAGCTTCGAATTAGAACACTCACCGTCGTCCTCATCGTCAACAAGCCCCACCACAACCACCGCCGCCGTCCCATACGCGCCGCCGCGCCCCTCCCGGACAATGGTGATCGGAACAATCTTCGGCCACCGGAGAGGCCGCCATGTGTTCTTCTGCATACAGCTGAACCGGCTCACCTCCAGACCGGCCCTCCTTCTAGAACTTTCCATCCCAATCTCCACTCTGATCCACGAAATGCGCTGCGGCCTCGTCCGCATCGCCCTCGAATTCACCGCCGCCGCCGTCGCCGCCGCGTCGGAGCTGAGCCACTGCCCTCTCCGATCGATCCCCCTCTGGACGCTATACTGCAACGGAAAAAAGCTCGGATTCGCCGTCCGGCGAAAGGCGACGCCGGAGAACAAAGCGATGCTGAAGACGATGCGGAGCATTACAGTCGGGGCGGGTATGATTCCCGGGTGCGGGTACGGGTCGGGTTCGGGCGAGATCAGCTACATACGGGCGAATTATGAGTGTGTTGTGGGTAATGCAGATTCGGAATCTTTCCATTTGATTAATCCTGATGAAGGTCCTGGTCAGGAACTCAGTGTTTTCTTACTCAGGTCCAGATGATCCATCCTATTAATTAATTAATTAAAATTTATTTGTAAGATGATCAAAAAATCATGTCTGAAATTTCTTCAATTTGGTTGGAATGATGAAATGAGGGTTTTTTTTATTATTTTTTATTACTCCACACTAGTGAAATTCCGAAATTAGGGTGGATCGATTAAATTACTTATATCAATATTGTGCACAATTTTGTTAATTATGTTATGTCCTAAACTCAGTTGCTTCTAGAGTATATCATGTGTTGTTAATTTATGTAATATATTTGTATTATGTTAATACAAACAATATATTGTCTGTGATAATATCATATGATGTATTGTTAATATTTTGTAAATTTTTAAAATCAGTACAGTAACAACCATCAAAATATATAAATACTCCCTTATTTCTATTGAAAGGTTACCATTTTCCATTTTCGTCCGTCCAAAAACAAGGTTACCATTTCCTAATTTAGTAACTGTACTATATATTTAACATAATAAATACCCTTTCAACTTACAATTTATTACACAAATGCCATTACTTTTATATTACACCATACTAATAGGGGTATTTTTGTCTTTTTTACTACAATCCAATATAATACTAATGTTCAAAAATCTACGTGTAAAAAGCAAACGTCACCTTTCCAACCAGACGGAGGGAGTATAAGATATTTTCACTAGTATGCATCAACCAAAATTTTGACAAAAATTAATAGAAGTTAATTTAAAACCTAATATGTTGTTCAATTATCGTTGTTAAGATATATTTATATATATATATTATAATTATGATATTTATTTGAGAAATTTATAGGATTTTTTAATTTATTTAAACGTTTTGATTGTATTCCACTTTAAATATATTGCATTTCTTACTATTTAAATATAAAAACTTTTCATGTTGGGCATGAATGTTCAGTAATTCACTAATTCTTTAAGATCCACTTGGTTGATACTTTTACTAAAGATCATTCACAATTTTTATTTTATTTTTATTTCATTAAAAAATATCAAATTAATTTTTTTTCTATTATATTTAAAATTAATTATTTTATATTCAAAACATTATATTAATACCAATTTATATTATATCAAACGATTATTAAAATTCAAAATTTATAATATTCATCCCCCAAAATATAAACAATTATTATTATTTATGTGTATGGTTGTAAAGGGAAGTGAGGTAAGCGGAGATTGGTTGCTTTTGAAGGATGATTATCACACTTGCATGTGATGTGTGTTTTAAATAAGTTATATGAGTTGTCTATATATCCTTAATTATTTGCATGCAAAAGTTGCTATTTATTTATTTATTTATTAAATTAATTTTAATAATTTCAAATCTATTCATGTCACGTAAAGAGACCCTTTTGTCATGTGTTTCATTTTAATTTATAAAAAAGAACTCAACTCTCGTCTTTGTTAAAAGCAGAAGATTCTTTCTGCAATGAGACTATCATCCCTACATCTTTATAATAATAATATATGATAGAAATTTTGGGGGAGAAAATAATAAAATTGTGTTATTGATGAGCTATATAGGTAATACAAAACAGACTTGATAGACTCAAATCTAAGTAATCTGTCTATGAATATGATCAAATTTAGATATAAATCTACTAAATCTAAATCTGAATATCTAAAATATTTCAACATCCCCTCAAACTCAAGTGGTATAACCGAAACCAACTTGAGTTTGATAAGAAATTTGAATATAAATGCAAAAAAAAAAAAAAAAAAAATAAATAAAATTAGCAGTTGACTCTCCACCCATCGGAGCAAAAAACGAGATGACTCTCCACCCGAGTCGAAAACGACATGACTCCACCGGAGCCGAAAACGATATGACTTCACCGAAGCCGAAAACAGACAAATCGCAAACATCGGACAGATCAAATCGTATGTAGGCAACAGAAAAACAACGGACATATGGCAGATCATAGACAGATTTTCGGCAACAAATAAGCAACAAAAGATGACAGATCGCACGTAGGCAACAGACAGGCAACAACAATGGCAGATCGCACGCAGGTAACAAACAGGTAACAACAATGGCAGATCGCACGCAGCAACAGACAGACAACAAACATATGACAAATCGTTTCAGATCGCTCGCAGGCAACAGACAAGCAGCGAAAATTTCAGATTGCATAGAAGCAACAAACAAGCAGCGGACAGATGACAGATCAGAGACGAGACGAGACAGATTTGCAAAAAGACAACTTGCAAAGGCATGAACTCAAAATCACAAGACCTCCGGGTACTATCCAGGTTGAATATACCCGGAGAAACACGGGTTGGTAGGCTATATCTACGGAATGAGAAAAAATAAGTCCTGATACCATGTTACAAATTTGGAGGGAAGATAATGAGATTGTGTTATTGATCAACAAAATAAGGAGCTAACAAAAATAATAATAGTAATAAGAAAAGGTTATGGTGTAATATAAAAAATAGGCAAAATAGCAGGTGATTCGATGAATTTTCTGAAAATTCTAAAATTTTATAAAACATACTTGTGGTTTTTAAAATATTGTACATTCGTTAATTCATTTCACTTACGGTGTTAAAAAATAAAAAATAAAAAAAAAAATAAAAATCGTACATTCGTCTATTCATTTTATTTATCATGTTTTGTAAAAAAATAAAAAATAAAAATCGTAGTTTGTGCGTGTGCATTTTCCGTTAAATCCTATCATAAATGAGGTTTTTTGCAACCTTTTTAAAACCACAAAATTTTATAGAATTTTTAGAGCACAGAGGATTTCAGCGGAGTTCATCAAACCATAGAGAAGTTTTATACTATTTTGCTGATAAAATAAAAATAAATATTATATTGGATATTTTTTAAGAAAAAAATTTAATAAATAGTAGAAATTCATAAAAATACATGAAATGAAGGAACACAATATTAGAGTTTATAGCTAACCAAGGAGATTTAGAAAAACAATGACAAAATATTACATCTTTACCAACTAATTAATCATTAAATATTTTAGATTAAAACATAATCTAACAAATTAAAATTAATCATAATAACTGTTGTCATTTTATATATTGAAATTAATGATAATACAGTGCCATGTATTACGAGTTCATATAATGTATTTGTATCATATATTAATAAACACGATAAATATTTTGTATCATTTATATATAAAAGTGCTGATTCAATACTAAAATCTGCGCCATACATATAAATATATATTTGACAGATGATGTAATAATTATCTAAGCCATTCCTTCGATATTCCCACAATCCGCCACCGGCGCCACCACCATCTTCTTAACATTCTTGTAAGAATATCGCCGCGCGACAACCGTGTATATGCCAAGATTCGCCGCCGTGATCCCCGCCAACAGCCAATAGAAATAATCCAACCTGCTGCTATTCAAATCTTTCCCTATCCAACTTTTTCCCCCCTTTTCCGTCACCCGATCCACCACCGTTATTAATGCGCCGCTCGCAAAATTCGCCGCGCCGATCACGCTCAGGTACATCCCAATCCCCAAACTTCGCATCGAATCCGGAACCTATTGAGATATTAATATTATTATCAATACTAAAGATATGATATGCGATTCGATTACCGTTAGAATCAACACATTTAATTTTTTTTAAATAGTACTCCCTCATTCATTAAAATTAACAAGACATTTATGTTCGAAATGTAAATTAAGAAAAAATATATATATTTTTATAAAAAAAATTGATAAAAATAAAAAGATAATTGAAGTATTTTGGGAAATTTAGTTAGAAATTACTAAAATAAATGAAGAGATATAATGTAATAACGTTAACGGTATTTGTTGTAAATAAATGTTGAATGAATGATAATAATTAAATCTTTATTAGTTGACTTTGCAAAAATTAACAATAAATGTTGAAGGATAAATTTGAAGAATGGACTAAAAAGAAAAAGTGAAAATAAATTTGACGGATTCGACAGTACTAGTTAAGAAGTGCAGATAACATAGATCAAAGTTGCAAGTAGCATACTTTCTGTAAAATAAGAGCATGCCATTATCTGTTCAAATTTAAAATTGTGTGCTCTATTAAAATATGGAGTATTACTCATTTCGTCTCACTCCAAATTGGCTATTTGGAGTTTTGTAATGGATTTAAATGTGTAAGAAATTTTGGCATTCTAACTTTACTTAAATAAAATAATTTCATGTGTAATAATATATTTGTAATTGAGCTATTTTAGTATTACTATACGATTATTTTTACTAAAAATAGGAAATAAATACATGTGAAATTCACTAAAATAATAAAAATGATACTTTGAATTGAGACGAATAAAATATGGTACTACCTCCATCCTGAAAGAAGAGTAACATTTACTTTTTGGATGTAGATTTTTTAATATTAGTATTATATTGATTTATAGTAAAAAAAAAAGACAAAAATCTCCATATTAGTTTGTGTGATAAAAAATTAATGAAATTTGTGTAATATATTATAAGTTATAAGAAGATTAATTATATTATGACAAAAATAAAAAATTGTACTTTTTTTTGGGAGGGATGGAGTATGTTTTATAAGAATATGCTATGATTTTTATAATAATTTTAAAAAATAAAAAATAAGAAATAGTAATAGTAATAATATCACCTGATCGTAAAAATACTCCTGCAGGCCGACGAGCGCGAAGCCGTCACCAATTCCGATGATCAGAAACTGCGGCGCCAGCCAGAAAACGCTCATCGCCGGCGCCGGCGACCGTACGGAATCCAAGCGCTTTTTCTCGACGACGGCGGCGACGATCATCGTGACGACGGAGAAGGACATTCCGATGCCGATTCGTTTAAGAATCGTGATCCCTCTCTCGTTCCCCGTAATCCGTCGCAAAAAGGGGACGAGAATCTTGTCGTAGACGAGGACGGAAAAGATCATTCCGATAGCGGCCAGGGCGTAGATGGTCGCCGGCGGGATGACGAACTCAGTTCCGGCGACATTCCGGCGGAGGGTCGCGGCCTGCTTGATGAAGAAGGTGGACGCCTGAGCTATGCAGATGCCGAAGGGGATTGTGGTGAGCCAGATCGGGATCATGTTTACGATCAGCTTCATTTCTTCTACTTTTGTTACAGTCGCTAGACGCCATGGATTGATGTCTGTCTTGTTCTTCTCCTCCACGTCTCTTACAATGGCGGCTTTGTCGAGAAACCTGTACAAATTGTAATTATTATTACATCAACCATGTTGTCGGGTTTGATACATTGATTCAGCTCTGTTTACGTAAACAATTTTTAATTATAAAACACTATTTTTTTAAAAAAATATTTTATTCAATTTTTTTTTTTAACAAAATATCAAATTAAATATTAATATTATTTATTTTCTTTTTAATTTTCAAAATTTTAAAACTCTCCGCAAACTTCTGTCTAATCAGAACAGCATTTCAGGGCCCAGGCTAACTTTAATTTATTCGAATTGATTAATTAATTAATTAATTGAGCAATAGAATAGGCTCCATAGAGGGATTTTGCTATAATAAATATGTATTTTTTGGGCTATTGTATTTTAACTTTAAAATTATTTTTGTACTTGTATAATTTAATTCAAAAATATCATTATATTTGTATTATAAGAGATTAATAAATGTATTTTTTGTCTTTTTTTTTATTTGTACTACATTTTGATATAATAATTGATATTCAAATATCAGCAAATGATTGAGCAATTTTCACATTATAAAAGATATTTGATTTAATATTTTATTATACTCCTTCCGTCTCACTTAATTTGTCTATTATTTTTATTTTTATCCGTTTCATATAATTTGTTCAAAATACAATTATGTACTTTAATCACATTTTAAATTTTATAATTTATAATTTTTTTTATTTTAATTAAAATATTTAATCATCTTAATCTTAATCTAAAATTATTTTTAGTAAATCATAATTATTTTTAATAATACACTTGTTAAAGGTTTAATAAATACTTCATTTATCATCTAAATATCTTCTCATATCTTTTTGCATTCAATGACGAATGTAATATAGTTTTGATTTTGATTTGAAAAAATAAAATAAAAGTAAAAAAACACACTTTAAATTTATTCGAACTGATTAATTAATTAAGGGAATATACGGGCTAGATCGAGAAATTATTTGATGTGATATTTTTTTTTTTAAATCTTAATAATAAAATTTCAAAAAATTGTATATATCAAAACCTAAATTTAATGTATAGTATATGTGGATTATGCAAAAGTAATCATCTTATATTTTTTTTTTTCATTCAAATTCGTGTGCGTTTCAATTTTCTGAGTTTTAGAAAAACTTAGAAATAATAAAAAGTATATTATCTTATATAATTATGTTTTGTGATAAAACATAAATATATTTGTTATGATTTTTTTCTTATTAAAAAATAATAAAATTACTATTACAGTTGATTTTGTACTGACTGATATATACCGAACAAAAAACAAACTCTTTCCATTATTAATTAATTAATTAATTACCTGAGCCTGTCCGTGTGAACCAGGTGCCTCCCCGGCGACCTGTCGGATTCAGGAACCTCATAGAGCAGCTCCGGCGACGCCGGAGCAGGAATATTCCGGTTGGCTATCGCCGCCACTAGAACTTGCACCAGCGGCGTCAGCGGGCTTCCGGCGGGCTTCCTGAACCTATAAACGGGCCTTCCGATCCAAAACACGGCGATGCTGACGGCCATCACCGCCGACAGAATGACGTCAGCGGCGGCCCAGCTGACGTGATCCTGGACATAAACGATGGCCGTGACGCCAATCAGAAGCCCGCAGCAAAGCCCGAAGTTCCACCAGTTAAAAAACGACATCTTCTGTTTCCTTTCCTCGGCGTGGTCGTCGTCGAACTGGTCGGCGCCGAAGCTCTCCAGCGCCGGCTTGTGCCCGCCGGTGCCGACTGAAATCAAATATATTGCCAGGAAGAAGAATATCTCGTGGATCCGGCGCGGCTCGGCGCAAGCCGCCGGAGATTCATTGCTGCAGGGCTTCAGTTCTGGGACCGTTCTTGACAACGTTAGGAGAGTCAAACCCTGTTAATTAATTAAGTGTCAATTAGTAATTAATATTACACGAGTAAATCGAATAGAAGGTCATTAATTAATTTAAGGTAAATTATATAACTGTTTTTTAGTAAAAATGCTCAAACAACTATGACTGTGTTTGTTTAGGAGAGTTTTTTCTATGAATAATACTCTCTTTGTTTTTAATAAATTATCTATCATAATAAAGTATTTATTTATTTTATTAAGGGTACTATCTATGTAATATTACAAACATCATTCTAATTTACGATATATTACAAAAATGATATTATCTTTATATTATACAATACTAATAAAATTAGTTTAGTCTTTTTTTTTTACTTTTATTTCTACTACATCTTATATAATACTAATATTTTTAAAATTACGGATAAATAGATATGGGATGGAGGGAGTAAATTTTTGGAAAAATACTATAAACGAACATACCTATTTATTGCGCGAAACAATTTGTATTAATGTAAAATTTGTATGAAATACCATTGTTATCCAAAACTGATGTTTGATTTTAAATAAATATTTAAATTACGTAAATTTTATATAAATAAAAAATAAAAAATATCTTATATAAGATTTTTGAATAAGATAAATAAATAAATAAATAAACAATAAATCAATTATTTATTTTTAATTATTTCGAAAAATTATATAATAATTTATTTTTAAAAAATTTAAAAAAAATATTAATCAATTATTTATTTATCAGCATTAATGAAGTAATTAATGATACCAGGAGATAGACAATGGAGGAGGCGAGAACAGCGGCGAATCGGCCGAGGTAAGCGTCGGCTAAGAAGCCTCCGAGGAGGGGCATGAGAGTGGTGACCCCCGACCAATAGTTGACACTTTTGGCGGCAGTTTTGAGGTCTTCTTGCAGCACTTTGGTCAGGTATATGATTAAGCTTGTCGCTATTCCGAAATAACTCAACCTCTCACTGAACTCAATTCCTGACAGTACAATAAAAATATTTTCAGAAAAATAAAATAACAAATTACTTATGGATAGAAATAAAATAAATGGACAAATTATGAGCGATGGAAAAAAATATAATTATGGACAAGTTGATTAAAAACATAGAAAATATATACTCCCTCCGTATCAAATCAAACGGGTCTTTTGGAATTTTACTATTAAGAAATAATAATATTTTATTAATTAGTAAAAGTGTATAAAAAATTTGAATATATTTATCATTTAATTTTATGTATAAATTAATTATAGGTTTAATTGTATATTTGTAATTTAAATTAAAATTAAAAATATTTTTGTATTAATTTATGATTATTTTTCCAAAATAAAAAATGGATACTTTGAAGTGGTGGGATAAACAAAAATGATAAAAATAGTACCTTGAATTATATTTTAATAATAATTTTTTATAAATATAAAATTAAATTTTTTAGGGTTAATTTTAATTAAAGTAAGGTTGATAACATTATAGGTTATATATATATATATATGTAATAAGTTAATTATTTAAAAAAAAAATAAATGAAAAATACTCCCTTTTTTAGGATAATTATGCAGTTTTCTTTATTATCGATTAAATGCATAATTTAATAGATAACGTCGGATCATCTTATTAGTTAATAATTAATAATCATTTTTTACTATATTTTTATTTACTTAACTATTTTTTTCTAATTATAATAAATTTATTATAATACTTCTATTTTATTTTTTTATTTTTTTATATTAAAATGGAGTAATACGATTATTTTTTAAGTTTTGTGCTCAATAATAATTAAATGTGATATTAACCCACTTTAATAGACACAATATATATATATATAAAAGAAAAAAAAAAAGTACTAATTTTTAGTTTTTGTAAACAAGAGGAGTAATAATTAATATAAGATCAAATGAATTGAGATGGGTGTAAGTGTAACCGTAATTAAGAGCAATCCATTAATTATTGGTTACCGATAATGAAGAAGGCGGCCTTCCACGCGCCGGTGGACGCCCGGAGAGGAATTCTTCCTTTCCGATCAGTTGAAGAATCGTACACCCATTTCTTCTCATCCACGCCGGCGCCGGCGACGGCGCCGGCGATAGCGGCGGGAGCTGCTTTTGCTGATGCTTCCTTTTTGGTTATTTCCTCCATTTGCATATTTATATATATATATAATGGGTTTTTTTTTTTTTTTTTTTTGTCTGGTTCTGACAATACCCACCGGAAATTAAAATAAAATAAATCTTGTGATCTGATCCGTGTGAGGATAAGTGAGAGAGAGAGATTGAGTGGAGGATTGGAAACTGCGGGCAGTATTTATAGGGCAGGGCGGGCAGGGCGGAATCTCGGTGGCGAATCTTGTTTTCTGACTGTGATGGGCCGTTATTCAACTATTGACTCGTTGTTAGATTTCAAGGATCTCTGGTTTGGTTGGTGACCGTTTATTTTATTATTTGAATAAATAATGTATTTTTGTATTATTATTAAAATATATATATATACATATTAAATAATAAATAATAAATAATCAAATAAAAAAAATAAACTAGACAAATTTACAGTAAGATAAAAAATATTCTCTAATCCGACTGTAAAGGTCCTATTTATATTTTGCATCGTTGTACTTAACATTAAAAGTATTTTTATATTTGTATAATTTTGTGCACAAATGTTATTGTAATAGTATTATAAGACACTAATAGAAGTATTTTTATTTTTTTCATTAATTTATATTATATTTTCATATAATAATTAATATTCAAATATCAACATGTTAAAAGTAAATTAGATGCTTAGAACCGGTCGGAAATAGTAATACTCTTTGTGTGTTCGTCTTAATGTATTTTTTTTTCCATTTTCATCCAAAATATATATATTTTTTAGTAATTATAGCTTTATTATTTTATATAAATATTTTTATTTTATAATTACATTATTATTTTTCTATAAAAAATAAAGATAAAATTATATTTACTGTACTTTAATTATAATTTTAATTAAAATATTATTATTTTTAAACTCCATGTTAAAAATAAATGTTCTTTTTGTCACATATAAAGTGTATATTCTTTTTATTTGCGTCCGTCTCATATAATTTATCCTTTTTTTTTTGAAAATATAATTGTACATTTTAATTACATTTTAAATTTCGTAATTTAAAATTTTTTTAATTTAACTAAATTATTTAGTTATCTTAATTTTAATACACAATTATTTTTATTATATAATAATTATTTTTGCTCATACACTTCCTAATTAATTACTAATTATATTTTACCTAATTTCTTGTGTCTCCAGTAACATAGACACTTTTTTGTAGGACGAACGGAGTATATTGTCTCAAATGAAAGTATATATCTGGGGTTTTATATTAGATTAATAAATAATACTCCCTCCGTCCACATATAAAATATACATTTACTTTTGGCGCGGGGTAGTTAAATGTAGTGTGATGACATTTTTGCCTTTACTTTTTGGTGTAAAAGTAATAATGTGATGTAAAATAAAGGTATTTGTGGAAAAAAAAAAGTGAGATATTTATTGAAATATATATATGCTTCTGGACGGAGGGAGGAGTATTTTATTAGTTATGAGAAATATGTAAGATGGTTTTGATATTTTACTTTTGTATATGTATAATGATATATATAGATATATGTAATTTACATAAAATTAATTGTCTTTAGTATTATTATGTAATTATTTTTACTATGATATATAATGAATAATTTTGAATGTGACATATAAAATTGATGATAGATAAATTTGATAAAAGAAAAAAAAAATAGTACTTTAATTGGGGCGTTGGGTGGTGAGTGATACCATTGAACATTTTATTAACAACACATTAAATATATATATATATATGGGTAACATATAACAAATAAATAGACAATATAAATTTTATATAAATATAATAACATAACAATAGTTTACATTACACATATTATTGTTGATATCAATACATATCAAATCCTATCACAGACTTATTACACAAATTTCATTTTATATTAATATAGAATATATTATACAAATTTCATTTTATATTAATATACGATTTCAGAATATATTATATTACCTCCGTCCCTTTGACAATCTATTCATTTTTTTATTTTAATCTGTTTTATAAAAAATTATTCATTTCATTTTTTTTTAGTAATTGTATCATCCACCTAACATTACAAATACCATTTTAATTTACAATATACTATAAAAATGTCATTAACTTTATATCATACAATACTAATATGGATAATTTAGTCTTTTTATCTTTATTTCTACTTGATTCCAATATAATACTAATATTTCTAAAACTCCGTACAAAAAACAAATGGATATATAAATATAAGATGGAGAGAGTATATCAATATATAACAATATATAATACTATCTCCGCCTGCTATGTTTATATTTGTTTGATTGGGTACAAAAAGAAATAATATTAATAGTCTCGATAAAGTTTGACACGGGATTTAAGGAATAATAATATTATATTGAAATTGAGTATAAAATAGCAGTAAATTAAAGACTAAAATATTTTTGTGAATATATTTGTATAAAAGTAATAGGATTTGTGTATTAATGATTAAAAAATAGTGATAATTTTAAAATGATATTGTTATTTTTTAAAATCGAATTATTTTGGAAGCGAATGAAAAAAAAAATAAAAAAAATGAGACTATTCTTTGACCGAGTGAGTAGTATTTTAATATAAAAGTTGTATTAAAAAATAAAATAAAAATAAAATTGGAGTATTAGAGAAAATTTATTTAAAATAATAAAAAAAATGAAATAACTATAAAAAAAAAGATGACAATTCGCTTATTATGTTTTTTAAAATATGAGTAATTAAATTGTAAGTGAATAAAATATTTTTCTATAAATAAATTATATATAAATTTAAGTAACAGTAATAAAATAAAATAAATATAATTATGGGAGATGAAAGAAATATATCATTATAAAATAACATGATATGATCTAGTTGATTCTATTGATCTACCTCTAGAAACTTTTCATTATAATATTTACTTTGGTTTCACCAAGTGTACCATTACTTTCATTTTGGAATATTCTAAAATATTTATAAATTTTTTATTTAGTTTTTACTTTATATATTCTTATTGATGCAATTTATCAAATTGCTACAAAACAAAAATTAAGGCCAAAATAATTCTAAAAATTATTAATATTATATTATTATACTAGAATAAAAATTAACAAATAAATTGAGATGCAAAAATAGTACTTCCTCTTCCACAATTATAGTTTTAATTGGGTTGATTACAAGATTTAAGAAATATTGATATTATATTAGTAGTCGGTAAAAAGTATAAATAAAAGAAATTTTTTTCGTTATGAGTGTATTAGTGTAAAAAATAGTGATAATTTGTGTAATAAAAATAAAAAAAAGTTAGTAATTGATAAAATTTTTTTGTAGAAAATAAAATATACTTAATTTAATATTTTTAAAAAAAATCGAATAGTATCAAAATTTTCATAAGTATTGTGGTTTATAATCATTATTATTATTATTTCAAACTCACATTTGCATTATTCATCATGTGGTACTTTGTGTTTGGATAACCAAAAGTAAAATAAAAAAGATATACTACTTATTAAGTGAACTTACGAAATAAAAATAGTTGTTTGATGTTATATAAATATACATTGATATGATATTTTAAATATAAAATTAAATTTTAATATTATTTTCGTTATGCTCTAAGGGTCTTATTTACTTTTTGTGCTTTGAATATTAATTATTATATCAAAATATAATTCAAATTAAGAAAAACTTACAAAAATAATTTAATTAGTATCTTATAATATTAGTTGAAGGATATTTATACAAAAAAAAATTATACAAATATAAGAATATTTTTAATATTAAGTACAATGACGCAAAAAGTAAATGTGATCTTTAGAGACGAACGAAGTAAGTAGAATATAATAAATAAAAAATATGTGTTTGATTTGATTTTTTTTTAAAAAAAAAAAAAGAATAATAAAATCACATCTAAAATTTTCACACTCATTGTTTTTCCGAATATTTTTTATATTTAATGATATAAATATTATTATAAATTATTAAAGCTTGTACCAATTCTTCTCCAATAAAAATAATAATAATAATAAATAGAAATTTACAATTTTTTTATGCTTATTTATTTATTTATTCTTAATTTCCGTCCACCATTATTCTTCCAACTCGCCTTTACAAGATTTGGAATCATATCCACCACTGATTAGTTCCAATCAAGAAAAAGGAATATTTTGGTGTGCATTCATATTTATTTTTATACTTGTTTTTCCACTATCAATTAAAAATAAATATTTTTTATTCAAAAGTATTGAAATACAAAACCCTACAAAATCTAGCTTAAAGCTGTTCGTATTGTTTCTATCAATATTTTATAGTACATTATATATATTGATAGCTGCCACACCATATGAGTGGTTATAAAATTTTATTTTTACTTATAAAAAAACAAAAAAAAAAACAAAATTCCTGTAAGCATAATTTGACCATTAATTAATAACTCAAATAGTGCGCGTCGGGTAAATTCCCGGTCAAATCTAATACCCTGCAAACCAGGCCGACAGGGTCTTTTAAGATTTTATAATAAATTGAAAAATAATACTCCCTCCGTGACGTCTTATTTAGTGTTGGCACGAGAATTAAGAAATAGTACTATTTAATTGAAAGTTGATATAAAGTATAATGTAAAAGAATAAAATGCCCTAACTTTAACTTTTTGAAGGATTTTAAAAAGAACGTTTTAGAGTAATAATTATGAGTAGTTTGAAAAAATATAAATAATTTTATTATAAAGTAAGGACCACGGTTACTAAATAAAGAAATAAGACAATTGTTTTTGAACGGACGAAAATGGAAAAACAAGAGAACTCTTTTGGGAGTATTTTATTAGTCAGTAGAAATATGTAAGAGTTTTTGATATTTTTGTCTTTTTTACTTTCTATATAAACTAATGTTAGTTGTAATGATATATTTGTAATTTAAGTAAAAGTCAATGGGATTTTGGTATTATTTTATGATTATTTTTCTAAAATATAAAAGAGATACTTTGAAGTAGGATAGACGAAAATAATAAAAAGAGTACTTTGAATTAGAACGGAAGAAGTATAAATCTATGGGAAAGGGTTAAGGTGCTGAATTTAAAAAATACAAAACAGCAGCACATGCCTATATTACATATAGCACATGCTATTTGTAATAAAGACATGTGTTGTTTGTTCATAATTATAAC